ATTACAAAAAAAACTTACAGAAACGATAGGTTGAAGAGGGCCCTGCTCAAACGAGCTTACAGTCTATAGGAGGTGGGGTATAAAACACATTAGGACAGGAAATAGCAGTCATATTAGGTGGGAGTGAAGCAGAGCTGGAGGAGAGAGTGGAGTGCTGCCCATTAGGAGAGAACAAGAGACAGGTATGTGAGGTAGAGGTTAGTCTGGGAGACTTTCCTAAAGAAATGGATTTTAAGGCACTTCTTAAATGATTGAAGACTAGGGAAGAGTCTGATGGCTGCAGGCAGGCAATTCCATAGGAATGGAGACATCTGCGAGAAGTCCTGCAACTGAGAGTTGGCCGAGAGAGACCGAGAAGGGGCATACCTATGGATCTGTGAGGAGATATAAGAGGGGCTAAGATTATTCAGTGCTTTATAGGTATAGGTTAGCACTTTTAATTGACTCCTATAGTATACAGGAAGCCAATGTAAGGTTTGGCAGAGGGTTGAGGTGTGAGAGGACCGACTAGAGAGGAATATCAGTCTCGCGGCAGCATTCATTACAGACTGTAGCGGGGCAATACGGCTATTGGGAAGACCAATTAGGAGAGAGTTACAATAGTCCATGCGAGAGATTACTAGAGCATGGGCAAGCTCTTTAGTAGTTTAAGGACAGCAGGAACAATGCCAGAAGAAAGAGAACAGTTGAAGATGTGTGTTAAGGAGGGCACAAGACAAGTGGAGAGAGATCTGATAAGGTGAGATGGGACAGGATCAAGCGGGCAAGTGGTGGGGCGAGAGGAAAGGATAAGCGCAGCCACCTCATGTTCAGTAGCCTGTGAGAAGGTCGGAAGGGTTGGAGAGGCATGATCCAGGTGAGGTTGAGAAAGTGAGGGCCAGGGTGCTGAGAATTCTTTCCTTAGCGGTTCAATCTTTTCAGTAGGGCAAAGAAAAGAGTTAAATGTATCAAAGAGACGACTAGGGTTGTGAGAGCATGAGTGAATAAGAGAATAAAAGTATGACTGTTTGGCAAGGGCAAGGGCTGTGCTGTATGAACGCAATGTGAATTCGTAGTGTAGAAAGTGTGACTAGGTGTGAGATTTCCTCCAGCAGCGTTCCGCAGAAGAGGAGCATCTTTGCAGGTAGCGTGCTGATTTAATGTGCCACGGTTGGGGGCATATTCTCCTTGAGGTGTATGTTTGGAGAGGGGCTGCAGCGTTCAAGGCAGGGGTGTTATAGTTATATGAGGAGATAGCCAGTGAGGGACATGAGTAAGCAGGAATGGATAATAGTTGGGAATCGATATCAGCTGACAGCTGCTGGAGGTTTATAGAACTCAGATTCCTTCTGAGTTGAGGGGGGTTAGGCTGAGGTTGTTGGGGGAGGGGGTTATTGAGAGCAAATGATAGGAAATTATGATCTGATAGAGGAAATGGAGTGTTGCAGATGTTAGAGACTGTACAATCGTTGAGTGAAAATAAGGTCTAGAGTATTGCCTGCTACATGCATGGGGGAATTAGCCCACATAGATGATGCTAAAGCGGTGGCTCTAATGAAGGCACCATCCCTGCGGGTATGATGTCATTTGCGTAAAGTCATAAGTCTCATATTTAAGACACAATGTACTATCAATAGACCGTTATTATTATACAGTGAATGGTATGGTAAATCCTTCATAGTAGACATAAAATTAATTTATTTCACTAATATTGTTTATTTAATTATTTTCAACTCCCCATTTCGTAATAGACACTGGGTCAATACATAAGACTTAGGGTTTTGTCTGGCCAGATCCTCTATAGGGGATAATATTGCCTGATGTATTTTTAATTTGCTACATTGGGACACTTAAAGTATTAGAGGCTATTAATTATTCTCCTCTTGCTGTAAGTCTAATCAAAACCAAACCACAGGCAAATATAATTTGGTTGTCTGTTTAAAAGGTTAAGAATTCTTGCCCTCCGTTTACACTGAAGGGATAGCTCATTGATATCTATTACCGTAGAAGAGGTTTAACTGGCTTTACATAAAGTTATTTTACTGCTATGTACACACTGTCAGTCTATCTCCATGTCAAATCATCCATAGATTCACATACTCAAATTTTGCGGCTAACATGAATCATTTGCAACTATTTATCTGCGATGTGTCAGACACTTCGGCAGCATGTATATATACAATATGCAAAATACCACTTTGACCTTTTTTTGGTAATACTGTTCAACAAGGACTTTTGTCTTCACCAACAAAGTGTTATTACACTCAAGGGGTCAAAACACATTGTTTTTAGCTCCACCTATATCTTCATATTCATTCACTGATTGGAGAATGTATATGCAATCATGGACAGAGGTGCCTTATTCAAACCTCTGCCCCACTAGATTCTGTTCCCCTTGAAGAGCCTTAACGGCAAAACGGGACGTTACTTAGTATGGTGTTGGCTTAGGGACGGCATGCTTTAATATTATTTGACAATACCACCCATACTTTATTTATTTCATTCCTCTTTTTATTTTATTTTTTCCTCTTTTCGTTTTCCTGTTATTTCACCAACTGTCATGGTTATCACCGCAACATACAGACAGCAAGACATGGTCGCCCTGGAAGAGCCCAACAGGGGACTTGAACCTGAGGCCTTGTGCATTCCTGGTCTGTGTCTCTGAACCACATTTGTCTAGTATCCAGCAGTGGGGGCTGTACATGAATTGGTATTACTGGTACACCTGTTGTAGATTGAGTCTGGTTATTGGTTTGCTGTCTCCCGTTCCCCAGTGTATCTCTTGACCCCTGCTTGTTGTTTTGTTGATTCTGACTTCTGGCATCCTCTGACCTTTGGCTTCCCACGACTATTCTCCTGTTTTATCTGTTCCTGTACCGCAACTTGGAGTTTAGCCTGCACAGCCCCCGTGCACCGACTCACAGGCCAGGTGAATTCTCACCTGACCACCTCGGCCTGTATTTTCTTGCAAGGGTGAGCATATATCTCTGCCTGCCGGACTCCCTACCCAAGTAAGCCCTGACACCAACCTTATTTTGATTTAAACTGCATTTAGAACTACTTTTTTAGCCGAGAGGAGGGAGTGACCAGCATTTTTAAGGGGTGTCCTTGAAGGCTCAGCAGAGCAGGGAAGCTAGTTTATTACACGTTTTTTTTTAAATCCTCATTACTATTTCAATCTACTGCAGGGCTTTCTCCTTACTCTACTACTTTATCTCCTTATCCGCTTTTTGTTTCTCCTCTCCTGGCTAATTGGACATGCTACAATTGTAATTTCTATCCTTTCAGTTACAAAACTTTGGAGCACACTTAGTTTCACACTTTGCAGTACATCATATCATCCGACTATCACTGAATTTCAGTGAGATAATATTGGATATTTATACATTTATTATTCCTTTTATAATTTTTTCCAAATTATATTTATTTAGATAGTTTTTCAATTATTTCTTATACTTTCTCTATTTATTTGGAGGATTTTTTTCTCCTATCAGAGGAAGTAGAAATACTTTATCTGCTATCTAGTATTACGTAGAACACTACAACTGAGACCTAGCACTTTTACCAAACATTTTATATATAGCTTATTAAAAGTTATGTTTTATTTGGGTTACTTTTTGCACAGAGGGGTTTATCTTCTAAACTGTTTACCCTTTTTTATATTTTTTTATTTTTTTTCTACAGTTTATTCATTCTGGAGGTTACTCCCCCCCACCCCCCCTTACTTCAGAGTAACCTGACACTTTCTCCCTGGAAGGTTTCCTTTTTCATGCTTAAGACACAGTTCCGGAATTCACAATACAGTATGTAGGCTCAACAATCCGGCTCAGACTGTGACCATCCCGCCCACTCCCCAGCCTCAAAGTTTCATTTGTGGCTATTACCCTCTTTTTTTTAACCCCTTCCATTTCTCCATTCTTTACCTTCATCTCTCACCCATCCTCGATGGGCAGGTGAAGCTGCAAGGAATATGATCTTTGGAAACATCTATGTGAACCACTATCTGTGACTGACTAGGAAATGAAAAATGAAGTGAAAGGAAGCAAAACTAAATAGAGAAACACCCTCCTTTACCCTGGCCCCACATCTACCTCACCGGATCGATCCCAAACTCTGCATCCCTCCTCGCCACATGCTCTACCCATGGCTGCCATAGTTCCATATATTTTGCGCTGTGTCCTATCCTGTATGCCTGCAAAGCTTCTGCGGATTGAATTTCTTCCACCCTGTCTGACCATTGTTCCTATGTTGGAACCCTGTTTTGTTTCCACGGGTCAGGCACCAAGGATTTGGTAACATAGGTGAGGTGTTACAGTTTAGACTTTTTATATTGGATGATGTGGAGTGCAATAGAACATGTTCTAAATTTAATAGGTGGCAACACCCCCAGTATTTCTGTAATTTTAGTCTTGACCATGTCCCAAAACAGTACTATAGTGGTACAATCATATTATAGATGTGTTCCCAGCATGTTGCTGGCTTTGTTGAAAAAACCCTGTGGAGGAGGTCTGAAATTCTATACCACAGTGTAAAGAGTTTATAGTTTACCTCCTGGAACTGATTGAGGTTTTATGATGCAAAATCAGGATCTTCTCCTACTGGACCTCTGTAAATGTTTTACCCATGATAGATTCACATTGCTTTTTGAAGATATATTTCCTTCCATGCCTCCTTCTTGTAGATGCTGGTATAGCAGTGACACTGCCTGGCATCATTTGTGTTTTCTGTTGCATAGTTCCTCATACCAAGTGAAGTTTCAGTGCATAGCCCTATTGGGTAGTTTATTGTAGAAATGTAATTGAGAGTATAGGTATACCTGTTGTTGAGTTGACATTGAGTCTTCAGCGACCTCAGTCAGACTCATCAAGCACTCATTGTTCAATACATTCCAGATCTGGGTGTGTTCCATTCCACCCAGAAGAAGTACAACGTCTTCACCGGTAGCCCACCTCCCAGGAGTTTTATCAGGCTCGGCACTAGGGATAGATGAGAAGACCTTCAGATGGTAGACCAAGTTTTTAATGTCTGGACAGCTAGGGACAGGGAAGAGCTCCCATCAGGAGGTGCATCTTTTGTGTTCCACATAGTAGTAATTAAAGATGATGATTCCCAATGTCCCTTGTGTAGAGCAATCCACTGTTTTTGCACTGGGTGTGAGTGCCACTCTAGAATTCTTTGGAGTACGGTAGCCTGGTGGTACTTAAGGAAGGTTTGAGCAAGCCCCCCACCCTCCCAATGTCTTGGTAGACATAATAATTCATGTCTGAGTCTCGGCCTCTCGCTTCTCCATACATAGCTTATCACCGACAACCATAAGGATGCAAAGAATGTTGTGGGTAAAGCTAACGGTACCGTCTGATAAAGGTACAGCAATCTGGCCAATATAGTCATCTTTGTAACGGCCATATGGCTAAGCCATGACAAATGTGAGTAGGTCCACTTTTTAAAATCAAGTTGGATTTGAGTAAGCAATGATATTAAATTTGTTTGGTATGAGTCATGTGGATCTACCATCACTCAGCATCCTAAATATTTAATCTCAGAGGTGCATCAACTGAAGGGGACTGGAATCGCAGGAAGGCACTATCTCCACCAGGTGTGTTGTTGTTGAGAACCTGGCATTTCGACAAGTTAAGCTTGAGTCCAAATATGTCTACGTAACTCTCAAACTCTTTCATCAGACACGACAGTGTAATCCTAGTATTCATTATTAATAAAAAAAACAGCATGTCATTCGCATATACTGCGACCTTGTTCCTGACCCTTTTCCAGTGAAATCCGGCAATATTCACATTATGCCATTCTGCTTCTAAAAATAGCTCCAGCGTTAAGGTAAAAATCAGGGGGGATAGTGGGCAACCCTTCCTTGTGCCATTGTGGATTTTGAAATTTTTCGTTAAAGCTCCATTAACACAGACCTTAGCATCTTAGGCAGCTGTAGATTGCTGTGATCAATTCTACTATTGGAACACCGAAGCATGGCATATCATTTGCAAAAGTAGACAACCCAGGGTATTCAAAATGGGGTATGTCCAGTCTTTTTTAGTATTCATATTTGTTTTGTGCATTTTTCACTAAACAAAAAAAGTGCCCTTTTACCATTAATATCATCAGCATTAAATGTTTTGCTGCTCTAAAACACTCATATTTGCGGTGTTTTGGAAATTTACAAGGTCAAATATAAGGCTTGCTTCTTCTTCATAGGAAATTGGTATTATGGCACATATATTATATCTGTAATACTTAATTATGTTAAATATTTTTAATACCCAATATTTTTAGGATATGTTATCCCTTTCTTTATAGAAAATTGAGATTATGCGATACAACTCTTTCCTTCCTTTTAATAATTCATGTTCTGTATAACTACATGTTGTGTAACTCTCTTTTTTGACAAATATGCTAATTTAGAAATTTATATTTTTATGGATTCCCTATCGGTATGATGGGATAGAATGCTTAGAATAGAAACATTAAGCTGCTGCAGAACATCATAGAAGACGGTGAACGCACGTTGCGTTCCAACTAGACGCAACCCGGAAGTAAGAATCGCCGTTGGAACGCACGTTGCGTTCAAACGACACGGAACCCGGAAGTGATACATATAGCCAACGAAACCGGCAAGCGGGCTATTTAAACGAAGGCAGAAGCACACAGATGACACCACAGCCAACTGAGGAAGTCTGTTAAGCAGGCGAAACGCATTTTGGACTTGGACTTTTTATTGGACCATCAAGTTTACCCAGAAATATCTGGTATATATATACATTATCTTTTTTTATTGTATTTTAACTTACTGAAGAAATAAAACCACTATTAAAGGATTACTTCTACATCTGGCATTCTTTGGGTCACCTACTAAGAAACATAAGTGGCAGCAGCAAGAATCCTGCAAAAGAAGGGTCCGGACAACCCCTAATGGTCCAAGGAAGCATACTACTTGAGTCGAATGACGGTATGACTCTTGTCGTGTGAGTTGAACCACTCTTTATCATTATTCTACAGTGTTTTACAGACATATTGCACTATTTGTTTGTACCTATTTTATTTTGCAGAAAATTTGCAGAATTTAAGAGCTCCACCTATTATATTGTATGTATTGATATATATATATATATATATATATATACACTTTATCAAAATACAGTTAGAACAAAATTACACATATTTAATGTTTTTATTTTTGCTTATTTATTATATATATATATATATATATATATATATATATCTATATCATACATTTTCTTTATGAATAAATATATATATTAACCGGGTGATGGACCCCATCCCTCATGCTTTAAAATTAAGCCCAGATCGCCGCGATCGCGGGGTTAACGATGCTTCAGTCTGTCTCTGTATTAGAGGCGGACCGGGAGCACCCGATTGCTCTTCCAGGCTGTCAGAGCGAGCACATGTGCTGCAGGGACTCACAATCCGCCTCCCTGCGCTTCCGGGTTCAGTGTGAAGTGCAGGGAGACGGATCAGCAGTGATCAGCTTCCCTGTTAAAAAAAAATAAAAATAATAATGTTTAATTAAAATCCCACCCCCCTTTACCCATTTTAAATAAAAAATAAATCCTTCCCTACTACAGTGATCAGTTGGCAGGGTATACATTTTTTCTGTGATCTGATATATTTTTTCTTTTTTTTACCCCTGAGGGTCAATATGTTATTTTAATTAACCCTCAGGGGTTAATTGTATTTTATTAATTTAAAAATATTAAAATGGTATATTTAGCTAGCTGGGGTGGGTGGAAGTTAGTGGGGAAATGGGGAATTTGGTGTTGGGCTAGCTAGGGGTTAACGTTAAAAAAGTTTTAAAAAGTTAAAAAAATGTTTTAATAAAAAAATTTTTAAAAGTAAAAAAAAAATCCCACCCTCCTCTACCCAATTCTAACAAAAATTAACCCCTTCCTTGCCAGTTGATCACTACCTACAGTGATCAAAATACAGATCACAGTATTATACTTAGGGTTAACCCTTAGGGTTAACTTATTTCTTTTTTTTTAACCCTCAGGTGTTCAATTTATTTAATTCATTAATTTAAATATTTTAAAATGATATAGTTTGCTAGCTGGGGTGGGTGGTTGTTATAGGAAATGGGGGAATTTACCGTTAGTGCTGCTTACTGCTAGTTAGGGGTTAAAGGACCACTATAGGCACCCAGACCACTTCAGCTTAATGAGGTGGTCTGGGTGCTTGGTCCATCTAGGGTTAACCCTTTTTTCTATAAACATAGCAGTTTCAGAGAAACTGCTCTGTTTATGTTAGGGTTAATCCAGCCTCTAGTGGCTGTCTCATTGACAGGCGCTAGAGGGCTTCCGCGTTTCTCACTGTGAAAATCACAGTGAAAAGACGCCAGCGTCCATAGGAAAGTATTGTGAATGCTTTCCTATGGACTGGCTGAATGCGCGTGCAGCTCCTGCCGCGCATGCGCATTCAGCCGAAGAGGAAGAGAAGAGGGAGGAGAGCTCCCCGCCCGGCGCTGGAGAAATAGATAAGTTTAACCCCTTCCTCCCACAGAGCCCGGCAGGAGGGGGACTGGCACTATAGTGGTCCTTAACAGTAAACAATTTAAAAATAAAATGGCTTATAAAAAAATTAATAAATCTATAAAAAATAGTTTTAAGAAAGTTTGTGAAAGTTTAAAAAATTTAATAAGCTAAAAAATTGTTTTAAAAAGTAAAAAAAAGTTTAAAAAAGTAAAAAAATTAATTTGAAAATGCTCATTACCACTACACTTGGAACATACTAGAGAAAAAAATGATCCCACGCTAAGGTTTAAAATACGCCTTTTGAATTACCCCAGGGTGTATTCTTTGATAAATAGTATGTGTTTGTGGGGAAGTTTCAATAACCATCCATCTAAAGTACTCCAAAATGGAACATGGACACAGAGTAAAACTTCAAAGTTAGAAAAAAACTGGAATGGCTGTGTCCCAAATGTGCCCCTCCGATGTCCACATATACCTGGCAAAGGTACATGCAGGGGTATTGCTGTACTCAGCTGACATAACTGAGCAACATATGAAGTATTATACAGTCGTAGCACACATACGATTTGCAAAATATACTGTGCAAACTCACTTTGTGTGTCAAAAAGGCAGAAAAAACGCTTATTACCACTACACTTGGTACAAGCTAGCGGAAAAATTATCCCACACAAGGTTCAAAATATGCCTTTTGGAATACCCTGGGATGTGTTCTTTAAGAAATGGTATGCCTTTATGGTGTAGTAATATGTAGCCTGCTCAAGTGCTCCAAAGTGGGACACGGACGCATCAAAACCCTCCATGAAAATTCACACTTAAAAATCTGAACTTGTCACGTCTCTTTTACAGCACTATAACTTCACAAAATAGTGTCTAGGTCATACATTGGGCATATTGTTTTACTCGGAAGGTGTAACTGAGTATAATTTGGGGATTTTATATGACAGTGGTACATATCAAGTGTAAGAAATACACAGCAAAAATGCAATATATATGTAAAAATGCCATTTTGTCCCCCCCTCACCACAAACATTGATATATATTGGTGAAAAAATGGTGAGACGTTAAGGCACAATATACACCATATAAGATACCCTGGGGTGTCTGTTTTATCAAGTGAAAGCCCTTTGTGGGGTTATTTGAACAGTCACACTGCTAGAATACCCTAAAATGCGACATAGGCCGGTCAAATACATCTACGAAAATTCTAACTATAGAAACTGAAATAGCCTTGTCTCTTGTATGGCACTGTAGCTTTACAGAAAAGTGCCAAAGGCATACAGTGGGGGTATCGTTATACTCAGCAGATGTAGCTGAACAGAATATGGGGTTCTGTGCAGGAATAGCACACCCCAGCTTTACGAAATACACATTACAAAAACCTTGTTATATGTGTATATGCCCAAATAAAGAAAAAACACAATTTTACTCCAATATTTAGCAGAAGAGAGCAAAAAAAACAAGTTGCAAGAGAGTGCTGAGGACAGACAACAGCTCAATTAGCCTGCCCGGTGGTTCCCCGCTCAGTTCTCAAGCTGGTTTTAGCTCATCTTGTGCCATTACAAAGAGAACCAGACCATGCATCTCAGACTGATTCCAACCAACAGGGCAGAACAGATCCAAAATACAGGCCGGCTCTCTCTGCACCAGAGATACAGCAACCCCAGACAATCGTTTCAGCCTTGTTAGGCATTATCAGTGAGGCATTGGAGATTGGCGATGAAATGGCTACGTAAAAAGTGTCAAACTAACCTTGGGTAAATAGCCTTTGATGTCTACTTTATATAAATATATACTTTTGTATGGCAATTTTGTTTTCTTTTATGGCTATTAAGCTTACAAGACAAGCATACCAAATTCTAAAATCGCTCCAGATTAAAAGTTTATTTTACTTCTTGTGCTTTGTGACCTGTAACTACCAAAAAAAAAACTTAAAAGCCCAGACGCATTATGTATTCTGTAAATCAGAACAACTAAATTAATTAATTTTAATTACTTTCCTTAACCTGCACTAATTATGCACACATTATTATTGCAAAAACTGTAAAAAAACAAACAACCTTTTTCCTTTTTTTTGCATTTTTCTGTATTTTTTTTTAAATAAGTGTGTGTGTGTAATATGTATGTTACATTAAATTAAAGCTCTTTCTGTCCTTTAAAAAACAGTATATAATATATGTTGGTGCAATAAATTAGTAAAATGCAAATTGCAGTTGAACGCAAACAACAAAAAATGCAAAGATTGCTTGTGTCATTAAGCGTAAGACAATCTTCTGAAGCTGTGTCCTTAAGGGGTTAATAATAAAATACACTTAGAATTAAATTGTGTGTGTGTATATATGTACATACATGTTTAACCCCTTCAGGACCGAGGACGGTTCAGGACCGTCATCTGCATTTTTGCGTGCGTACCGCTGACGGTCCTGAACCGTCCTAACAGTGTAATGTACTTACCCAATCGCCATCGTTCCCCCGGGCGGCGATCGGCTGTGCTTCCGGTGTGGGGAGACTGCCTGCAGCCCAGACAGTCTCCCCATGGCGGATTAGAACCCCTGGGGCCACTCATATAATAGAATAACCTGCAGTTTGCAAAATGGCATTTATACATTTTATATGAAACAGACTATTTGATGACTTCTGCTCCTTAGGCTAGCCCAAATCATTAGAATACAAGTCTGCTGACCTAGTTTAGGCCCACAAGTTGCACATTATTTTGGGGGTCAACTTATTTGACCTTGCAGAAGAATGCCCAAAGGGTAGATCCCCACGTATAACTTCTACAATGCTTTGTCAGCTTAGGATCTAACATTTGTCTATTGTATTTGTGAGCAGTGTTTGTGTGTTTTACTGTAAGTATGTTTTTGTATGGGATCTGTGTGTGTGACTGTGGCTGTGAAAGTAGAAGTACATTTGTGTGTAGTATTGGCATTTGAATGAAGGGGTATGTTTGTATGTAATGCAGGTGTGCATTTGTGTTTTACCCTTTCAATTCCGAGGTGTGCTTATATGTAATGTTGTCGTTTTATTACCTGGTTGTGTTTGTATGTAGTGTTGGTGTTTTGATTGCAGGGGCATGTTTTTATGTAGTGTTGACATTTCAATGCAGGGGTGTGTTTGTATGTAGTGTTGATCTTTGAATGCAGTGGGGTGTTTTGTATTTGTGTGTAGTTTTGGCATTTGAATGCTGAGATCTGTGTGAAAATACACATACACTACAACAGATACACACAGAAGGTGTGAGGCTAATAGGAGTCTAAGACTAGGTCAGGCTTTCTGTCTGCTCCCTCTCGCCCCCTTCCATCCCTGCCCTATTGGCCCCTGCTCAGACATGCCTATCGGGTGGCCCTAAGTGCATCCGACTCCCAGCTTGCTGGCCCTGTTGCACTGCTCTGGTTGCTTATTGCTACTATCCCAAATGAAAATGTAAAGAAACATAAATACAAAGATAGAAACTTGACTGCATTGAATGCTTATGTTTTTTTTGTAGAGAGATTGCTATTTCCAAGGATACATAGAAGATGATCCATACTCAACTGTGGCTCTTAGCACATGTTCTGGACTCAGGTATTATAGAAGATGCCCACTAATCCTTATTCTCCATTAAAGGGACACTGTAACTGTTTCATCTCATTTAAGTGGTTATAGTGTCTCGAGTCCCTAGCAGCTTCCTTCCATTCAGCATTAAACCGTCTTTAATGTTTTAATGCTAAACGAGAGTCGCCAACAGCCCATCCCCTCTCTACAGTTTGGGCTTAAGAAGAAGCAGCAGTGGGTGAGTGTGAGTTGGCTGCGAGTGTCAGCAGACTGTTTTCAGCCCATACCAACACTTATTGCTGGTGAATTAGTATGGTTAGAAGAAAAGATGTAATCTCTTCCTTAGCCATATGATCAGTAGGGCTTAGCTGTTGGTGTGCAGGGTCCCCTTAATTAGCATTTAGCTGCTCATCAATGGTGGCTACAGGCAGTTAACACTTTTGTCTTTCATTCTAGGGGCACCATATATAAAAACGGATTTAGGTACGCTATTGAGCCCGATGAATCTTTGGAGTATTTCAGCCATGTGGTTTATCGTATAGATACATCTCAATCCGATGTAATTTGTGGCCTTGACACATCTAACCTGCAGTCTGAAGATGGAAACATTCAGAAATTTGAGGTATAAATTATCCACTCAGTACTATTACCAAAACTAATTCATCAATTGAATTACATTTCAGACAGGGTAATATTAATATGAAATGTATTGAGATACATTTATTAAATTTTATTAATGTGGCACAATGAGTGAAAGCTACTAATAGTGGAAGTATAGTAAAGACAATCAATGCCTTTACTCTTAAGGGTAATTACTAGAGCACTCTCACAGACTAACACATAGGGGAGTGTTCACCCAGCATGTGAACTGTGGTGAACCGAAAACTGATTTGCTAAATTGAGATAAAATCTGAAGCTGAGGTGGAAATTTCTGCCTAAATTTAGCAATTCGCTTTTCAGTTCAATACAGTTCATTGCCTAATGAATAAATCTCATAGAAAAATAAGCAGTAATGCTCAAATGGTACTAGGGTCAGGAATTCATGTTTGTGTCCCTGCGTTCCTTTAAGTATGACAAGAAAAATACAAGGAGGTAAATATTCTTAGTATGGAACTTGTTAGGATATCGGGGGCCCTCAAAGCCCTGTACAAAGTATATAAAAGAAATAGAACAAATGATCACTGGGAACATGGGCTTGGTTTCAGCTGTAACAACCACAACACACAAGTGTGATTTTAATGTTGTAGAGCTTTGTTTAGAATATAACTGTGAATGATATTGTTTGTAAAACTTTGATACTCTTATATAACATCGATAGCTAAATGTACACATGGATGGGCTGACAGATAATCAATAAATTAACTTTCTAAATATTTTCATATACTAAGCATCAAAGGGGTCTTGTACTATATATTTCCTATTTATAACTAGTGTTTGGGTCCCATGCACACCCAAAAAAGTAGAGGAAGTTGAGTGCCTATATATATATATATATATATACACAGTTAAATGGAAATAAAAGGTTATAGACTTCCTATTTGATTACAGTCTAGATAAAGTAAGATCGTTACATTCATCATAAAATGGTTTACAGCGTATAGTTATGTATTAATTAATTATATACATTATTGTGAACAGTCTCATAAAGCTTAACTATAGAGAACGACTTCGTCCCTGGAAGATCATCCATAAATTATGTCAGGAGATTGATATATATTTTTGACGCAGTGCAATCAGAGGGTAGACCTCACCTGACCCTGTCTATGGATGCTGAAAAGGCGTTCGACAGGGTTGGGTGGGGTTTCCTCAGGGAAGTTTTAAGGAAATTTGGTTTGAATAGGTGGATGTTGGAGGCCATTATGGCCTTGAATTCAGCTCAACTGCAAAGGTACTTGGGGGGAGGTGGGGGTAGAGGGAGGCTTCAGCTCTGACTGGTTCGATCTGGCACATGGAACCAGGCAGGGTTGCCCACTCTCCCCGATTCTATATACAATGTCACTGGAACCGTTGGCTTCTCAGATTAGAGATAATAATAGGATTAAAGGGTTCAGAACAAATTCTGGCGAATTGAAAATGAATCTTTATGCAGATGATGTGATAATGACCTTAGAAGAGCCTGAAAATTCTTTGGAAGAAACGGTTAGGGACATAGAACAATTCTGAGGTGTCCGGTTATAAGCTAAATTTTAACAAAACAGCTTTAATATACAACATTTCCGTTCAAACTAAAGAGCTATTGAAAAATAAATATAGATGAAATATTTGGGTATAATATCCTCGGACCCAAACAAAATAATAGAAGAAAATGTCTTGCCTCTTCTTAAACAAACGTCTAAACAGTTGAAAGATTGGGGAAAGATGGAATTCTCATTCTGGGGAAGAATAAATATTCTAAGATCATCAGATGGCTATATCTTTTTCGTATGGTACCACTTTCTGTCCCCAGTAGCTGGCTATCTATGATTCAGGCTGCATTTAGGAATTTTGTATGGTGTAGTAAAAAACCAAGGTTAAAATTAGATTGTCTTAAATTGAGACCCGCCCAAGGGGGTTTGTCATAGAAACATAGAATGTGACGGCAGATAAGAACCATTCGGCCCATCTAGTCTGCCCAATTTTCTAAATACTTTAATTAGTCCCTAGTCTTATCTTATAGTTAGGATAGCCTTATGCCTATCCCACGCACGCTTAAACTCCTTTACTGTGTTAACCTCTACCACTTCAGCTGGAAGGCTATTCCATGCATCCACTACCCTCTCAGTAAAGTAATACTTCCTGATATTATTATTTTTTTTTTATTATTATTCTTTATTTTTCGTGCATAGGTTATGTAAGTAACAGTTTTCTAGCAATGCCACAACAGCTATCGCCAGGAGTTTAGTAGACATATAAATACAATTGTATGGCAGGAATAACTTTGCACATTTTTATATTTGTATGAGCAGGGTGGTTAATGGTCTAGCACTGTGCCAACGGGCGTGTGAGAGATTATGTTCAGAAGGAGACCTTCAGGTTAGGGAGCAAGGGCTAGTGTGCGTAATGGCCACCATGCGAGATTCCTGTTAAGTATAAACTTGCGTCTGAGTATTATCGGCCCTGACTGATCGATATGATAGTGCCTGTCTAAACCACAGGCAGGCTTTGCTTTAAAATTCACACTGCCCAGTCGCCTTTTATCTTAGGTGTATGTGTCCAGTGGTTCTCACAGACTGGAATTAAACTATGCATCTGGAGCAAAGTTGGCTAATGCTGTCAGTTCAGATTGACCTTCCAAGTGGACACCTGTATGGAGATCGGTACCTACGGCTTTCTAACCGAATTTGGCAATTTGGAGAGTAGTTAGCCAATTATCTAGTCCACTCCCCCTTCGAGCAATCCCATGAGTACAGTTTTGTTTGCAAATGGGTAGAGGTAGGACAGGAAAGATGCAAGCTGTCTGACCTCTCCAAGTCACCTAATCCACCCTATCCAGCTCGTGAACTGTGTACTCCAGACTTATTATGCATAAGGCTTAAAACATTTTTTATTTTTAAAATTCAGAGTGCTAAGTCTATCTGTGTTGTTACCCAGCGGTCTGTGGTGTCAGTCGGTTAGTCGTGAGAGTATCTTGACAGGAGGCCTTATCCTTGGTCCGTTCGAGTTACTCTCGAGGGGTATTAACCCTAACCTAGGGGCTGTCGGGGGGGAGTTGTGTTCTGTATGGTAGTGCATATTACTTTAGTGCACTGGTGTGCCAGCGCCATCTCTGATAGGCTTTCAGCGCGTCGTATGGGTTCTTAGAGCGTCATAGTAACTAGTGAGATATCAACAAAGCTTAAGTGGCAGAGGATGAAAAGGAATAGGAGAAAAAACTTTTAAAGAAAATAAAATTTGCAATTTTTAGCCCTTGAGCGGGGCGGGGTAGGAGACTTCTCCCCCCACTCCCGTCATGTGGCATGAGTGTCCATTCTCCGCGTCCTCGGGATAAACAGCTCGATCGTCTCCGGGTCCCAGGCCGGGGTGGTGTTCTGGGTGTTCTTGGATGGCAGACCCAGTTTTGGTAGTAGCGCGGCAGCGTCGGGACCTGTAGCGATTCTGTACGTGTTTCCGTGATGTGTAACCAGGAGGTGGCGTGGCTTTCCCCACCGATATGGTATGCCCGCGGAGCGTAACTGGCTGGTGAAGTCGCTGAGGGTCCTTCGCCATTGGAGAGTGGCTCTGGTTAAGTCCTGGAAAAAAGTCAATTGAGACTCCTTCGAAGTTGAGTGGCGTCTTGCCCTTCAGTGCCGACATTATGTGTCCCCTATCTTGGGGAAGGGTGCAGCGGACTATGACGTCTCCTGCAAGGGGAGTAGATGCTTTTGTCGGGGTGGGTAGTCGGTATATGCCGGCAAGGGTGAGTTTCCTTGCCACCGCAGGGGGAAGTATAGCTTGCGTGAGCCGTCACACATAGTGAGGTAGGTCCTCTTTGGAGACTGTGCCAGGGATTCCTCGGATTTTAATGTTGTTGCGTCTGTGTTTGTCTTCTTGGGCTGCTAGTTGTACCTCTAAGTTTTGTTGATTGTGTTGTAGTTGTAAGAGGGAGTCTTGCAGCGAGGTGATTTCTCTTTGAATCCCCTGCACTTCTCTCTCAGTGTGTACTACCTTTTCAGTGATTTGTTGCATGCTGGTTTTAAGGGTAGGTAGATCTGCAGCTAGTAGGCTTTGTATTTCCTGCAGCATGTTTTGCATATGCTGTAGGTCCTGTTTGGTGGCTGGTTCGGTGGTACCCTGCTGGGGCGTGGGTTGTAGCCATGTAACCCCGTGAGTGCTTTGCTCCCCTGAGTCAGACTCTTGTGGGGAGTCAGGGCCTTGTGCAGCCGCCATTTTGGCGGGTGTTTGCCTCTGAAGCATAATGCCTATATCAGGCTGATCTATACCTGGTGGTGGTTTCTGGGATCTGTGCCCCATCCCTGAGGTTCCGTGGTCGGAGCTGTGCCGAGATGTGTCCCACGCGTCCTCTAGGAAGTCCCCGCCTGATAGGTAATCCAGGCCGTGGTGGGCTGATGGGAGGTAGGCCCGGGCTCGTAGTTTAGGCTTTGCCTGCTTCGGGGTGTACCTGAAGGGTATCGATCGATTCCGGGGAGTTTTATGCCGGTGGTCGTGTGGCTGGATGGCAGGTTTGTGGGCTGATTTTCGCCGGATTAGGTCCGTGGATGTCGGAGCCCGCAGAAATGGCGTCTGGCCCGTCTTGCAGATCACTATGAACACATACCCAGCTCCCAACTGCGGCCGGCTGATACCACCCGACAAGCTACACCACAGCATCATTATTCGCAGATGTAGCTGAGAAACACAGAACTGTGACCTGCCAGTGATGGGAGTTGGCTGCTCTCTGCACAGGGACTGGGGCTGCCTACTCTCTGTCTCCTGAACAACATTCAGGATCACATCCACCTCTCATCAGGGAGGGGAGTCTCTGTCCGGGGACCCAGGGTTCTTTAACCACGGTGGCATAAATTTTCCTTTTTCTTTTTTAAGCAACACTAACCATGCTATCTTGCCTAGCAAACCTGTCTCTCTCACACAATCTATTTTAACTATGAGGTGAGTTTTAGCCTGCACTTCCATGTCTCCAGCCTGTCAATTTAACTAATGTGGCTAAACAGATTTGAAATTAACCTACTCAGGCAAATATAACTGTACTGCATGTATACAATCTGTTAGCTCCTGAGGCAGCACGGTAATGATATATTCAGATAGTGCAGCGATGTTACCTTATGTACCAAGCAAGTCTCACCTATGTTCAGCTAGCATGTTAATCCCCATAGGCTGCAAGATTAACCAGTTTACTGTGCTACTAAATATTGAAACAGGCAGATCTTCTATGCAACCATGATCCAATGTTTAACCTCTAACATGTTTCCTATCTTGAATATAAAAAAAAATTGTACTATGTATTTCAATGCCATACCTATGTTAAGTATGTTTCCGTACTTGCTTGCACCAGCTATCGTGGCAGTGCAAACAAGATTGTTCACGCTATGCACAAATAAAATAAAGAATTTAAAAAAAAAAAGATCAATAATCGTATTTATCTGGTTCCTTGTCGTCTAAACAGGATGTGGTCTGGCCACACTGATAGGTGTTGGAGATGCGAATCGCAGAAAGGCGATTTATTACATATATGGTGGAAATGTGAACCGATTCAGAGGTTTTGGGGAAAGATAAAGGATAAAATCCAAGCAATAAATAACATCAAACTCACATTAAAGCCAGAATCCTATTTATTACACTTAAATTTTCCAAAAATGCCTAAAGCAGAGTATGACATAGTGGTACATATTTTGCTGGCAGCAAAGATGAGTATAGCTAGAAAATGGAAATCCCGTATTCCACCATTATGGATCAAGCTTAAAAATCATCTTCTCTTCCAATTAAATATGGTTAAAGGAATAGAGAAGTACCAAAATTTTACTCTGAAGAGGAATTACAAATGGGACCTATGGATAAAATCGATCCCTGAGTGAGCATGATAAATAAATACCCTAGAATAAGATGTGATGATATTTAATCTCCCTTGGAGATGCCCTGCCTGACATGTATGTAGTTTTATATGTTCCTCCTTTCCAGTAAAAAGGAAAGGGGCATATTCGAAGGGAGGGGTGTTTTTAAATTGACTGTTCAGCATGATTTTATGTCTTGTACAGTCAAATATTTATTTTTTATTTTTTTCTATGTCTGTTTTTGTATTTTTCGTCAATAATAGTAAAAAAATTAATAAAGAATAAATAAATGGGAAAAAAAACATAGAAATGAAAGTCAAAGTTAGCTTAGGGCTGGTGGTTGGCATGCAAGGTTTTCAGACTAGGCAGTAGTGGGCTATTGTAGAAATGGAACTGCATAACCAATTGACTTGCCATAAAAAGTAATTTTCCACTGCACCATATGGTGCTGAAAAGGATTCCACACATTGCAGTGGGTCCTGAAGACAAACAAGGACCAAAGGGCATCCCACCCCAACTGGCCATCCCACTATGCATGCATTGTGTAAGGAGGGGGTACAAAGATCAATATATCAGACTGGATCCTTCCTATCCCTATAAATCTCCAGATCTTTGCAGAACATTTGTTTTCATTTGTCTTGTTTTTCTATATTTGCAGGAAGCAAAGCCTCCCAAAAATTCTGCGTATGTAGAACTGTGTATGGTCACTACAAAGCCACAGGTAAATCAGTCATATTGAAAATGATAAAATAATTTGGGGGAACAAACAAGAAACTTATTTTTAAATTTAATTAAATTAAAGTGAGCTGAGCATTGCTGCATCCAGATAGTCATTGTGAAATACACTAATTTTACCCTACACTATAGTAGGCGTACAGATAAATAGACAAAGTTAACAATAGTGATAATATCATAGGAATTATTTCAAGAGATTAACATATGAAAGTCAGATATATGGGTAGATTTGTTAAGATAATTATTTATGTCCATCTTGCATGCACTTCAGTTTAAAAGTAAAAATGTAGTACATGTACTTAGGCACATAACACAAGAATTTAACACTTCTTAGACTCTGTAGGGAAAGTTCTTCTTTGTGTCGCAGCAAATGCAAAAAATAAATAAAAAATAAGGCATTTATTGTCTACTAATATACCTCACCGATTTCTGATAATGTATTTGAATTGTTAAGGTGGTATATATGAATGTTCTTTAATGCTTGTTATTATAATATTATATTTGTTGTTTTCTAGTTTCAATTTCATGATGAAAATGAAACATTTCTAGTAGAAAGCGTTCTTGAACTGATTAATACTATTAATACAGTAAGTGTTATTTTAATTACAAAAATAAAAGAATGGCCTTATAATAGAAATGAATATTGAGATAGTCCAATTATGAACTTATTTAAAAAAAATATACAGAAAAGCACATAGATTTCTTTTATTGTTATTAAACTGTTAATTGTCAGCAATTCATAATTTCAAAACAAAAGGAGATATTGGACCTCTGAGATGTACAGTGATGTAAATAAGAAATGTGCTGCCCTAGGCCTGGCAAGTCTATGCAACCCACCTATGTACACATGAGCGCTAAAACCATATATTTTCTTTCATGCATTTAGTCACAGACAAACTATATATATAAAACAATTTACAAGACAGAAGACACACAAACATATAAATATGTGTATATATAAGCATTATGTATAAAAATATAGCCTATACAGTATATTAATATAATGCTTATTCACACATAATCCCATAATTTAAAGGACCACTCCACATCCATAAAGCAATGGGTGAGAAGTATACAATTTCAAAAGTATTTTATAAATCCATGGAAGATTCTAGAAAAAAACACTGGATGCTCAATAGATTAAGTTCCACAATCCACAAGATGTTTGCTACCCATAGCTGTCACTAGCTCTTCCTTCTGTCACGTTTAGTCAACTTTAGACTTTACTATAATACAAACTAGTCACTGTTTTGTCTTATTGTACCGTCTGACTCAATTTACAGTACAGCAAAATTCCAACACAGTTAAATGTGAATATTTCATAAAGATTAAATGTTTATGAAATACTCCAAATTTATAATTTGGTGACAGAGCCTCTTTAAAATCACCAAAAAATATACAAAATACATATAAAAAAAAATTCAAAGCTGAAAAATTGCTGAAAAACATAATGCTGGCCATGATAGATAGGTGTCAGATCAGTGTGTCGCAGTTTGCTGTGTATGGGGCTGCAAAGCTACACACAGGTTAGAGTGCCCATGATGACCTCTGTCCACCGAAAGTGTGTTCAATGGGGACATGAGCATCAGAACTAGACCATGGATCAATAGTAGAAGGTTGTCTGGTCTGATGAGCAATGTTTTCTTTTAGATCAAGTGTTGGCAGCAGGATGCACTATGGGAAGACTGAAAGAGGCATTGTTATACTCTGGGCAGTGTTCTACTGGGAAAACTTGGATCCTGGTGGATGACACATAGCACATACCTAGAGATTGATACAGATCCCCACCACCCTTCCAATTGCAGTGGTGTTCTTTGATGGCAGTAGCCTTTCAGCAGGGTAATGCACCCTGGCACTCTGCAAAGATTGTTCAGGAATGGTTTGAGGAACTTGACAAAGAGTTTAAGGTATTACCATGGCCTCCAAATTACTTTATTAAGTAAATTTAAAGAAATATTGTTATTGTTAGTCTCTATTATGGAAATAGAGGACAAAAGATATAATAGTTATTATAAATATGGTCAGAAAACAGCCAAAATGGAGTGTACTTGTGGACTCACAAAGAGTTATCCTCCAGCACTCAAGAAAGAAAAAACCTGAGGAGGAAACCTCTGAACCATGGCTTGAAGGACTGCTCTTCCCTCTGGGAATTAAGATGCAAATACATGGGAGGCTATGAAAGTGGCTTTGTCACTTTTCAGTATTTCAAGATACAATATTTATGACCTTTTGTATCCTGACTGTGTTGGGAATTCACTATAATTCTAACAAAATCCAAAGATATCATAAGACAAAGTAGGGACTACTTTGTTTTATGGTAAAACTGTGGTTGACAAAAAGCAGATCTCTGCCACCGTTTGTCCAATCACAACAGCTATCACAACTGATGGCTGTGGGTTCAAAAATCGATTTATGGAGGATCTCATGGGATCCTCCATTCAGTGATGTATTCTTGTGCATAAATGAGAATACAGCACTGACGAGGCTCCTGGCCGATGAAGCCAGAAGTTGAAGATGATGCAAGTACAACTACCTTCTCCTGCACCAGATCATCTCTGGAGATATCATTTTCAGAGGTCTTCGCAAAATATGCAAAGACCCTGAAAGTGACAGATCTGTTTCAAAAGAGAGACTTGCTGTTTTTAAGAGCTATTTAAGAGCTAAAGCGGCTCTAGAATCGCTGCAAAACTGCAAGCAAGCCATTTACCAGTGGTGTGAATCATGTTGGCCGTGGTCACCAGGCACCACCTCCAGAGCAAATTGAGGGTAGTGAGTCTCCAAGTGTTCAGACACTTCCAGTTGGGGCATAGATCTCTAAACCTTTGAGATTGTAAGAAATGCATGGATAAAGGTTGAAGGTCTGTCAGAGCTTCAGATACATGTGAAAGGAAATAGAATTTTCAACCAGTCAAAGCAGCATTTACATTTATGACATCACAACATGGCATCTTATATTATGATTTCATTGCTTTTGATCACTGTACCTATGGTGAAGGAGAGTAGATTATCATTACACATTGCACATATAATAATATTTAAAATATAAGAAGCATTTTTTTTCTCTATATACATTTTATATCACAATGAAAGTTAATTTTTCAATCTCTATTGCTTTGTCACCTTTTGTAATGCCTTATTCCTGTACCCACATTTATATCTTTACTTACAACCCAGTATTGGTGGTTTCTAGGCATCATCCTGAGCCTGTATCCTCTCTTTGTTTCATCCACACTCCATGATATACTTCCAATTAATGTTTATGAACAGGTTACAATGAGAAGACAGAAATTAGTGTTTAGTCAGGAAACAAATTGCAACATTTTGGCAAAATAGCAGAACCTGAAAAAAGAATCAATCCTTGTTTGTTTGTTTTTGTTTGTTTTTTAATGTGCTGCACAGTTGTTGATTCATTGTATTTCACTGTTTAGTGAATAAACCAAATTATCTTGCCCCAAAGTGTCTTCCTCTCTTTTTTCTGACAGTCATCTCAAGCTGTCTAAACTAGAGCACCTTTTAGAGTCATTCCATCTCAAGTGATCCAATAATTGTAAAGATGATTGCTTGACCAAATTTACTTTTACGTATTGTTATTGCAAAACCACCATTTTCTTTACGTTACTTGGTTTAACCACTGTGGTCATCTTTGTGTCATTGCACAACACATATTTTACTTATACAGATATTTACGGAAAACCTTCATATCTCAAGTCGGAGCTCCTTGGACCAAAAACGAATCTCTAGATCAGCGTTTCCCAATTAGTGTTCCGCCGAACTCTTCTGCGAGAACAAAACTGGGGTTTTTCTGTGATTTGCTCATCGGGTGACCTGTGCACTTAGGACCACCCGATTGGTGTTATTGCTGAACTGCAGCCCAGTCAGGCACCGCAGCCCTATAAGAGTGCGATTACACCCCTGTAGTATTGGATCCTGGGAAGAAATGATAGCTGGTCACTTCCTCCCAGACGTAGAAAGCGCCACAGTGGATGGAGAGAGGCAGCTGCTGCAGACCCTCCACAGATCAGCAAGCAGCACTCCAAGAAAGCCACCCTTCTGCAGACAAAATGTATGCTAACAGTAGGGTTGCTGTAAATATAAACATTATGACTTGCGTGTGTATTTGTCAGTGTGTGTGTATGTGCCGGGTTGTGCATCTGTGTGTCTAGGTGTGTGTATCTGTGTGTCAAAGTCTGTGTATGTGTCAGTGTATTTATGAATGAGTGTGTATGTGTCAATGTGTTTATATGTGTGTTTCTCTGCGTTAATGTGTATGTGTTATTGTGTAAGTATATATGTATGTGGCAGGGTATGTGTATTTATCCCGGCAATCAAACACCAACACTACATGCAAACACACACCTGCAAACACAAACATTACATATAAAACACCCCTAAATTCAAACTCCAAATTTATATGCAAGCACTCAAACACACTCTTCAATCAAATACCATTACTACACACAAATGTACATCCTCATTTAAAAGCCAACACTACATCTAAACACACCCCTGCATGCAAATGCAAAAATAACGTACAGACACGCCCCTGTATTAACCCATTAAGGACTGGACTGTTTTTGCGATGTTGTACATTTGCGACCACCCCTCTTTTTACACTTTTGTGGTGTTTGTGTTAAGCTGTAATTTTCCGCTCTCTCATTTACTGTTCCTATACAAATCTTATATATTGTTTTTTCAGGACAAAAAAGGGTTTCTTTACATACCATTATTTATATAATCTCATGTAATTTAATTTAAAAAAAATATGATGAAAAATTAAAAAAAAATAGTTTTTTGACTTTTACTTGAAAAATCTTTTACTCATCTGCAAAAGCGAATGAAAAAAACTGCTAAATAGATTCAAAATTATGTCCTGAGTTTTAAAATACCCAGTGCTTACATTCTATTTTGCTTTTTTTTGCAAGTTACAGGGCTATAGGTACAAGTAGGATATTGTGGTTTCAAAACATACATTTTTTTCAAATTTATCAGTAGTGACATTATAACACTATTATCTGTCATAGATCTCGGAATAACACCCCACATGTACATAATTTTTTTTAAAGTAGACAACCCAAGGTATTCAATATGGGGTATATCCAGTCTTTTTTAGTAGCCACCTAGTCGCAAACACTGGCCAAAGTTAGCGTTCATATTTGTTTGTGTGTGAAAAAAGTAAAAAACTAAACTGAATGCTAATTTTGGCCAGTGTTTGTAAATAAGTGGCTATTAAAAAAGACTGGACATACCCCATTTGCAATACCTTGGGTTGTCTTCTTTTGCAAATGCTATTCCTGGGCTACCGTACGCTCTCAAAGGCAACGTAACCAGCCTGGCCATTTTCAATGTAAAAATATTTGACCCTGTAACTTTCAAAAACGCTATAAAATCTGTACATGGGGGGCACTGTTATACTCTTGAGACTTTGCTGAACACAAATATTAGTGTTTCAAAACAGTAAAACGTATCACAACAATTATATCATCAGTAAAAGTGCTGTTTGTGTGTGAAAAATGCGAAAAAGTCACTTTCACTGATAATATCATCGCTAATATTTGTGTTCAGCGAAGTCTCCCGAGTAACACGGTACCCCCCATGTACAGGTTTTAGGGTGTCATAGAAAATTACAGGGTAAAATACAGTGCTAGCAAATTAAATTCTCTGGACTTTCGGCTTGGGTTGGCAGGCAGGTCCCTCAAATTGCAATTAATAAAATTACTTTAATTATGTAAAAATATTACATAAATACGCACGTAGAATTTAAATATATATGCATATTTATATATTTAAAAACTACGTGTATATTTATATAATTATTTATGTAATTTTGTATATGGACATATGTATAGTTCGTATTAGTTTTATTATTTATATATACATAGATATATATGCAATTTAATTCTAAGTGTATTTTGATATAAATATATATATTTTAATATCAAAATACAGTTAGAATAAAATTTCATATAGATATATAATTTTTTCTAAATTTTTATTATTTTTAAAATGTTTTTATTTAATTTACTTATTATTTGTATTTTATAATATATATGCAATATGTAATTTAATTATAAGTGTATTTTTATATTAATATAAGTACATATTAATATAAAATACACTTAGTATAATATATGTCTATATATCATATATATAAATATATATATATATATATATACACATATATAATTATATTTTTTTATTAACATGTACCTTTATTTTTTATTTTTTTATGATTTTACACTAGCAGGGAGACTGCCTGTCAGCACAGGCAGTCCCCCTGCAGGCAGACACTAGGACACCTATTGTGACCATGTGATCGCTCTGTTGAGCGATCACATGGCCCCAGGGGTCCTAATCTGCTGCGGGGAGACTGCCTGAGCTGCAGGCAGTCTCCCCACACCGGGACCACCGCCGATCGCCGCCAGGGGAAAGACGACGATCGGGTAAGTACATTACACCGTTAGGACGGTTCAGGACCGTCACCGGTCGGCAACGCAAAAATGCAGATGACGGTCCTGAACCGTCCTCGGTCGTTAAGGGGTTAAAATGCTAACATTATATACAAACATCAACTCTACACACAAAAACACACCTGTTCTAAAGTACTATGATCTGTTTACTCTCTGTAGAAATTAGTGTATATATACCAAAAACATTTTGGGGCTTCCAGAATGTTGATACATTATGTCAAAGGAATCCACATGGAAACTTAATTGGTAACCCCTGCTCTACATACATCCCAAGGTGCATGTACATGTTTTGCACTCTCTTGTTCCTTAGACTTGGAATTTAAGTCCAAAAGTAATGCTCAAAATTATTGAATATTTTACTTTTAGGGTCAGTTTATATTGGTACGGGTATAAGTCACAGTAATGGTTTTTAGTGGGTACCTAGGTAACTATAGTATGCATGCAGAACATTTCAGCTATAAAACCAGAGGGGAACCTGAAAGTTTCAGAGATATAAATCCTCTATGATGGCATTCCACTGTAAAAATTGCATTTGAGATTCCACTTGTTACATAGCTGGCATTATTTCAGGATTATATTGATCCAGCACGCAAAATAGTTTCACACCCTAGATACTACCGTACCTTAGAATGGCCGGACTTAAGGTACCCGAGAATAGTCAGAAAGCTAGCCGAGCTCAGGAACACAGAACGAGACAAAGCGATAAAGAAATGCCAAAATGTAAGAAAGATATCAGGGAAGTCAAAACGAAGCCAAAGTCAAAAAACAGAATAACACGATCCGGAACACACTCTCGGATAACCATCTAAGCGAAACCACGACAGGGCAATGAGCCAAGGAATAAGTGAGTTTAAATAACCCTCTTGCAGATCCGATTTGCTGTACCTAGCCCTTGACCCCAAAATGTGCATGTCTTCGTATTTTGGGTGATGTCCCCTACACGTCAATGTCGTCTTTACCTTGGGCGGACGTTGGGCTATATAATTGCGTGGGTCCGCAGCGGCCGGCGTGCACCTACATGCCGCACAAACCAGGTATCATAGCATAAGACCGCCAAGCGGCACTCCCCTCGATCTTCGAAAGGTAATTATCTCAGTTTTTGCCACAGGAATACAAAGGATACGTGACATTACCCCCCCAATTGAAGACCGCCCACCGGGCGGGCAGGACCAGGTTTGAGAGGAAGTTTGGCGTGGAAAGAACAGATTTTACGGCTAGCATGTATATCAGAAGCAGGAAGCCAAGAACAATCGGCAGGCCCATAACCCTTTCAATCAACCAGGTACTGCAAAGAACCACGAGAAAATCTGGAAACAATTATGGAGGAGACTTCGTACTCCTCCCATCCATCAATAACCAAAGGAGGAGGAGGGACAAAAGGGACAGTATACCTATTGCAGATAAGAGGCTTAAGCAAAGATACATGAAATTAATTAGGTGTACGCAAGGAGGCAAGAAGTGCAAGAGAATATGAAACAGGATTGATTCTCCAAACAATTCGAAAGGGACCAATAAACCTGGGTGCAAACTTCATGCTAGGAACCTTAAGTCTGATATTTCGCAAGGAGAGCCATACCCGATCACCCACCGGGTAAACAGGGTTGGCACTACGCCGCTTATCAGCATGAAATTTGATATGAGCTGCAGCAGTTTCAAGAGCTGTGTGGACCTTAGTCCAAGTCTCACGTATACATGCGAGCTGTTCATCCAGAGCAGGAATAGTAGTGTCAGAGAACACCGCAGAAAGAACAGTAGGATGACGACTGTTGTTGACAAAAAATGGACTATGTCCAGATGAGTTATGAGTAGCATTATTCCTGGCAAATTCGGTCCAAGGTAGCAAGTCAGACCAGTTTTCCTGAGTGCTATTAAAGAAACATCACAAATATAGTTCCAACGACTGGTTGGCCCTCTCAGCTGCACCATTGATTTGAGGATGGTACAAAGATGAAAATGACAATTCTATACCCAACTGTTTGTTAAATTCTCTCCAATATCGTGACACAAATTGGGAACACCTGTCTTACACAATATTTTGTAGAGTTCCATGTAATCTGACAATTTCGCATATAAATATATGAACCAGATCTTGGGAGGAAGGTAGCTTTTTGAGCGGAACAAAGTGTACCATTTTTGAGAAGCGATCAACCACAATAAGGATGGTGATATAGCCTTTAGAAATCAGGAGTTCCACAATGAATTCCATAGACAAATGGGACCATGGAACACTGGGTATAGGAAGTGGTTGTAATAACCCACATGGTAGTTTAATGTGGAACCTTAGAAACAGCATAAACAGTACAAGCCTCCACATACACTCTGATGTCTTTTCTAAGAGAAGGCCACCAAAATGATCTGGAGACCACGGATACAGTTTTATTAATACCCGGATGTCCAGCTGTCAGATTATTGTGGAACACTCTTTGTAACGGATCACCTGGCACCCTCCGACTGGGCACCTCCGTTGAAGGATGCTCCTAGCGCTTCCTGAGGACTCCAAGCACTGCAGCAGACACCACAACCACCGCAGCAGACACCACAACCACCGAACCGGAGAAGCATTCGAAGGCTCTCAAGCATTTGAATGCTGTAAGCAGCTGAACAGGAAAAGCATACAATCAGAATACAATCCAATTCCCCCAATAACGAGACGACACTTCGTTTTGAGGTCAAGCAGAACTGACTGTACTGGCACATACAGCCTCTTTTATTCACAATCCACAAACATAGTACTGTCCACAGGGTTTTGAAATACAACCAATCAATCAACAGGCAAATCATTTTTTACAGCCTCTTTTATTCACAATCCACAAACATAGTACTGCCCACAGGGTTTTGAAATACAACCAATCAATCCGTACAATACACACAGACACTCCCACACAAAACCCTCCCCTCTGAGAAATACAGTATTATAAAACATATCACAGGGGCCCCAAAACATGCAATAACCCCATAAAGAGTGTATCCTCAGAACCGGGGGATCTGGGTGAGCCACATATCCAAAATTCACCCAGATCCGTTCAGTAGTTTGGAAGATACAGTTTAATGCAGATTCGCAGAACATATACAGGCTATATGAAAAATAATTACTGTATAATGTGTCCCCTGTTGTATAGTTTAAAACTACTGCATGATGTCTTTGTGCACCAAATACCGGCGAGATGGCACCGTGTAGAAAAGTCCAAACAGTGTCTGTGAGTTAAAATGGCCGCCATCCATTGTTCTCACCATGTGCTTCATCCATTGTTCTCACCATGTGCCTCTGATACATGAAATGGTGGCCACCCAGTAACTCCACAGTATGTCCCGAGATGGTTCTTAAAAGGCCAGCAGCAGCATAATAAAAATCTATTATGCCCAAATCAGTTCCTAGAAGGGCAATACATCTCAGGGCCATAGTCGCAGGGCAGGAGGCTGGCAAACAGTCTTCTCCAATGCCCTGTGGCGAGGCTGGTTCCGTCACACTCTTAGTACCTCCTTTCTTTCTAGCAACGGAATAAACAATCTATCTTGAGGTTTCTCACTAGGTGCCTGAGACTGAGCCGCATTGATAGCACAAAGAAGAGGAGAAGACAAGGAAAGGACAGTAGAGGCAATGATATACTCAGGTGGAACGATTGGGGAGGTCTTCTTGTTCTTGTTCTGATTCTATGTCAAATTGCCTAGATAGGTAGTCAGCCTTAACGTTCTTAGGAACTTTACGTGATGATTACGTTAAAGCGTGACAAGAACAATGACCCACTAGCTTGTCTAGAAGACAGCCTTTTAGAATTTCTAATGTATGCCAAGTGTTTTTGATCAGTTAGGATCAGGAGGGGATCCTTGGAACCTTCCAAAAGATGTCGCCATTCTTTCAGAGCTAGTATAATGGCCAACAATTCTCTGTTAGCAATATCATATCGCTCCACTGGTGACAACTTTATAGAAAAGAACCCACAAGGATGCAAAGGGGTATCCTGACTCTCCCTCTGAGAAAGAACAGCCCCTACCCCTGTCTCAGAGGCATCTACCTCTAGTATGAAGGGTTTGCTAGTGTCAGGATGTACCAATATGTCAGCAGAGGCAAATAATTTTTTAAGAAGCTCAAAAGCTTCTCTAGCTTCTTTAGACCATATAATACAGTAAACCCCCTTACGTGTCATATTGGTGATGGGGGCTATCACAGTAGAGAAACTGATGAATCTCCTATAGTTATTTGCAAACCCAATAAACCTTTGAATGGCTTTTAACCCATTAGGTAATGGCCAGTGTAGAACGGCTTCTAGTTTGCGAGGGTCCATCTGAAAACCAGAGGCTGAAATAGCATATCCCAAGAACTGTAACCTTGTGTGATCAAATATGCATTTCTCAAGTTTGCAATATAGAAGCATTTTTAAGCAAAGTTTGCAATACTTGCTTCACATGCCTATGATGAGTCTGGAGATCGGTGGAATAAATAAGAATATCATCCAGATATACTAATACAAAATTATAAATGTAGTCTCTGAGAACATCATAATGAAAGCCTGAAATACGGCCGGAGCATTGCGTAAGCCGAAGGGCATGACAAGATACTCATAGTGACCACTTCTTGTGTTTAATGCAGTTCTCCAGTCATGACCCTCCTTAATCCTTACCAAATTGTAAGCACTCTTAAGGTCGAGTTTGGTAAACACCTTAGCGCCCTGGAGTCTGTCAAACAATTCTGAGAAAAGGGGAATGGGATAAGCATTTCTGATGGTAATTTTGTTTAATGCCCTATAATCAATACATGGCCATAACTCTCCATCTTTCTTGGATACAAAAAAGAACCCTGCACCTGCAGGTGAAGAAGATTTACGTGTGTGACCTTTTTGTAGAGACTCTTTAATGTAATCCTCCATAATCCTACTCTCCTGTGGTGATAAGGGGGCATAGTGCCGGGTAACAAATCTATGGAGCAATCATGAGATCTGTGAGGAGGTAGCGTATCGTCGGTGTGAATTTTACTAAACACTTCTTTAACCTCCCAGTACTGCACAGGAATTTCGGTAGGCTGAGGCGTAGGAGTATTTAGAGCAACAATGCCCATTCTTTTAGTAATGGGTAACCTACATCTCTCACTACATTATTTACCCCTTCCAGTAAATCCCCCATTGCCCAGTCAATATGAGGATTATGCTTAACAAGCCATGGGAATCCCAGTATAATGGGACAAGAAGGGGAAGCAGTTATCTAAAATGTAATGATTTCTTTATGTAATGCTTCTATAGTAACAGTAATATGCATAGTTTCGTGGGTAATTAGAGGTTGAGAGAGAGGTCTCCCATCAATAGCCTCGATGGCCAGGGGTGGTGATCTCTCCTTGATGGGTAGGTGGTGTTTACTGACAAATTGTATGTCGATAAAGTTTCCTGCAGCACAATCATGGCTTTACATGAAAAACTTTTCTTGTTGCATAGAGCAGTAATATTAGGGAGAAATCTTTAAGTAGTACCAGGAGACATATCCATCACATCCATCATGGTTCTTAGGTGCGCAAGTTTTCCGGACGTATGGGACAAGCATCTCATATGTCCTTTCTTGCCACAGTATAAGCAAAGGCCCTCTTTTCTCCTGAACTGTTTTTCTGCCTCTGACAGTCTCATAAGCCCAACTGCATAGGTTCAGTTTTAGACTGCACAGGAGGGCCAGAAACAACAGGACTAGAGAAGCGAGGCGCCAATGACATATTCATTACGTTTGGTTCTATTTCTGTCATACCTCGTGTCCCGAACCGTCCCGGTCCCGCCGTCCATCCTCTCCTGCCGGGCGGATCTATGGCTGGCGTCACGCGTGCGCGGCTCCAGGAGCGCACACGCGTCCGAGGACGTGCGCATGCGGTAGCCGACAGGGGTGACGTGACCCTTAGCATTTAAAGTCTAGCCTATTGCTACTATCTATTTATATCCTGCCTCATTTCTGTCCCTGCCTATCAGAGTACAGCTTGCCCTATATTAACCTCCTTCTGACATCACTTCCTTCCCCTGTCGTGGTTTATTATAGCCCGAGAGTGCGTTCTTATTACTTGTCTTTCTTTGGTTCCTGACTTCGGCTTGTTATTTTGTTATTCTTGTTTCTGGCTCCCTGGACTTTTGGCTCTGTCTATACGCTTACTCGTACCTCTATATCCCTGACTTTGGCGTGTCTGACTATTCTTATCTCTTATTCCTACGTTAAGCCGACCACTTTAAGATCCGGTAATACATCTGCCTGTGCTTGCCTTTACTGTTCTCTGGATTGCATGTTGGGGAGTATTAAGCTTGACCATTTCTAGTTATCTCCCTGTTCCTAAGTCAATTATGCATATACATCACATAAGTGATGTATTTATTTAATCTCCTTGGTTGTTCTTTGGCTGCAATCTCATCAAGGATAGCTTCAGATAATCCCTCTGAGAATGCGGTGAATAATCCGTTATTGGTCCAGTCTACCTCAGAAGCCAGGGTGCGGAATTCTATGGCATACTCTGAGACAGACCGGTTCCCTTGCTTGATACACATTAGGGCAGTGGAGGCGTTGCTCTCCCTTCCCAATGGTTCAAACGTTAATTTGAATTCCTCAAGGAACTCCTGGTAATTATGGGCAACAGTCTTATTACTCTCCCATAATGGATTGGCCCATGCTAAGGCTTTACTTTGTAGTTGGTTCATTAAGTATCCAATTTTAGCTCTATCCGTGGGGAAAGACCCAGGTGAGGCTTCAAAATGGTACTCAATTTGATTAAGGAATCCCTGATATTCATGAATATTACCTTTAAAATATAGGGTGAAAATAGGGTGATTGTAGGTGCCCTATATACGATAGGTGTAGGTACAGTAGGTGGGGGGGGGGTATATTGCCGAAGGGACCTCAGGCTGCAAATGAGCCGTACGTATAAGTAGCGTATTGAAAGCTTGGGCAAATTGATCAATATGATGATCATTCTCCTCTAGCTTTCTCTCACAAGCTAAAATGTGCTGCCACATATCTGCAGGATCTATAGCCATGTCGTAATGTCAGGATTATATTGATCCAACATGTAGAATAGTATCACACCCTAGATCTAAAGGGTAACGTGTTACCGGACCTTAGAATTGCCGGACTTAACGTACCCGAGAATAGCCAGAAAACTAGCCGAGGTCAGGGACACAGAACGAGACACAGCGATGAGGAAAAGTCAAGGGTACCAGAAATCAGGGAAGTCAAAACGAAGCCAAAGTAAAAAAACAGAATAACACGATCAGGAACATACTCTCGTATAACCATCTAAGGGAAACCACGACAGGGCAATGAGCTAAGGAATAAGTGAGTTTAAATAAGCCTCTTGCAGATCCGATTGGCTATACCTAGCCCTTGACCCCAAAACGTGCGTGTGCATCTTTTGCGTGACGTCACCTGCACGTCGACGTCGTCTTTACCGTAGACAGACGTTGGGCTATATAATTGAGTGGGTCTGCAGCGGCCAGCGTGCACCGACATGCCGCATAAACCAGGCATCATGGCAGAAGACCGCCGAACGCCACTCCCCTCGATCTTCGGAAGGTAATTATCTCCGTTTTTGCCACATGGATACGAAGGATACGTGACAAAATATAGGGAAAAGTCTATTTTATTCATATAATTTGAATGTAATATAAGCATAATTAATAATAACAATTTAGTATTTTACAGTATTTATGATTGACAATGAGGACTAAAACTTTACTACATTTATGTTGGCATGTTAAAGCCTGAAAGTTTATGGACACAGCTTGTCAGTGTGTTGGCGGCATTTCTGTGATTTAGATGCTAGGAACTGAATTTTGTTGCTTTCAAGCACGGGAGGGCTGGCAGCCTTAAAGGACCACTCTAGGCACCCAGACCACTTCAGCTTAATGAAGTGGTCTGGGTGCCAGGTCCAGCTAGGGTTAACCCATTGTTTTATAAACATAGCAGTTTCAGAGAAACTGCTATGTTTATCAATGGGTTAAGCCTTCCCCCAAAGCCTCTAGCGGCTGTCTCCTGTTCCGCGCGGAGTTTCTGTTTCCTGTAACCGGTCGGACTGACAGGAAGTGCACACTCCTTCCTATCAGTCCGGCCGGGCACCGCGGACAGCAGAGCAGCTCGGCCACGCTACAGGGGAGGGCAAGGAAGGAGCAGCCGCAGCCGCCTGAGGCTCTTAACAGAGCGCTCAGGCGGCTGCAGCATTTAAAGGACCGGCCCTGCAGCGGCCGGTGCTAACAGAATTTAGGGTGGCCTGGGGGGCAATTGCCTTCCTGCCCCCCGGCCCAGCCCGCCCCTGCTTTCAAGTGATGCGTGAACAGATTTTATCAAACTATTGAAATGAGTGTTCAATTTGGTGTTTTACTTATGAGAATTCTCATGAACAATGTTCTCAGAAAACACACCTGTATAGTTATTTTTGTTTAAGTGATTTAAAGGACCACTCTAGGCACCCAGACCACTTCAGCTTAATGAAGTGGTCTGGGTGCCAGGTCCAGCTAGGATTAACCCATTCTTTTATAAACATAGTTTCAGAGAAACTGCTATGTTTATGAATGGGTTAAGCCTTCCCCCAAAGCCTCTAGCGGCTGTCTCATTGACAGCCGCTAGAGGCGCTTGCGTGCTTCTCACTGTGATTTTCACAGTGAGAGCACGCCAGCGTCCATAGGAAAGCATCGTAAATGCTTTCCTATGCGACCGGCTGAATGCGCGCGCAGCTCTTGCCGCTCGTGCGCATTCAGCCGACGAGGAGGAAAGGAGGAGGAGAGCTCCCCGCCCAGCACTGGAAAAAGGTAAGTTTTTACCCCTTTCCCCCTTCCAGAGCTGGGCGGGAGTGGGTCCCTGAGGGTGGGGGCACCCTCAGGGCACTATAGTGCCAGGAAAACGAGTATGTTTTCCTGGCACTATAGTGGTCCTTTAAGGTTTTCTGAAATTCCATGCATTCATGACTGAGGGTGTTAGAACAGTTTTTGCCGTGTGTTTGCTCCACTGTAATGTCTTGCTGTCTCATTAAGTGCAATGTACACATTATATTTTATTTTGTAAAGAACATATGCAGCTTTCTTCAGTTCCCCTATTTAAGTATATAACACAATATAAGTGTGAACAATACACTACATGAAATGTGTCTAAAGGCTCTTGATTTTTTTTATTTTCTTCCCCATTTTTTAAAACTATTTTATGAACAACCTATACAGACACTGCTGGTTTTATTTATTTGTATTTGTGTGTTTATCACGCATATATGTGTTTGGGTGGATTTCATAGATTTTGTGTGTTTCTGTAGAATAAAGACCCAAGAATTGTATTCTGCTTTGCCTCCGAGATCAGAAACATCCTTTTGTAGACTTTTGTTAGAGTTTTAGTAGTGATGCTGTCAAATTACAAACATGCCAGTTTCAGTGTTCTGACTTGCAATTCTGACTGACTGATTTATGGACTCATGTTGCTTTTGAGAAAAAATAGCAGCCTTTCAAATGTACCGGAACTTACCATTTTGGATTACCATTTTCAAAAAGAAGACCCAGTCTGGATAAGGATCATTGTTCAAGCTGCAGATCTAATGGAAAGCTGTAACAATGAAAACATATTCAGTAAGAAATAGAGCACTCACAGTACATCACTTGGGAAATGAGTACAAAGTAATACCAAAGTATCTGGAAATCCCAGTTAACACTGTTGGCTCAACTATGGAAATGGAGGCTGCAGCACACCACCTAGATACTTCTTAGAAGACGCTATCCTCAAAAGTCCAGCAACCAAACATGGAGGAGACTTGTGAAGGAAAACAAGAAAAAGCCATCAGTAACTTTAAATGAGCAAAAGAAGTTAGTGACTGAAACTGGACGAGGTGTGCCCCAGTAACAGAATCAAGAGCTCTGTCAATATGGCCTGTATGGAAGGCCAGAAAAAAAGTCCCTGGTCAATAACAGCCATATGAAAGCTTGTTGACATTTGCAGAAATGCATGAGACTGGCGCCGCTAAGTTGAGGGAAAAGGTTTTATAGTCAGATAAGACCAATAGAAAGTTATTTTGACCATTATTCAAACCACTATGTGTGGAACAAACAAAATACCACCCATACCTCAACAAACACTCTTTCTACAGTGAAATGTTGTGGTGGCTTCATCATGCTGTGGGTGTCGTAAATTGAATTACAATTGTAAAACAATATTTAAAATAAAGTTTACCCCTTTAAGAAGTTTTCGCAATTTCTCAGGAGAAGGGAAGAAAAAGAAGTAATCCAATTTTGGAATTACCGATAAAGAGTGAGAAATTGTACAGTAATCCAAACGAAACAAAAATAGATAGTCTGTACTTTAACTTGATCACAAATAATAGTCAGAAATGTGGGAATAACACAATAATCTTGTAGTGAATTCCAGAGGAGATGTAGTTAACATTCTGAGTTTGGCAACGTGGAAATCATTTAGGTGCTGAGAAGGGAGATCCAAAAGAGAGGTAATAAATCTGAGTTTGGCAACATGGAAATCATCCAGGCGCAGATAAGGTAGATCCAGGAGAGAAGTGGTTAATCAATCCGAGTTCAGCAACGAGGAATAAAGTCAGAAGCAGAGTAGAGAAATCCAGAGGAGAAGTAATAAATCTCTCCGTGGTCAGCAAGATTAAATCATTCAGAAGCAGATAAGAGAGATCCAGAAGAGAAGTAAGAAAACTATCAGAGGTTGGCAACAAGGAAATCAATCAGTGGTAAGCAGAGCAGTGGGAGGAGGCAATGGCACTTGGACTCAAATAAACGGATCTTAAAGTGGAGGTAAAAGAATTATGTCTAACCAAAGTTGATACACATTAACTGTGCACTGAGGCACTGAAGTTGAATGTTTAAATAATGTACCATTACATATGTCAGTGCCTCATTAAAGACACAGGCTCTCATATATCAGTGGGAGTGATTTTCAAGAAGGGACTGGTAAACTTGAAGAAAGAATGAATGTGTTAAATTCTGGACAATACTGCAGAAGAATCTTTTTTCTTTTTCAGAAAAGGCTGAAGTTCTGAAAAGTTCACCTTTTAACAGGCCTTGATCCCAAGCATGTGCCAAAAGCAAATTTGGAATAACAACAAAGAAAAAAAAAATGATTATCCTACAGTTGCTCATGCTCTCAATTCTATTGAGAATATGTGGCACTGTTTGAAAATTTGTGTCCTCAATGGCCACCCAACTAACCTCTGCCACATGGAGCAAATTTGCCAGGATCAGGGGGAAAAATACTCCCAGCCACTGTGCAAAGCTGGTAAATTCTTACCTCCCCTTGACATAAACATAGGGCCCATGTTTGTAAAATATGTGGGGTGTGTACACATACACAAAGTCTCCCCACACTGATTCAGACCCCTACAGTCATCCTTTACAATTATCTCCCACACAGTAACCACCAATATACATTCAGTATCCTACACTCAAAGTCACACACAACTCACAGCCTTTCCAAAAAGCACTGTACAGATCAGATGTCAAGACCTCAAGCAGCCCCCCATGCATACAACACACTACAAGCAGCTCCCATACACACACACATGCTCACAGATATAGAGATACATGTGGCAGAACCTACCGTCCTATTTGAACTGCTTAATTCCCTTATGTTCGGGAGCTGTTGGAACCGAACACTCTCCGTTCGACTCCCAAACGTGGACCACACCGACAACTCATTAGAACCTTAGAATGAACCATTAAAGCATTGGAGTTACAAGTATCCAACGTGCGAAACCGCAAGGGATATAACTAATGAATGCTTCCCCTGAACGCAGGTACCGGTACTTGGTCGTCAAGTATCTGGAACTGTTTTCGGCTATGCACTCGCACGAAACCCGGCAAAGATGATACCGCTGTCCGTCCCACTTCCTGACCAACTACACGACCGGCGTTTGGGAGATAGCATCCACCGACTGGGGGCACCTTTCACTCCCTGAAAGCAAGTTATCTTGTATGGTGTTCGCGCAAAAACCCCCGAACAGAGACCGGCCTTTGCTACCAATTCCCTGCTACCAGTTTTGGGCTTTTCCCTCGTGGCAGGCTGGTCAGAACTTTACCCCGGTGGCGATTCCATTCTACGTGCTATTTGGCAAACCTGGCCACTCAGATCAGGGCTACCCAGGGATATGACATTTGTGGGGTTCCTGTTAATATTTGGGATACTTTTGGGGTGTTTTTTTATAAAAATATGTATGTTTCCCTGTAACTGAGAGATAATTGAGTTACAGGGAGTGGCTATGTTTCTGTATGGAGACCCTCTGTGTTTAAAATTGCGAGTGTTTAGCCTGAATAAACGAGTTGACTCCCAGAACTATGCCTCGTCTGGTTGCTGGGGGGGGGAGGGGATAGAGCATAATCACACAACGGTTCCAGTCTGGCTGAGATGGAAAATAGTGGAGGTAATCAGTCGGGTTACCCTGAGTCCGCTACATCTGGTGGCAGTGGTGGGATGGTACCTCCCAGCCGAAAGGAACCAGCCTTCCCCATCCACAAATTAAACCAAACCCATGGATGAATTATACAGCGCTGAAATGGAAAGCCCTCAAGTAGTTGCTGGAAGCCAGAGGACAAGTTGCCAGCAACCGTTCCAAGACCAACCTAATCACATCGCTCATGGATATCGATGGAATCAGCTGCGGTCCAGCTGTGCCGGCGACCAGCGAGACAGAATTACAACGGGAGATGCGGATACGCCTAGCATTCTATGGGAGCAATCCATCGGAAGAGATCGTGGCCCGAACGCTATCCGAAGTACAAGCGTACCTCTTGACAAAAGGTGAATGGGAGAACCAGCTGCAACTTACCGAAGGGCGTAAGCCAAAAATCGAATATAATGCATTTAAAACGTTTGGAGTTGGAGGAGGACATTGACAAATTCCTACAAGATTTTGAATGTCACCTCCCTCTCTTAGCAGGAAGGTTGACCGGGAAAGCCGCAGACGGATACCGGGCAGTACCCGACGCAGACCTTTGCAATTACTCCAGCGTTAAATAGGTACTGCTGGCCCGACATGCGTTCACACATGAGGCATAGCGCTGGAGATTCCGCTAATCAAAGAAGCAAGAAAAGGACTTGCATACCGAATGGGTTTGCCGTTTAACCAGGGCAGTAATTGGATGCAGGCAAAGACACCGGAAGAAATAATGCAAGTTGTCCTACTAGAACAATTTTACAATGGACTCTCCTCAGAGGTACAAGAATGGGTGAGGGACAGACAACCCTCCACCATAAATGAAGCAGCTTAGCGGGCGGACGAAGCCCGAATACCACAACAACCCAGCTACTGACCTACTCTACACCACGTTCAACCCTATGTACCTGCTCCGGTATCCCAACCCCTGAGCCAACCAACCCCAGGAGCACCACAGCGGGCTCCCAACCGAGCCAACACCCAGTGCCATCAATGTTTCCGGGCACGTAAAAAGAGACTGTCCCCAGCCAAGAGACCGCTCACAGTGGATGTGACCAGGATCACCACCAGTACCCAGGGTAGCCACCCATTATTATCATGCTGATGTCCCACCTACCCAAACTCCCACTGAGGAAGCCTGGGGTTTCCTACATGAAGCCGATCCAGTACAAGCTGCAGCAGATAACCGGAGTCACCATCGGCAGTCTGTCAAACTGAATGTAGGAACAGTTTAGGACTTGCGGGACACAGGAGCCACATTGACCCTGGTACAGCAGAAGCTTGTCACAGAGGCAGAAAAGACCGGAGGAACTGTAGCCGTCCGTGTAGCAGGGGGAGCCATATACTGTCTTCCTACCACCAAGTCCACCTAGACTGTGGCGTTGGAAATGGAATGGTCGAGGAACCACCTACCCGCAAAGGTTCTACTGGGCAACGACCTGGGTCCGTTAACCTCTACTTTTGTGCCCCAGACAGACCAGGAGGATTTATACCCAGTCACTACCCTGCTACAAGCCCGCACCACCCAGGACAGCTTGCTCTCCGAGGCTCAGGTAAGAGCAAACTCCCCTGCCCTTAACCCAGCCCTGCTCCCTTGGGATACCCCAGCTGAATTTGAAACAAGTAGCCGCTGATCCCTCCCTACAAAAGTGTAGAGAGAAGGTAGCCACTAGCCAGGCAGGGTTAGAAGGTGAAAGGTTTATGGGGAAGCGGGGACTGTTATATAGGGTAGCTGAAAGAGTAGGGTCTGAGATCGCACCGTCAACTACTAAACTCTATTAATAGCTCACGATATTCCCATAGCTGGGCACTTGGGGGGTAAGCCGCACAAAGCATCAGCTCACCCAGAGTTTCTTCTGGCCAAGCATCTATAAAAACTTGAGACAACACTGCCAGTCTTGCGATGTCTGCCAGAAATTAGGGAAAAGAGGGGACCGAAGCAGGGCCAAGCTCCATCTCCTGGGAGCGACCGCGCATCTGGTATGATTGGGGAGCTTGGAACCGTAGTTTTCAAATCGGCAGGGCCCATACCAGGTAGTAGAACAGAAGTGTGACACTACCTATGTTATAGGTCCCTGTTTAGGAGAAGGGGTTTGGCGCTTGTTACATGTGAACATGCTAAACAAAGGATGGAACCGCTATATGCGTGCCTACTTCAGAAGATTTTGACAATGCTAACACCTGGCTATTTGCAGGATTAATCACTAAACTCTGGATTTTGCCAAATTAAATCCAAATGGAAACACTAAGGCAAAAATAGATGATCTGGAAAAAATTCTTCCACTCAGCTATATTCACAACTATTTCTGCCATTTAAATAGCGAAAATCTTGTAGTGAGATTGTGGTGTGTGCTTGCTGTAACTACTCTGTCTAATCTGTGTTGGTTGTATGTAATGTGCATATGGTGTGTGCTGGTTGTATGTAATGTGTATATGTGCTGGTTATGTTTAATGTGCATGTGATGTGTGCTGGCTGTATATAATGCATGGGTTGTTTTGTTTTGTGTGGTTTTTTTTGTTTTTTTTTATTGTCTGTCCTGAAGTTGGCATCCCATAGTTATCATAATTTTTCGGCACATTTTTCTTTGAGCTTAGTTGTGTAAAGCCAGCCCATGTGACTTTTTCCAAAAGAAAGTTCAGGGGATTATGGGAATAAAAAATTTAAGGGGTGCGGAGCCAGCTGCCATACTGTTTGGACGCATAACAAGAGAGCTCTGGGCCGTTCTCCAAATAAAGGCCTACTATTTGCCCTTTCAGCACAGCACCTGACCGCAAAGAGAGAGGTATCGTTCCCACTAATGACAACCGCCGACATCGGCGATCTCCTGAGAAGGCCGCAAGGAGTAGTGAAGCCTGTCATAGAGCCTCTCTCCGACGGGCTGTCTTACTCATCTAGCGAAACATCGCTCCCAGACATGGAGGAACTGGCCATCATCACTAGAAGACCGAGAGCTGACTTGCCTGCAAAGCGGTCAGACGGCTCACCGGTGACGGAGGGAACTTTGAAGGCACTCCTGGACGACCTCCGCCACAGTCTAGCTGCTGATATTTACTCCTTCATGGAGGAGATTAGCGGAGTGTCGATGCGCCTCCACGGTCGCCCATGAGACCTGCCTAAATACGTGAGATGAACAGGCCCAGACTCGGAGCCGCATGACAGTGATGGAATTTCACAGGAGATGGAAAAATGTTAGATAAGGGGAATACCAGAGCAGATCGGCACAGCCAAAATCCATCACCTAGGCAGGAGTTTACTCACACATCTCTTTTCAGCCAAGCAGGCTAACATGATGGCCCTGGATAGATGCTTCAGACTCCCGGCGCCTACATCACGCTCCACCGAGGTGAACAGGGATGTCATCGTCCGACTTTAAAATGGGCCGGATAGGCAAGCGTTCCTAACAACATTGCGGAATAAATCACTATATGACTTCAAAGGACACACGCTAATGTTCTATCCAGAGCAACACTGGAGTGGCGTAGGTCTCTAAAGCCGCTGACAACAGAATTGATACAACACAACATACCTTACAAATGGGACACCCCAAAATGTTTGCTGATACCCCAGGACTCAGGGAATCTAAAAGTCCACGAGGCCGCAGAAATTAAAAGCACCATACATCAATTGGAGTAACTCTGCTTCGGCAGCTATCTCCTGAAGAACTCATTAGATCGCAGTACCTCTTTAACTCATAACAGTTCTTGCTCCGTTATGCTTATAATTGTTGTTTCACAGTTTAAATGTTTTATATTAATCTTATATGAATCCTAACACTAAGTACGATATCCGCTGATACATAGTTTCCCCCATCTGCTGGCTTGAGGGTTATACCTCTTAACACTCCCACCCCGCCCCCCTACCCTCTGACCTTACATTATTGCCATTGTGTCACCCAATGGGTGCCAGCTTCTTGTACATGTAGACCCATATTGACTTCCCTCTTACTAAACCAATAGGCATGAGGCCTATACCGCCTCGAAATGTCACTAACGCCACCTACCTACCTACTCTTTCATAACAGGCGATAGGCCAAACAGGCAACATAACAGGCTATGTTACACCACTTCCCTATCTCCTGCATTTAAGCGACATACTAGCCTGCATTCCTCCTTTTTCCCAGTATAAAATAACGTGCTGTTTTAATGCCATGCCTTTGTTTTTGCTATGTTGAACTCATTGTACTTGCACCTGCTGTCATGGCAGCGCAATGTTGTAGTTATACCTTGCACAACAAAAATAAAGAATTAATCAAATAAAAAATATCAGTGTTATTGGTCAGTATTTGTAATAAAAAAAAAATTATGCTTCACAATATAATACTGAAGATATTACCAATTATATACTACTTCCATATGCTGGAATGTGTTTCTACATCACTGATTTTAGGTTGTACTGCGCCTGTGGACTTAATACACATTTGGTGCCTCAGTGCCATTTCTATATCTATATATTGTGTTTAAGGTTTTGATGCTGTAACCTACAGGCTCCTAATATGTATGTATTCCCTTTACCATTCTATTCTTTGGTCCATTGTTAATTGTCATTGTTGAGATAAGGTCTCTCTGGGTTTGAGAATAGTGTGGTGGCAGCATGCACCTAATATGTATGTATTTCCTTTACCACTCTATTATTTGGTCTATTGTTAATTGTCGGTGTTGAGATGTGGTCTGTGTGGGTTTGAGAAAGGTGTAGCAATACAGTAATTGTTCTTTGCATTTCTGGTGCTCCGTGAGTAAGAGTGCATGCTGGGAATCCTGCTGGCTGCACTTTAACTCACAAGAGAGCGGCAGGCTCCAAGGGAGCCATTACTGAAGTCTAAACCTGCCGGAGGTACAAACCTCACACTGGCAGTCCCAACATTGTCCTTCCTAGTGCAACTCTGCCGCTTGCCCGGTAGGTTAAAAACAATTGCCTGCCTGGTGCCCAGAACTGTATGTCCTGCATTCTAATGCCACATCCATGTATATATGTGCGTGTGTACAATATTAGTATATGGGAGATTTGAGTGGAGGATCATAGAATATGTTGTGAAAAATGTCAGTTTTACATTCAGTGAGGGGAAAAAGTATTTAAATCCTATGCTGATTTTGAACGTTTGTCCACTGGCAAAGAAATGATCAGTCTATAATTTTAATGGTAGGTGTGTTTTAACAATGAGAGACAGAATAACAAAAATAAATCCAGAAAAACGCATGTAAAAAAAGTTATAAATCAATTTGCATGTCAATGAGTAAAATAAGAATTTGATCCCCTATCAATCAGCAAGATTTCTGGCTCCCAGGTGTCTTTTATACAGGTAACAAGTTAAGATTAGGAGCACTCTCTTAAAGGGAGTGCTCCTAATCTCAGCTCGTTACCTGTATAAAAGACACCTGTCCACAGAAGCAATCAATCAGATGCCACACTCTCCATTATGGCCAAGACCAAAGAGCTGTCCAAGGATGTCAGGGACAAGATTGTAGACCTACACAAGGCTGGAATGGGCTACAAGACCATCGCCAAGCAGCTTGCTGAGAAGGTGACAACAGTTGGTGCGATTATTCGCAAATGGAAGAAACTCGAAATAACTGTCAGTCTCCCTCGGTCTGATGCTCCATGCAAGATCTCACATTGTGGAGTTTCAATGATCATGGAAACAGTGAGGAATCAGCCCAAAACTACACGGGAGGATCTTGTTTAAGATTTCAGGGCAGCTGGGACCATAGTCACCAAGATAACAATTGGTAACACACTACGCCGTGAAGGACTGAAATCCTGCAGCGCCCGCAGGGTCCCTCTGCTCAAGAAAGCACGTCAAACATGAAGGTGGAAACATGCTTTGATGGTTTTTTTCTGGTACGGGCACAGGACAAACTGCACCGCATCAAAGATGGACCATGTACCGTCAAATCTTGGGTGAGAACCTCTTTCCCTCAGTAAGGACATTGAAAATGGGTCGTGGATGGGTATTCCAGCATGACAATGACCCAAAACACACAGCCAATGCAACAAAGGAGTGGCTCAAGAACAAGCCCATTAAGGTCCTGGAGTGGCCTAGCCAGTCTCCAGACCTTAATCCCATAGAAAATCTGTGGAGGCAGCTGAAGGTTCAAGTTGCTAAATGTCAGCCTCGAATCCTTAAAGGACCACTATAGTGCCAGGAAAACATACTTGTTTTCCTGGTACTATAGTGCCCTAGGGGTGCTCCCACCCTCAGGGTCCCGCTCCCGCCGGGCTGGATGGAGAGGAAAGTGTTAAACGTACCTCTTTCTCCAGCGCCGGCTGGGGAGCTCTCCTCCTCCTGTCCTCCCTCTTCTTCCGTCACCGGCTGAATGCGCATGTGCGGCAAGAGCCGCGCACGCATTCAGCCAGTCCATAGGAAAGCATTATCAATCCTTTCCTATGGACGCTGGCGTCTTCTCACTGTGAAAATCAGCCCTCAATGAGACAGCCACTAGAGGCTGGATTAACCCATAGGTAAACATAGCAGTTTCGCTGAAACTGCTATGTTTACAGAAAAAAGGGTTAATCCTAGCTGGACCAAGCACCCAGACCACTTCATTAAGCTGAAGTGGTCTGGGTGCCTATAGTGGTCCTTTAATGACTTGTAGAGGATCTGCAAAGAGAAGTGGGACAAAATCCCTCCTGAGATGTGTGCAAACCTGGTGGCCAACTACAAGAAACGTCTGACAAGGGTTTTGCCACCATGTACTAAGTCGAAGGGGTTAAATACTTATTTCACTCATTGACATGCAAATCAATTGATACGTTTTTTTGACATGCGTATTTCTGGATTTTTTTGTTGTTGTTGTTATTCTGTGTCTCACTGTTAAAACACACCTACCATTAAAATTATAAACTGATCATGTCTTTTTCAGTGGGCAAACGTTCAAAATCAGCAGGGAATCAAATACTTTTTTCCCTCACTGTATTCAGAAATGTTATTTATTTACAACTCTGTTTTCTTATCTGCAACTTCATTATTTGGTAAATGATTTTTAAATAGTTTTTCTGTCCAACCAATTTTTTTTTTATTTCCCATTAAAGTGTTATATATGCATGCTGAAATTAAAAATAATGGTGCTTCAGCTGTGGTTTTTCCTCAAACTGAGTGGTAGTAAATACCAGTAATAGATGGAAAATGGATATCTTCAAACAAGGACAATATGATATCTCCTAGAACATCCATATCAAACTGCAGTTCTTAACTCTCTTAATATAAAAACTGATGATTTTAACACTTTTTGTTATATTTACTTTTTTATATCTATATTTTCTGCAATCTCTCTCTTCAGATTTTCCAGCCACTAAACACACACATGGTTCTAGCCGGCATAGAAATATGGTCCAATGAAAATCTCATAAATACAGATACAGATAATGCACAAGACATTCTTGACAAGTTTTTAAAGTGGAAGAGTGACTTCCTGGACAGTCGAATCAAATGTGACATTGCAGGATTATCTCTGTAAGAATTACAGTACAATGTAATGTTATATCATACATATATACTATTTAGAGGATAGAACACTCAGTATACAGTAATGTGATTTTATTCTGCCATCGTACAAGGTGTGACAATGTTTTGACAAAAGTATCTTTGGAAAGCCATCTTTGATGCACAGGCACCACTCATTTGGTGTTTACTGTGCCACACAGATCTATTTTCCATATGTAATATTCACATTATGTGGGATAATTTAAGAATACGTGTTTGCATTTCTAACACTATAGTGTTGCTTTAAGCAATATAAAAGCACCAAAAATGACCAGGCATAAGAACCTGAACTCTAAACCCCAAACAGAGCACTCAGTAGGCATCATTGTACTTGCTCTCATACAGTGTGCTAATTCCTAAATGAGATATTTGAGTTGATGGCGCCACAGACCACTTGGATAACCAGTGGAAAGAATTTTGTTATTCTATAATTTTAGTCCCTATGAATTTGTGCCCTTAAAGCTACTTACATGGAGGACACTTTCAGCATTCTTCTCACCTGGTAGAAGACAACTATGAAGTCAATTCATTCTCTTAATCAATAGTTTTGGTATGTAATTTTAAATGTAACTATATAGATTTCAAATGTCTAGACCTAAAGTTTCACAGTACTTATAGTTGTATTGGTTCCCATGGTGTCCCTTAAAGACAATCGGTAAAAGTGTGACTGATTAGTCACATACACCATCTCAAAAAGTCTCTGGAAAGGAAAGCAAAATCCAAACTAATGTAATACAACTATCCCTGTGATTGAATTGCTACCTCCAATCAGAGAGTCTAAATTAAGATGCATGTTTTCCATGAAAACAGAAAACCACAGGGCACCACAATCACTATATAGGCAATGTAAAATGGGGGTGAAAAAAGAAGGAATATAATGACAAAGATAAAAAATAGCAAGAATTTATTGATTACAAAATATCCACATTAACAGCACAATACATGTGCAGTAAGAAATAAAATTGCCACAATAGGCCAAAGACCCTTAGGTACAGCAGTTTAACACAACATAATACTGGACTAGATAGACAAAGTGCAAGTGCCTAAGTGCAAGTAAACACAGAAATAAAGGTGCAGAAAAGTCAATCATAGTCAACCACTTTCAAGTTCAATGATAATGAACTGAAGGAAAAAATATTGCACAAACAATTAAAAACCAGTATAAATGCAAAATAAAACTGCTGATACCAAACTGCAGGGTCACAGGGTATGCTCGAATATGCTCAACGCGTTTCGTCTTGCGACTTCCTCAGGACCTCTGGGCAGATGATTCACTTTGAATGGGGGCACAGAGAGTCTGCCTGTATCTGTCTTCCATGTAGACAAGTCAATGGTAGGTTCTGGCAAATGGCCATTTGAGAGGGATATCAGTTGTTTGTCCTCTAAGGCAGGGGTGGGCAATCTGCAGCCCTCCAGATGTTTTGGACTACATCTCCCATGATGCTTTGCTAGCATTATGGCCCTAAGAGCATTATGGGATATGTAGTCCAAAAGATCTGGAGGGCTGCAGATTTGCCCACCCCTGCTCTAAGGGCACAGACAATGTCACTTTTCCAGTGAGGCTTTACTGGATATTTGCATTAAGGGCCGACAGAATATAACTGCCTAGTAGATTAGCAGGGGCATGAGGGCTGACAAGTAGTCTGGTTACGAGGGCAGTAGAGTCGTGAGCTGTAGTCTCAGTTTGTGGGTAAGGGGAATGTCACTTGGGATCCCATCCACCTCTGCACATGATAATACATCTTCAGACTTCTCATACGGGAAGACATATTATTCCTGCAACATTGATCTGGCTGCCCCTGTCTTGAGCAGAAAAGGGACTCTTCGGTCCCCGGGCAATGTAACATTGATAATGGATGAGGGTCCAGCTGTGTCAGGGATATTTAAAGCATGTAGGGACAATGGGTTGCCAATTTCCTATTGGGGCAGGGGAGGTGGTTGGTTGTCATGGGAGTTATCATTTGAAGCCTGGGGGTGTCCATTTTTAGGAGGACACCTGCAGTTAAGTTGAATGTGTCCTTTCCTGCCACAATTTCAGCAGTCTACCTGCTTTCTGTCTCCACCAGCTCTAGGAACAGATAGTGCCATTAGAGGTGTGCTACTCTTTCTAGTATTTAGATTGGCTTCCACTCCCATAGCCACCTTTACCAGATCACCATAGGTTAAACTTCTCCACTCAGGTCTAGCATTTTGGAGACCAGTCCTTATGGGTATGTGGAGACCATCCATGTAGCAGTTAATAAGCAGTCTGGTGGAAGTGGTTTCAATATCTGTGTAACCCAATGCCTCCCAAGCCATCTGTAGTCTGGTGAAGAATGTTTCAACTGATTCATCTTTCCCTTGTACTTTATCTCCTAATTTATGGGCTAGTTCATCTGTCTTTAATTTAGCCCATTCTCTCATTGCAGTGACATAACATGCTCCAGATGCAGACTTGGTTCTAAACCATTCATCTGTTCGCATGTTGCTTCTTCTGAGGTTATCTTCATGGGCATCGGTATATTAGCCCAAATGGCGCCATCTTTTAGGGCGACAATCTGTTTTTAATCCCTCCAAGTACACTGGCAAGTAGCATAAATTGTGGATAGAGACTGGACTAGAGCTATGGGGGCCTTTTCTACATCTGGCAGCTGCTGTATTATTGCCAGTTGTTTATTGGGTGTCCAGGGCTTATATTCTTCCCAGTATTGGATACCTGAGCTCGGCTGTCTCTTCTCATGGTATACGCTCTCAACTTTGGTTATCATGGGAGTAGTAAATTGTGGTGCTAATGGCCCCACTGGGGAGTATATGGGGGCAGCTAGGGGTTCCCTTAAGTTTGGTGGACTACCCTCTTCCTCTAATGAACCCATAGGTCTTACTGGGGCGGCTGGGGAACCATATGAAGTCCCACTGCGTAATATTACTGGAAAGAGAGGTTCTGATTTCTGTAAAAAGGGCCAATATGTGAGCTAGGGGTTTAGGGAAACCACAACTTGTACACTTTTCCTCCCCCCAAGAATTTGTCCATTTGCACCGTGGACAGATCCAATATTCTTTCTGACTAGTGATAGTAGAACCAAGAGATGCCTGATCTTGGAAAATCGCTTGGTCTTTAGGGACCAAAGGAGTCCCTCCCTTACCCAGGTAAGGGGGGGGTTTCAAGATTTTTCCCAGGATCTTGCCTACTCTGGGAACATAGAGGTCCAAAACATTGATAATATGGTATACCTTTTCTGGTGGTTTCTTTACAACCACATTTAGTTAATTCAACCGGGTTTCACGGTACCAATTGTCATAGATCCAATATGGATCGATCTTATATTCAGGGGAACCTAAATTGTATAAAGTGCAATTGGAGAAGCGTGAATTAGACACCAGACGTGTGTTGGTTATCAAAATAAGCCTCTGGCGTTTATTATAGCAGTTTGTGCTTTTATACATTAAAACGTAAGTGCTTACATGCAAATACTCATAGAACAGTAGTAGGAAGGGAGTGAAATAACAGGGAAGGAGTACAGATAAGACATAGGGATGAACGTCATGTACATATAACAGATAAGTTCCAGGAAAGAGAAGAAACAGACTGATTTAGCAGAGACCGCTGAGGTGAGAGCTATATGCTCCCAGAACTAGACATATATGGTCTTAAGTGTCGCTTTGAGCATTAAGCATTTCTTGAGTCCAAGGTAGCCAATTTTAATATAGGCTATCTAATATGACACCTATAAGCTTGAATCTTGGAATTAAGGTAAATTCTTTCACAGGATATAAGACAGAATATCTTAAAAGTCATTACACGGCTTTTGACTAAATTCTTACATAAGATGATCACAGGAAGTTTTTGAATCAAGAAAAATATAAAGATGAAAAATTATGAGGTCGAAATAATTGTAAAGTAAAATAATTTGTACAGTAATGTAAAGTTAAATAAAACACTGTCAGCTCTTATCCACGGAACCACTTTTTCCATATTTCCTCATATCTACTTAGCTTATCCATCAGTCTATAGGAAATCTCCCCGTGTATCCTAGTAGTTTCTAATCGACTAACAACTTGGTGAATCTCTGGCTCCGCTCACTGTTAAAATACACCTACCATTAAAATTATGGACTGATCACTTCTTTGTCATTGGACAAACATTCAAAATCAGCAGAGGATAAAATACTTTTTCCTTCACTGTAGATTATTCAGGCTTCATTGATGAACACTAATGCAGCAATACCAACTGATTTATAATACTCTTCCTTTAATTTTAGAAGGGAAAGTACTGTTTCTGTGTCAGGGCTGGCATATTTGGAGGGAGCATGCAGTCTTAATAAAGCAGGATTCTTTTCTGTGGTAAGTAACTTAATATACATTTTTGTTAAAATGCACAGAAAAAACATATGTTTAGGTAATAAATGTTCTGAGCTGCCTACACTGTTTTTCAGTTGCCTTTAGGTATAAAAAAAACATATTTTCACTCTTGCCTTCTTGTTATTTTTTCTGGTAACCGTCTCCTCAGGAATCGTTAAGGATAATTAAATGCAATTTCACATATCCTATGTTTTGTGAAGGTATTGGAATATGACAAATGGAAAATGCTTGTCTGTTATGGGACTGTCCCTTAAGAGACTTTTTCTGCTTTCCATAGATGAACCTTAACAAACTGGTGTTGAGTTCGGATCTGTTTATTCATGAATTGGGCCATGTTTTGGGAATGAAGCACGATACCCCAGGGTGTACCTGTCGTTCTGGAAACACAACCTGCACTATGAATGAGATCTTGTAGGTAGACCTGTATGTCATATAACAGTGTATGCATGTGAGAAGCAGTGACTCCTATTTATGTCTATTTAGTTTTATATAAAAAGACTAACATGAACATGACTTGATCTTAATGTCAGGCGTAATTCAGAAAAGCTTATTAATGACTGGTTTATGAAATTTAATGATTTGCTTTTCAAAATTTCAGAAAATGTTAGCACGTTTTATTTTGTCTAATAATCAAAAGAATATTTGACCACAAGAATAAGGAAAACTTGTCACACCATGCAGTCAATTCTTTGTTTTATATCAAATCAAATGTCAGGGATTTGGGAAATGAGCACAGACAGTTGACTTGCACAAGTAGTTTGTTAACAATTAAAAAGCCTTTGCAGAGCAAAAAAATCTCTAAATAGAAGAGGATGCCATTGGAGCTCTGAATCATGCTTGAAGGATTATTCATAAATGTAGAGAACGCTACCGTTTGTGTACTGTGCCCCCTACAGCCCTGTCAGTCATTAATAGGTATTTACTCTATGCAATCTTATCCTGACTTAAATTTTGAGGAATACTGTGTCTTTTGGCTTGCGTTGTGTGCAGGGTGAAAGCACACACACACTTGCCAAATTAAGGGGAAAAGTCACTTTCCAGGATTGTTAATAATATTTTTACGTATCCCTTTATTTAACAAATATGTACACTGATCAGCCACAACATTAAAACCACCAGTATAATATCATGTCAGCCCCCCTCATGCTGCCAGCACAGCTCTGATGCGTCAAGGCATGGAAAACACAAGAATTGTGAATTTGTCCTGTGGTATCTGACACCAAGACATTAGCAAATATATGTATAGGAACTGGGATACAGGTGTGAATTTACAAAGATAATGGCAACAGATAATGAAATATTTTTACATATATAGAAAATAGCACTGCAATTGTTACACTCACAGGATAGATTATCATTATTATTATGCCATTTATATAGCGCCATCAAATTCCGCAGCGCTTTACAATGGGTTGACGGACAGACATGAAGTTGTAACCAGACAAGTTGGACACACAGGAACAGAGGGGTTAAGGGCCCTGCTCAATGAGCTTACATGCCAGTGGGAGTGGGGTAAAATGACACAAAAAGGTAAGGATAGTGTTAGACTAGTGACAGTTGCAGAAGAGGAGTCAGTCGGGAGCTATTAACAGTTTAATTGATACACTTTTATGAAGAAGTGGATTTTTAACGATTTTTTGAAGGATTGGAGACTGGGTGAGCATGAATTTGGAATGCTTTAGGGTACCTCTCAGGGGGCAAAATGGGGGACTAGAACATCCTTTGCCCTTCTTTACTCCAGAAATTGGGTAAAATCTCAAGTATCGAGGTTGTTATTAAAAATAGTTTATTACAAACAAATTTACCAACAAAAAAATTAATATTAAAATGAGATGGCTATAATTGAGTCAATTGAAGTAAAAAAACTTAAATGTTGATGTATGTTTTTGTCCTGGCTAATGTAAGTGTTGACTGCGTCTGTACATAAATTATGGTGTTTGACTGTATTTCTCTTTCCATTCAACACTATCCATATCTTGAAGAATGGATTTCATATCTTTGTTATATGAAAGTGCTTCTTGTGCATATTTCTTCAAATCAAATAAAGGTCAATAAACTAGTGGGAATGGAATTTACTAATAATAGGGCATCCTGGGTGGATAAAATAAGCATTTGTGTATTTTGGCGGGAGGGGGGGGGGAATAAAATATAGGAAGAACTGGATTGTCATTAAATAGAAATTCAAAATTCATTTTTGAAACTATGTCCTTAACCCCTTAGTGACCAGACCGTGTTTCAATTTTCCTACCGTTAAGGACCAGGGCTTTTTTTGCATATCTGCGGTGTTTGTGTTTAGCTGTAATTTTCCTCTTACTCATTTACTGTACCCAACACATATTATATTCCGTTTTTCTCGCCATTAAATGGTCTTTCTAAAGATACCATTATTTTCATCATATCATATTATTTACTATAAAAACAATTTATAAAATATGATGAAAACATTTTTAACCCCTTAAGGACCAAACTTCTGGAATAAAAGGGAATCATGACATGTCTCACATGTCATGTGTCCTTAAGGGGTTAAAAAACAATTTTTCTAACTTTGACCCCCAAAATCTATTACGCATCTACATCTGCCAAAAAACACCCATGCTAAATAGTTTGTAAATTTTGTCCTGAGTTTAGAAATACAAAATGCTAACATGTTCTTAGTTTTTTTTTTTTTGTGCAAGTTATAGGGCTATAAGTACAAGTAGGACGTTGCTGTTTCAAAATATATATTTTTAAAATGTATCAATAGTGACATTGTAACACTGTTATCTGCCATAAATATCTGAATCACACCTCACATGTACATATTTTTTTAAAGTAGGCAACCAAGGGTATTCAATATGGGGTATGTCCAGTCTTTTTTAATAGCCACTTAGTCGCAAACACTGGCCAAAGTTAGCGTTCATATTTGTTTGTGTGTGAAAAATGCAAAAAACAAATGTGAACACTAATTTTGTCAGTGTTTGGGACTAAGTGGCTACTAAAAATACTGGACATAACCCATTTGCAATACCTTGGGCTGTCTACTTTTGCAAATGCTATGCCATCATGGGGGAAATTCTCATCCCTGGGCTACCATATGGTCTCAAAGGCAACGTTACCAATCTGGCAAATCTCAATGGGAAAAAAAGGAAATGCAAGCCTTATATTTGACTCTGTAACTTTTGAAAACACCATAAAACCTGTACATTGGGGGTTCGGTTTCACTCGCGAGACTCCGCAGAAAACAAATATTAGTGTTTCAAAACAGTAAAACGTATCACAACAATTATATCATCAGTCAAAGTGAAGTTTGTGTGTGAAAAATGCAAAAAACATCACTTTCACTAACAATATCATCGTTGTGATATGTTTTACTGTTTTGAAACACTAATATTTGTGTCTAGCAAAGCCTCCCAAGTAAAACATTACCCCCATGTACAGGTTTTATGGTGTCCTGGAAAGGGCTTGCAAACCAAATTCTCAGGACTTTCTGCCTGGGTTGTTAGGCAGGTCCCTCAAATTGTAATTAATAAAATGACTTAATTATGTAAATATATTTGTAAAATATATATATATATATATATATATAATCTTGGAAAGTCCCGCACTCAATTTGCCGGTCTTGTACTTGCCTCGGTGCTGCCTCAGCCGTGATAAATATCCATAAAAAACGAGTGCACTCCAGAGGTCTTCCTTAGAAAAAATGCATTAGGTTTATTACAAAAACGTGTAGAATATACAACAACGTGTAGAATATACAACATGATCTAGACTAGATCATGTTGTATATTCTACACGTTTTTGTAATAAACCTAATGCATTTTTTCTAAGGAAGACCTCTGGAGTGCACTCGTTTTTTATGGATATATATATATATATATATATAAATGTATATATTTTTTTAATTATTTGTATATATATATATATATATTTATATTTATATATATATATAGATATATAGATATATAGATACATATATGTATTTATAACATCATTTTAAATGTATTTTGATTTAAATGTATGTTTAGTAATATCAAAATACAGTTAGAACAAATTTAAACCGGTATATAATTTTCATTTTTTTTTTACATTTAATTAAAACATTTTCATTTATTTATTTATTTATTTATTTATTTATATATATATATATATAAAATTAACATCATTCTAAGTGTATTTTAATATTTATATATATTAAAATACACGTGGAATAATTTATTGTGCATATAAAAGTACTTAGATCATATATATACCGTATATACTCGAGTATAAGCCGACCCGAATATAAGCCGAGGCCCCTAATTTTACCACAAAAAAACTGGGAAAACTTATTGACTCGAGTATAAGCCTAGGGTGAGAAATGCAGCAGCTACTGGTAAATTTCTAAATAAAATTAGATCCCAATAAAATTACATTAATTGAATATTTATTTACATTGTGTGTATATAACAAATGCAGTGTGTGTGTATATAATGAATGCAGAGTGTTGTGTGTGTATATAATGAATGCACAGTGTGTTTTTGTGTGTGTATATAATGAATGCAGTGTGTATATAATGCAGTGTGTGTAAACTGGGTGAGGGGAGGGCATTTTTATTTTAATTTTTTAATTTTAATATTATATTATATTATTTTAATATTATTATTTTAATTTATTATTATATTATTCTATTATTATTTTATTAATATTTTAATATTTGTATTTTATTTTATTATTATTATATTATTATTATTCTATGATTATTTTAATATTATATTATATTATTTTAATATTATTATCTATTATTCTATTATTATTTTATTAATATTTTAATATTTGTATTTTATTTTATTATTATTTTAATATTTGTAATTTTTTTTATAGTTTTTTGTCCACCCTCCCTGCTTGTTGCCTGGCCAGGGAGGGGGGCTATGTGAATCCCTGGTGGTCCAGTGGCATTGGTTGTTCAGTGGGGGGGGCTGACAGGAAGGTAAGTAAGAGCTCGCTGTCAGCCCCCAACAGGACCGCCGGGCTTGTAATGAGCCCGGTGGTCCTGGTCTGTATTGTGGCAATGTAAATTGCCATAATACAGACCTTGACTCGAGTACAAGCCGAGTGGGGGTTTTTCAGCACAAAGAATGTGCTGAAAAACTCGGCTTATATTTGAGTATATACGTTATATATATATATATATATATATATATGTACTTTTATTTACTTTATTAAACTTTTTAACAACTTTTATTAACTTTTAAAACTTTTTTGCATGAATGAGGGGGACAGCCTGAGAGCTCAGGCACTCCCCCTGCAGGCACTGCACAAGCCGGCTATTCTGGCCATGTGAACGCGAGGACCCCACGATCACATGCCCCGGGGGGCTGGAACAACCGCAAGGGGACTGCCTGGGATCCCAGGGAAGTCCCCACATCGCGATCGCCAGCAATCAGGTAAGTTGATATTTGGGATCGGACATACCAGGTACATCCGCGGTCGTTAACAACCGTTTTTTGTCGGACGTACCTGGTATGTCCAAGGTCGGGAAGGGGTTAAAGGGAAACTCTAGTGCCAGGAAATCAAACTTGTTTTCCTGGCACTATAGCTTCCCCCTCTGTCAAGCCCGCCCCCTCCTAAAAACTGCAATAATTACCACTGTAGTGTAAAGGGTGATTGGATTTTGCACCCGAACCATTTCAATGAGCTAAAGTGGTCTGGGTGCCTACAGTGTCCCTTTAACAGCTGTAACCAAACATTGGTTAAAACAGTAAAAAATGGTGAGAGCACAGAGAAACAATAATTACCCTTATATTCAATATAAAACCTGTAAAAACACAATGGGAAAAACAGGCATAGGGTAATAACGTACAAATAATATATGAATGAGTAAATACTTGAATAAACTCACATATTCATGAGCCACTTAATATGGAAGCTGGCTCAGACTAGGAACATTGAATGGATTACAACGACCACCTCACTAATCCATTCAATGTTCCTAGTCTGAGCCAGCTTCCATATTAAGTGGCTCATGAATATGTGAGTTTATTACTCATTCATATATTATTTGTACGTTATTACCCTATGCCTGTTTTTCCCATTGTGTTTTTACAGGTTTTATATTGAATATAAGGGTAATTATTGTTTCTCTGTGCTCTCACCATTTTTTACTGTTTTAACCATTTATTTATGTGAGGTGGAGTGACCCACATTGCTGGTGATTGTAGCACTTTGTCTTATATTGTTTTTTTCACCATATATACACTTATTTTACTGTAACCAAACATTACTTCATTTTTAAATTAAAAGGCTTTCTCGGTTGTTCTTCCTTGTACCATGTTTAGTAGGTTCTAACTACTGAATACTGGGTACACCCCACAAGACTTGCCGTTTTGGAGATCATCAGTATTTGGCCCTTGCCAAAATCAGATTTTTTTCTCTTGCCCATTTGCCCTTCTTCCAAGACATGAATTTCAAAAACTGACTGTTCACTTGCTGCCTAATGTACCCCACTCTTTGTCAGGTGCAATTGAAAGGATGTAACAATGGTATTCTCTTCACCTATCAGTGGTTTTAATGTTGTAGCTGATCAGTGTATTTGTAAAGTGTCATAAATTAAAATGTAAAAATCCATTTCATCCTTTAATCTTAGCTCTCAGTCAGGTCTGTCCTCTTCACTCGACAGTATGCATGCTGAGAAAGCATATAAAGCAAACAAAGAAGTGGAGAATTGAACGTTTCTGTTCCTTCTTTTCAGTAGCAGTGGTTTTTTTTTCTGGCTTTATCTTGTTAAATAATTTTATCCAGCACTTTTTTTTTAATATAGAGAGCACTATGTGCCCTCTCTTGTGTTTTTATTTCATATTACCTGCACTAAAAATCTCTTGAGAGGAATATCCTACATGTGGGGAGTTTAAATACCACTGTATGCTGTTTTAACTCGAGCTGGTTATAGCTCCCATAAATGTGAGTTGGCATTTCTTAATCTCAGTGTTGTCTGTAGCCATACTCCTTTAAATTACTGAACCATTGGTCCCCTCTGTGTGTTTATTTTTTTTTCATATATGCTATTGAGAACTTGACCCAAGACGTCCTGAGAATTTCTGAAGAATACACCAGTGAATTAGAGACTTTAATTTGCCTTTTTCCCTGATTTTTTTTTTTTCTATTATACATTTTATTTATTTACTTTGTTCTTGGCGCACCCTGTAATTGTTGTTTCCTGTTTTTCCAATAATTTCAAGTGTTTCGAGGGTTACCCTTCCTTTCAGGTGTGCAGCCCCCCCCGTTGTGATCAGTTTGTATAGCGCTGTTCCATCCCTCTTTTTTCTCCAATGACACCTGTAGCTTTTTTGCAGGGTGTGTGTGCTAGTCTAGGCATCTATGCAGGTGGATAGCATGGTAGTACATTACAATTGATGGAAGACCGGGAAACCCACCCCCACCCCAGCCAACTTGGGTAGTTCCAGGAAGACCCGGCCAAGTCTGGTTTGGCGATGGTTGCACACAAACTTCTATATCGCCATGGGTAGGGTACTAAAGAATGTCCTAGGGATAGTGATTGGGAGGGTTTGGAATAGGTATAATATATGCGGTACAACATTCATCTTAACCGCGTTGCTCCGACCGAACCAAGAGAAGTATTGAGGGGTCTAGCGTTGCATGTCTTTTTGGAGTGTGTCTAGTAAGGGAAGATAGTTAAGCCGGTACAGCTGGGTGAGATTTTGTGCCCAGCTATCTCAGTTTATCCGTGCACCACGTGAAGGGGAACTCTGCCTGGAGGAGTGTGGCGGAAGCTGGGTCTTGTGACAGAGTGCCTCTGATTTGTCCGTGTTCAATTTCAGGTTGGAGACCTGACCGAACTGCCTAGAAGACTCCAGCAGGTTTGGTAGGGAGACCCTGTGTTGCTCCAGCAAGAAGAGTATATCATCCGCATATGCTGCGACGCAATGCTCTCCCCCACCCGAGATGAACCCCGTAATACCCCCGTCCTGCCTGACCGCCTCCAGAAAAGGTTCAAGAGAGACGGCAAACAGAAGGGGGGGACAGGGCGCACTCCTGGCGGGTACCATTTTGAATAGGGAGTGATGCGGTTAATGCTTTGTTGACGCGGATTCGGGCCGTGGGGGTCGTGTATAGGGACTGCACCCACACACGCATCAGCGGTCCGATTCCCATGTGCTACAGTGTGGATGTTAGGTAATGCCAGTCTACCCGGTCGAACGCCTTCTCCGTGTATGTGGAGAGAAGCACTAGCTCTTTTTTGTTCGACCGGGCAGCATGGATAATGTTCGGGGCTCTGATGGTGTCATCACGCCCCTCACGACCCGGGATAAAACCCACCTTATCATGGTAGATCAGACACGGTAAGGCCATCGGTAGTCAGAGGGCCATCGCTTTTGCGAACAATTTAAGGTCCGCAGATGGGGTGATAGCTCAAGAACACCTGGGTCATTACCCTCTTTTGGTATGATTGTCACCACTGCAGCCAGGGTGTTCGAGGGAAACTGCCCCTCTGTGTGGATCGAGTTGATCCCTTTCAGAAGTCTCGGCAAGAGAAGATCGCGAAACATGCGTAGGTTTGCCAGGGGGAGGCCATCCGGTACCAGTGCCCAATGGGTTTTTGACAATTTGAGAGCTTCAGTTAGCTCCTCAATAGTCAGTGGTTGTTCTAGTTCCTCCGCCGCCCCCGCTGACAGTGTCCGCTTAACATTGTGAGCAAGGAAATCTGTGACCAGGTGGTGCCGCTGATGCTCTCCTTGGCATGATTGGGATAGATTATATAGTTCTGTATAGTACGATTGGAATGCCTGAAGGATTCCTTCTGGCAAGCGTGTCTCCTCTGTCATGTGGTCGAATCTTGTGGCTATGGTAGTCGCCATCTGTCTTGTAGCTGTCAGGCCAGTAGTTTCCCGTTTTGTTAGAATGTTCGGGGGGAAAAACGATGTGACTTTCTGAGTGTATGCAGAAGGCCTTAAGCTAGGAGGTCTCATATCTGTCTGTGTGCGTCTGTCAGTTGGAGGAATGTGACCTCTGCTAGTGTGCGTTTTCGAGATCTGTGATTTTGCAAACCAGAGAGGCCGTCCTTCTAGTGCGGGCTTTCTTGTAGTGCGTGCCCATTTTTTTATGTAGTGCCCTCTGATCACCCATTTGTGTGCCTCCAAGACTGTCAATGGGGGGGATTCAGGGGAGTCGTTAGTCTCAAAGTAGTGGGTCAGTTCTTTCCTCGCTGATTCCAACTCTACTGATTCTGTCAACAGGTTTTCATTCAGCTTCCACTGTCGTTCCTTAGGCTTATACAAGGGGGAGCGCAGTGTAAGCGATACTGGTAGTGGTCGGTGCTAACCGTGGTCCCTATCTCTGAGTGAATGAGTAAGGGTTGGAATTCTTGTGCCAAGAAGAAGTAATCAATATGGCCATAGTGTTTGTAAGCTGCAGAGTAAAACGTTAAGTCCCTGTCATCTGGGTGCACCACCCTCCAGCAATCCACCAGCCCCAGTCGCCTTAGGGATTGCCTAGCAAGGTGGATGTGTCAGTATGGAAGAGAGCTAATTCCCCTAGAGGTATCCTGTCGTGGTATTAGAGGTATGTCTGCAACCAGTAAGAGACCCGTTTTTTCACTCGGGACAGCGGTCGTGTCAAAAAGATATGTTGGTTCTGATTCGGACTATAGATACATGCAAAAGTGTACTTGTGGTCAACTATGGTCCCCTTAAGGAAGAGATATCTTCCTTGCAGGTCTGCGAGTGTTTCTTCACAAATGAATGGTATGGTGTTAGCGAATAAAACGGCTACACCCGCCCTCCTGGCTTCAGTGTGGTTAGCAAAAAAGCCCAAGGGGAGTCTGTGATTTTAAAGTGTGGGAGCGTCAGGGTCACGGAAATATGTTTCCTGAAGGAAGGCTATAGAGGCACGCTCGGCCCACAGGGAGCGTTCTCTGCGGTATGGGATATTAAGTACTCCGTTATTCGCAGTGGTTCCCGATGATATATACAACGAGAGTCAGTCACGCGGGGTCTGTGTCCGATCAAAATGTGTAACTTGTACTGTTGTGATTTCCAGGCCCCGAGCGCATGCAGCCCACATGTCAGTTAGAATATGGAGACGCATATGTTTGTTCGGTCGAACGGTATGAGGATGTCTGCTGTGGTCATGTGCAACCCTGTATTTACCCACCCACAACGTGCCTTTTCTATGCGTCAGTAGCTGTCGTCTCTGCCTTTTGCAGCCTTTTCCATACTGTTCGAAGACAATTTAAATTTCTTTATACATGAAATAAACAGTGTACGTATTTTCAGAAACACCGAATAGCAAACATAACTGCAAACCCTTCCCGGTACTCACCACCGCCCACATTTCTAAACAGGGCTCTCCCCAAGTACCCCACAATCCCCCTGCACCCTCCTGCCAGCTATTGTTGTAGGGACATCTACCGGGTCATAACCATTGCAATGCCCATGATCCTGACCTGCGGCAAGCCCCCTCCAGTTCTCCCCCTTCCTACTTGTCTTGTCCCAGGTCCCTCCACCTCTAGGGCCGCACTGGACTCGACTCATCTGTCCCCTGGTCCCTATATTACTCAGCATCCCCACTCCTTCAAACATCTCCTCGCGGGGTCCCGGGGACCAGCCCAAGGGACCCCCCGTGGAGAGCCTTTAGTATGCCCACAGCCCACCATAGGAACATTAGCAAGAAACCCTTCAGCTCACGCTATGAGATCAGTTCTCAGTAGAGTCCAGCACTATGGTCATTCGCCAGAGATGGGGATCTAAGCTCAGAGTTTGTCTTTTGCTTTGTGGATGGGTAGCTCTCTAACTCAAAGTGGGCTTCCCAGATGCAAAGCAGCTTCTCTAGAGGTGGTCTACAAGGGATCAGTGGTGTCTGCGGTCGGAACAGGGAGCCACAGCCCAAACATGGAGCAGGGGAGTAGGCTTTACCCCTGGGTCTGTGGCCAAAAGCCTCCTGGCAACGAAATCACCCCAGTCCCAATCAGGGTATCCCACCCGAAATGATATATGTCCCCAAGTTGTGGGCCTGTGTGTAAGATTATCTCTAACCCACTGCTCCCTGAGAGGTAAGGCCAAAGCGAGCATCAGGGGTGCAAAGTCTTGAGGCCCCGACTGTAGCGCGATTCCTATGTGGGGTGCATGGAGTCGCTAGGGTTCGGACATGTCTGTTGTGTGTGGGGTGGAAGTTACCGGACGTCCAAGTGTCCTTGCATGGTTTATTCTTCTGGGCCATTAGGTCCCTCTCTCCTTTGTCCCGTGTTGGTGGGCCATGCGGTCTCTCCGGGCTATTAAGTGGTTGTGGTGTATCCAATTCGTCTTTCAGGGAGAAGGAAAGCAAACAGCATATGACGTCTCTTGGTTGCCTGTCCCCTCTGGGGGATCTGAGGGCCATGTGGCCTCTTTCCAGGACAATGTCTTCTGGTGCCGAATCTCCCAGGAGTTGTGTGAACAGGCCGGTAAGTATTTTGGGAAGGGCCTCTCCTGGATCCTCGGGAATGCCCCTAATGCAGATTTCGTTCCGTTTGCCCCTATTATATAGGTCTTCGATCTGTCTGTGCAGTTCCAGAAAAAACATGCCCTGTTTAGCGGTGGCAGTTTCAGCTGCTTGCTGGTTCTATATTGTCTGCTGCCTGTCTGCTTACAACTCCTCTACCCTGGTTTCTAGTGCAGTAAGGTCCCTCCGTACCTCCATGATCTCCTCTCTGATGACCGTCCACATTGCAGTCAGTAATTCAACTTTGCTAGAACAGACAGAGTGGTACAGCGCCTAGTGGACAACTAGAAAATATTTTTAGGTAGGCTGCGCACCCTAGATTATGAGGTTCAAAAAAAAATGACGACAGATGGATAATAGGTTGTGCCTATACACAGTATATAAAAGTATTATGATGGGAAAAATATATATTTGTGCTTGGAATCTCTAATATGTAAATGGGATGTCGAGGAGAAGCAAAGTTGGTTGAGGTGTGCCGAAAACAACGTACGAGTAGGCCTGTAAAAATAGGGCCCACAAAGTGAAATGTATAAAGAAGGGTGTAGGTGAGTGGGGACAAAACAGCTTGAACGGCAAAGGTAAGTAGGGGGGTAGGATTTATATAGGGTCATAACTCCTCCCACAAATTCAGGCAAAATGGCCTTCCAACTTGTGCTCGGAATCTCTAGTATGTAAATGGAATGTAGAGGAGAAGCAAAGTTGGTTGAGGTGTGCCGAAATAGATCGCCTAACCTCCCTTTCCGGTTGAGGGATGTAGGAGTTGTATACTGAGGATTTCCAGCGTCCCCGTCTCTTAATGATGTGTTCCGGAGTGTTAGTGCTTGAAGCCAATGATGCTGCGCCGATGCGAAACGGGTGACAGAGAAGAAAGCTGGGTTGTATCCCAATCTGGACAGTAGAGTTCTGATGTGTGAAATAAATTTAGCTGTGGTGAGTCGGTGTCCTTGGAGTAGAAGTAGTGGAGTGTCTGGTGAGTGTGTGGGGTGAGATAACAGGCGCAAATCAAGAATATGTACTGGGCACCACAGATTCTCGGTAGGGAAGAGGGGAATGATAGTGGGATAGGCAGAGTTATTGGTTTTAGTTGAAGGTAAGGAGAGTATGTAATGGTTGTTTACTTTCTTTAAGTGGGAAAGTTTGAGACAATGGACTGTGTCTCCTTGACACATCACAGTGAACTCTCTAGGTCTGAGAAAACCGTAGAAAGCCAAAAAGATGGTGGATTTAATGACCAAATTAGTACTATGGTCAAACGGGGATTTGTCCAATAGATCGCTAAAGAACCTAAATATTGGACCGTCTATTGGTAACCTAGTAGTGCTTGGAGGAACTGTGACCTTAAAAATACCTTTAAGGCTTTTCTTGATGGGGTAGGAAGATAGAAAAGGAGCGTGGTTAGGGAAGGTAGTGATGATGTGGTGTTGTAGTCCACTAAGGTAGAGTTTGATAGTGTTGTGTGAAAGTATTAGGTCTAGATGGCAAAAAGAGGCAAAAGCCACAATGGTTTTGATGGAAAGGTCACCTTGTAAGCAAAACTCGGCGGTAAATTTGTTAAAAATAGTCATTGCCCTAACGTAAGAGATAATGGTATTGGGAGACAGTGCGTGGCGCATGAGTGCTTGTGCGTGGAGTAATAGTTTGTTTAAACCAGCTGGTGGAGGTTTCCTGGAGGGTTGTAGGTAGGCTGGAGGAGGAGCCTGGCCGGAGACGTGTAATTAAGAGCGTGAAAGAGTGTCAGCAGCTGAGTTGTGGCACCGGGGGTGTGGAATGTTTGATGTTCCTTTAAAGACTGACTAGACATGCGACTGAGAGGGCCCTTGGGCTCCCACAGGTGTCTACTAAAATGGAGGGCCGGAGTACCCTGTTGGGGTCTACAAATGATTGGGCAGGGGATGGGTCTGAAATAGCCTTAGAAACCAACGCGCACCCCCGCAGTGAAACTCTTGGCATGACGCCAAGGGGCCCCATTGAAGACCAGACCCCTCTGTATCGCCCGTACCACCGGGGGGGGGGACTTGTAGTATACGTCCATGATAAGGAGTCAGCGTTACTGAGGCAACTGGCCTGCAAAGTTAGTACGTAAGGCTATGGCAAGACACGAGCGTTGCTTGTTGACGGAGGGGTAGTATTTGAGGTGTAAGATATACTTGTCTTGCTTAACTGTGTATTTCTACCCGCTGAAATAGTAGAATATAGGCAAATTACAACAAGAACTATACATTGGGTATGAGAGAGACTAATACTGGATCTGGAAGGAAAGAAAGAGATATGAAAAGGTCAATAACAAAAAATGTTTTATTACTTGCAGTGCCAGTATGTAGCCTCCGTGATGGGGTAAGTGTGAATGGGATGAATGATGCATGGTTTGGACATGATGTTGACGTATGCTTGTGCACAAAAGGTGGTCCACCATACGTAGTGCCGTAAATGCGGGTAACACCTGGTGTAGGTCGTGGGGGGAAAGTCGTGAGTCCCATGCGAGAGCCTTTGGGATGGACCCGACACCAGATAGCTCTCTGTCGCCCAGTAGGTGAAGAGTGCGTGTAGGACCAACTTATTGTTAGGTGACAGACGTGATGGGCACATGGTCTTGGCGTGGGCTCTGAAGCATATGGAGCAGATTTGCAACAAAGTTATTGCACACCTGCGCCTTACCCAAGAATGTGATGGGTCTGCCCAGTTTGTCTCTCTGGCCGCCTTCCTGTCTTGTGAGTGGAGTGAAGGAGTTGTGGGGTGTGGAGGTGGAAGTGGAAGGGTCTGTGTCTCCAGGGAATAGGTCAGTGGAGTGTGAAGTGGAACCACATGAGGCACAAGACGGGGGTCTCAAACCAGCGAAATGATGGCAAAACAACTCGGTATCTATCTGGCACCAATGAATTTTAATATTGAACTGTGCCAGATGAGTCGCTGCCTTGGCCGAAACTGATTTCTGGTAATCAGAATGAGGACCCACCATACTTGATGCCCAAATCCACCACCTTGTGCATATATAAATCAAGCTCCTCTCTCCTATGTGGGAGCACCGTGCAAATAACATCTCTATAAGTGCCAAAAGAAACTGTGGAATGGTGAGTTTTTTGTTCAAACGTGGATTTCTGGCTCTTAAGACTACTGAAATGTCGACATAGTTATAAGCTCTATTCTCTAGGATGTCTTGTGAGTCTATGAGGAGGGACATTCAATTTATGTCGTTCCCATCAAGAATATCTTTCTTGATGGAAGTCGGGACAGAGTGGGCTGGTGAGGTGTGGGCAGTGGGAGTAGTGGTGGCAGGTGGGGGAGGGGAGATGAGGAGTATGGCAGTCAGAGCGGTCGAGGTCACCGGTGTAGGGACTGCTGGGGCTGTTAAATCACCTGGAGTGGCTATGGCCGATTCCACCTTCAGCAACCTGCTGTTAATGGATTGCAGATTGGCCAGTATTGCCGCCAGAGTTTCCTGGGTGACAGGTGAGGCCCTGCTATTGCCAAGTGGCGGTGAGAGGCTCTACCTATGATTTGGGCAGAGGGGGTTTTGTGGCCACCAGAACAAGGTGGCAGGATGTCGGCCTCTCAGTGACTGTAAGAGATTCAAAACGTGTGGCCGTGACATGGGAAGCCCTAACTGTAGCCCTAAAGAAGAGCGAGTGAGGTGGCTAGCTATGATTTGGTCGTGGGGCTGAATCTCTGTGTATGAGGTGGAGTTGTAGACTTCGCGGACCGCAGTATTATTAGGGAAAGCTAGGGCCAACGCCTGAACCTGAAAGCCAGTTCTCTACCCTGACGGGGGCTTGTCTCTTGAAGGAAGTATATAACGTATGTAGATACTGACCTTGAGTGTTTGTCCTGTATATTTAGGCAATGCTCAGGGCGACTTCAATATATATGTCTATATACACTGTGAAGAACCGGTGCAGTCCAGGAACCTAGGGGTAAGAAAGATGCTAGTAGGCCTGAGGCGTGCCATTGGTATGCCAAGTGTAAAAATGTAACAGTAAAACTGTATCGTAAACACCTGTGTAATCTGAAGGACCTGAACGTTGGTCCAGATTTTTTGAGACAGGCCCCTGGGTTCCCACAAATTAGTAATATTTGTGATAGATATGAAGGCGAAGTGAGGCCTTAGAAGGACGTAATCCTAGTGAGTAAGATTTAAGGATACCTGATACTGAAACGTCAGGAACTAGGTAGCCTGATGGTCGTTGAAGGCGTAGTGAATCTGCGAAATGGTGCAGGTCTAAGTAATGATATATAGAAATTAAAAACAGAATTAACACTTAATATAATAGTAACATGGAGGGTGAGGCATTTTTAAACCTGGTGTGTTTAAAGTTTGAACCCACTTTGGGAGGTGGGAGGGCATTGTAAAAAAGGCTGTGGAGGCTGAATGAGGCCTCAGGAGAAACATAAAAAGTTAACCTTTTTTACCTGATACCGTGAAACGGGATACTGGAACCACCTCCTGGAGTCTTCTTGAAGAAGAGTAGTACAACCTAAAACATGTTCATTTACTAAGAATAAGGAACCTGAGTATAGTGTTTCAATATAAACAGAGATTTAGAAATAAGAGCTACTGAAAAAATTGAGAGTGGAGCTCGATAAATTTAAGAGGTTTGATGGGGTTCAGCCCATTGAGAGAGGAGAAAACAAAACCGTAAAAGGGTTAACAGTTTCTTTAAGAGAATACCCCTGGGAAACTATGCATAATTAAATGTGACAATGAGTGGTGAATAGTGCCACTTAGATTTAGGGAAAATGTAGAGAGAACATATGTTATTAAAGAATACATACAGCACACCTGAGAGACCAAAAAAAATTGCCCTCTTCGCAGACGACATACTTCTAATTTTAACTGAGCCAGAATCCTTTATCCCACATTTGGTAGGACTACTGGGACAATACAGGATGGTGTCCTACTATAAAAACAATTCTGCCAAGACCCAAGCATTACCCATTAACCTACCACGAGATACAATCACACACCTAGAAAGCAAATTCAACTTTGATTGGGGCAAAAAAATCACTACAATACCTAGGTATACAACTGACCAAAACCATACAAGCCATTCCCCAAGAGAACCACATACCATTACTGAAGAAAATTAACCTGGGACGATGGGCCGCCCTGGAGATCTCGTGGCTGGGTCGCATTAACTCCCTAAAAATGATGACACTCCCGCTGATTCTATATCTCTGTTGTACCCTACCCATAACATTACCAACCAAATTAGTGAACAGATTCCAATCCACAATTAATGCACACGTCTGGAAGAAAAAGCCTCCCAGAATTGCACGTCACAAACTGGGGCTCCCTTACACGAAGGGTGGTCTAGGACTACCTGACATAAAAGCATATTACAGAGCATCAATACTAGGACAGGGTATAAGACTCCTCAAAGCTCCACAGGCACAACAGTGCCCTGTCTGGTTGTCACTAGAAAATGCATGCTTATGTACATACGACATAACGCACTCCCTGTGGGTTAGCACGAACCACAAGAAGGCAGGCGCGAGGCCGCTACATTGCACTGACTTTTTGCTCTCCTCCTGGGTAGCCTGGAGCCCAACTATATTATCCATTAAGGCGGCCCCGGTAGAATCTCTAGCGACTCTCTCACCGGACTTAGCAATCAAAACATGGACAGAGAAGGGGGTACTCAAGGTGCGAGACCTGTTAGAGGGGAATAATATAAGAACCTTCCCGGTCCTTTAACTACAATACTCCCTGACACCAAGAGACCTATTCTTACACCTCAGAGTAAAAAACATATTGACGAACCGGATAATACTAAGTCGCACTAAGCCCCAGTTGGGTGTGATGCCCCTCCCTCAAATGCTATCTCCAAAACAGTCAAAGCCCCTCTCACTCTGCTACAATGCTATCCGGGGGGGTCCGGCTCATGCGAAACTATCATACATGTCTCAGTGGGAGAAGGAATTGGGTATGAAGTTCCCCATAGAACAATGGCACGAAGCCATGGCAATGACAAAAAAAGCCTCCAGAAGCCTTTCGCTGTGGGAGGCATACTGTAGGATAGCTATGAGATGGTATTTAGTGCAGTACAGACTACCCCGCCAGAACACTACCTCCTGCATATGTTGCCTGCATTGGTGGGACACCAATATAATAGGAATATAATAGGACCGCGTGTGATAGATTTTATGAAACGAAAAGCTAGTAACAAAGCCGTTCGTACTTGTTTCGGCTAATCGAAAGTGAGAAACAGGCAAACGTAAGGTGAGTATAAACGTTCAGTAAATTATTTTAACGAAAGAAGAACGAAAGCGTGTGTACTCTGCGGTCGGCTAAAAAGCCGCACGAACGCAGAAGTACACGAACGGCGGAATTACACGAACGGGTAAGTAAAATAGGGAGCCTATCCCCGCATTTTTAGGCCCGAACGTGGAAAATAGCCGAACGCTATTTCCCACGTTGATGCTTAAGTGTGCGTGCCGGTCTCGTGACCGGAAGCCAGATAGCCGGGTAACGAGTAGGGGATACAGCGGGGCAGCCGGTGGATGAGCCCGGAGGTCAATGGCAGGAGCTGCTAAAGACCGACTGTTTGTTTGTTCCAGGCAAGACTGGCGGGAACAACGAACCGGAAGTGCAGGTAACAATGGAAACAAAACAGCTTGAACGGCAAAGTTAAGTAGGGGGCTAGGGTTTATATAGGGTCATAACTCCTTCCACAAATTCAGGCCAAATGGCCTTCCAACATATATATATATTTTTTTTTTTTGTTACTTACAATAATAAGCCAGACAGAAAACAGATTATATTCCAAATGGTATAATGTAGGAATGGATAAAAAAAAAAAGTCCAGTTCTATTGTTTACTGTTGTGGATCTGTGTCGTAGAGATCTCTGGATAATGTTGAGTCTTGATCCAGTTAGCGCATAAAAAGAAAAAAGAAACTGAAATAGTGTAATATATCTTAAATGCGGGTACGAAGGATATAAAAAAAAATCTGCTGAGGTTACACTCATCTATTTAATAGCTAGTATAAACTCAGGTGAGATGAATGTTCAGTGGTGTTGATCCCCCACTGGTAGGATATAGGAGATGATGATCGTCTGTGGATCCCTCAGAGTGGAGATATTTCAGTAGAGGGAGATAAAAACAAAATAGTGCTCTTTGTGTATGTAAAAATCTGCTATGGTATCACTCAACTATTGTTCCCCCACTGGTGGGATATAGATGATGATGTTCGTCTGTATATCCCTCAAAGTGGAGATATATCAACAGAGGAAATAAAATAAAACAGAATAGTGCTCTCTGTTTACACAATATTATATATGGTAGAGGTAGGAAGATATTATACTCACATTTAAGTATAAATGGAGTATAATCCCCACCTAGGATTATTTGGTAAGTAGATCTTCAGGAATTCTGGGTGACCTGGTTAAAAATGGATAAAAAGGTATATAGCACAAAAATAAAAAGCCAATATTCCAAACATAAAATAACTTAAAATAGACAAAACACGGGGGCGGGACCTGACCTCGGAACGAAGCAGTCGGACGTTCCCACAGCTCCTGCTTTGGGCGCCGGTATTTACCGATTAAAAAACCACAACAAGCGACTATTGACCCAATGCCAGCTGCCGTGTGCAGGGGGAAAACAAGCCCTACGTGCTGATACCAAATTTGCTGACCTTTGAGTCGGATTCGACCAAGCGACCACTGCGGCCTGCAAGCATGGCTGGCGTGGGAGAGACGGTCGCGGCAAACAGAGGAATTTTCCGACAAGGACACCCACTCCTTCCCTATGTACCGGTGGGGGTTATCCCGGACCCCACCGACAAACAACACGTTTTTGCTCACACTCTCACTGCCCACGAAGGATTGGGCTCAGCACGGGGCGGGCCTAGTAAACAGGCCACAACACAAATGGCGCCTACATATGCAGACCCCGGCGATGACATAATTGCACGCTGCCTCCGATGCATAGACAAGGCATTCCAGCGCTTCTGGGAGCAACTGGAACGGCAAATGACACCACAGTCACCAAGGTCTGTGAGGGAGGGTCCCCCTAGACTCGTCCCATAGACTCATCCCGCAACCAGGCATCCCACAAGGTGCACCCAGCAGGTATACCCAAGATGGTGGACGCGCTCTCTAAACAGAGGCATGAACTGAACAGACCAGAGCCAGCCCCGCCGAGCTCGTTCAACATTATGCTACAACGTCTTGACAAAACATTCCAAAGATTCTGGCGACAGCTGGAGGAACAGATGGTGGCGCCACAGGCCCAGCATCAGGGGAGAGAACGAACTGCGGAGAGTCGCGTAGGATCTGGGCCTCCTCTGAGCAAAGCAACCCCACAAACAACTGGGAGACCTAGTCGCCCACCCTGACCAAAGAGGTAAAACCTCGAAGGTGGAGAAACAACACCTACATACAGCGACTGCATAGCACACAACTACCACAACCTCACCTGCCTGCACACGCACGCGTGAACCACTTCGGCAGGCACATGGCTCAGGGCCCGGAGGGAGCCCGCATCAAGCGGCATGGAGTGCACCGCCGCCAGTTGACGAAGACAGTGCATGATCATTCACCGCAGAGAAGCACCCACAAATCAGGCAGGAGAATCCACAGCCAGACGGCAATACACAACGGAAGGCTGAATGCCCCTCGCCATCTGACATGCCACCAAAGTATTTACTTACTGGGACTCACCTTCTTAGGCTGGATGCCTAGCTCCACCAGATGGGACTTTGACTTGCCCTTGAAAGGCATTGGCTGAAAGACACCAGAACTGTCCAAAAATTAGGCACCAGGTTCGACACCATGCCATAATAGCCTGCCTCTCCATACTCACAAGACAACGCTGACCGGATTCCCACGTCTATCATTAGGGGCCTTATGGGGAAAACCCTCTCTACAGACGAGAACCCTTCATTAAGATCTACACTGTTATGTGCACTTGCTGTTTTTCATGCAATGTTCTGTTCTGCCTTTTTTTAATTTAAATTTACTACAGTAGATTAAACTAAACCTGTTTATTTACAAAAGGAAACACGAGCAACACAAACACCAAGACACTGACACACACAGACTCTCACGTAACACTCCTGTATCAACCTAACTTTAACAGCAAGCATGTCGGCTTGCACACTCTGATTTAACTTTAACTGATTCTACCTGACTACACTATAGCTCTCTCATGTCATAACGGAAACATGCGCAGAAACAGCTTATAATTCTGTAGACACGTACTCTCATGCTTGTTGAAATATTACAAATGATTGCTACGCCAGTTAACATAGCTTGTTTACCACACCATATTGTTTTACTCACCTACTAAATCTATTATAATGTTATTGTTATTCGCCTGTCATTATAATATAAAAATGTGCAATTTCTACTAATGCCATACTAATAATATCATTTACATGTTATACAACACTTGACAGAGCTGTTGTTGCATATTAAGCTTGATTGTCAACTCCTGCACCATAAAAATAAAGAATTTAAAAAAAAATAATAATAATAATACATTAATCAGAAGAACATTGTTCATTAATATGACCTGCAAAAAATAACTGGTTAACATTTAAACATAAAATTTCTTCTTTCAGATTTTCCTCTGGATTTAGTGACTGCAGTATTGAAGATATGGATGCATTCTATGGAAAAAATCAAGCCCAGTGCCTTTGGAACAATCCATTTACTGCCAAACTTGTTTCTAATAATGCTGACTGTACTTCTAAAGAAGTTTGTATTTTTAATTGGATTACAGCAATATTATATTTAAATACTAACAATTTGAAAATACTACATGTGGTGTTTAAAAGGCTACTTTAACCCTTTTAAAAAAAAAAAGAAGAACATCTACTTTAACCCCTTAAGGACCAAACTTCTGGAATAAAAGGGAATCATGACATGTCACACATGTCATGTGTCCTTAAGGGGTTACAAAGCCACATTGGGATTCCACAACCCATCCAATTTCACTGGTGCTCTTTTGAGGTCCAATCAAATGCTCCTCTGCCATGTAGTGGAGGTGGACGGAGGGAGGAGATTTATTTTTTAAATGTAATAATTGCACTGTAGGGAGGAAGGTACACTTAAGCTTTTCCCATGGATAAAGGGAGGGGACACTAAAGCTTCCTCTTGCAGGCACGCTGCCTGCAATGAAGAAGCTCATTATGTCTGTTGTCAGTGCGCTGATGAGAGAATTAATTGTTGCACAGAATAGGCATTAGGAAGTCAGGAATAGTTTAATATGCCTAAGTCATGTGTGATACTAGCACCTGGCACAAAGGTGCAGAATGCAAACGAAATAGCAGGGGCATAAATAACACAGTGCAGTTTATTGGGCTCATTTATAAAATATTTGCATTACTAGAATCATTGTTATGCTATTTGTGCAATTACCTTTTTCATTAAGAATTGTTTTTATGCACCTTTTACATTGATATATTATTTCTAGATAACTCATATACTGATTAATGAAGAAATATTGGTTTGATCTATTCTTTGTTTTCCTACAGCAATGTACAACTAATTTATGTTGTGATCCAAAAACCTGTCAACTAAAAGAGAATGCTACATGTTCATCTGGGCTTTGTTGTAAAAACTGCTTGGTGAGAGACCTTTACAATATAACTGTTTTGTTTTAGAGAGTTGTGTTTTTCACTATATCATAATTTAGATTGTATGCATACACGTTAACTCATGTAAAGGCAGTTAAAATATTATTTTGTCTGATATACACTGAACAAAATTATAAACGTAACATTTTTGGTTTTGCCCCCATTTTTCATGAGCTGAACTCAAAGATCTAAGACTTTTTTATGTACACAAAAGGCCTATTTCTCTCAAATATTGTTCACAAATCTGTCTAAATCTGTGTTAGTGAGCACTTCTCCTTTGCCGAGATAATCCATCCACCTCACAGGTATGGCATGTCAAGATGCTGATTAGATAGCATGATTATTGCAAAGGTGTTCCTTGGGCTGGCCACAATAAAAGGCCACTCTAAAATCTGCAGTTTTATCACACAGCACAATGCCACAGATGTCGCAAGATTTGAGGGAGCGTGCAATTGGCATGCTGACTGCAGGAATGTCCACCAGATCTGTTGCATGTGAATTAAATAAATGTTCATTTCTCTACCATAAGCCGTCTCCAACGGCGTTTTAGAGAATGTGGCAGTGCATCTAACCGGCCTCACAACCGCAGACCGCGTGTAACCACACCAGCCCAGGACCTCCACATCCAGCATCTTGACCTCCAAGATCGTCTGAGACCAGCCACCCGGACAGCTGCTGTAACAATCGGTTTGCATAACCAAAGAATTTCTGCACAAACTGTCAGAAACCATCTCAGGGAAGTTCATCTGCATGCTCATCGTCCTCATCGCGGTCTCGACCTGACTGCAGTTCATCATCGTAACCGACTTGAGTGGGCAGATGCTCACATCCGATGGTGTCTGACACTTTGGAGAGGTGTTCTCTTCACGGATGAATACCGGTTTTCATTGTACAGGGCAGATGGCAGACAGCATGTATGGCATTATGTGGGTGAGCAGTTTGCTGATGTCAACATTGTGGATTGAGTGGCCTATGGTGGCAGTGGGGTTATGGTATGGGCAGGCGTATGTTATGGACAATGAACGCAGGTGCATTTTATTGATGGCATTTTGAATGCACAGAGATACAGTGACGAGATCCTGAGGCCCATTGTTGTGCCATTCATCCGCGACCATCACTTCATGTTGCAGCATGATAATGCACAGCCCCATGTTGCAAGGATATGTACACGATTCCTGGAAGCTGAAAACATCCCAGTTCTTGCAAGGCCAGCATACTCACCGGACATGTAACCGATTGAGCATGTTTGGGATGTTCTGGATCGGCATATACGACAGCGTGTTCCAGGTCCTGCCAATATCCAGCAACTTCGCACAGCCATTGAAGAGGAGTGGACCAACATTCCACAGGCCAATATCAACAACCTGATCAACTCTATGCGAAGGAGATGTGTTGCACTGCGTGAGGCAAATGGTGGTCACACAAGATACTGACTGGTTTTCGGATCCCCACCCTCCCCCGGATCCTCACAATGCAGTAAAACTGCACATTTCACAGTGGACTTTTATTGTGGCCAGCCTAAGGCACACATTTGCAATAATCATGCTGTCTAATCAGTATCTTGATATGCCACACCTGTGATGTTGATGGATTATCTTGATGGGCCTTTTGTGTACATAGAAAAAGTCCAGCTCATGAAAAATGGGGGCAAAAGCAAAACTGTTGCGTTTATAATTCTGTTCAGTGTAATAAATAATAGGAAATAAATGCTCCTTATTAGCTGGTAATCATGCAATCTAAACAGTATTTATCAGCCAGTAGACTGTTTTTTCTGAGGATAGAGTACAAACACCTTATTATTATAGCCTTTGAGTTCAGATTATGTTAGTATAACATTTTGTAAAACAAAAAGTCTAGTATGTAGTGCATTCCTTCTCTCAGTCCTATAGTACTCAAATATATGCATATTATTATTACCGTTTATATAGCGCCAACAGATTCCATAGCGCCAACAGATTCCATAGCGCTTTACAATCTGCATATCCATTTCCTTAGTTCAATGTCATATTCTGCATTTCTGTATCCAGTATAAAATGGTAAAAAATCACAAAGCCCAACAAAACAAATAGTGTATTTTGTCTGTAAACATATCCTATTTTGATCAGCTTTTTATCTGGGTTTAGGGGCTGCTGAAGCAGTCAGCACATAACCCATTTTGGTTTATAACATATAGCAATATAGGAAAGTACCAGATCAATTTACATAGTCCATTAGGTTAAAAGAACACTATAGTGTGAGGAATACAAACGTGTTTGTATACAGTGTAACAGCAACTAGAGGCATGTTAACCCTGCAATAAAAACATTGCCATTCCTGCGAAACAGCAATGTTTTCTGCTGCAGGATTAATACTACAGGGACATGGTGCCTAAACCACTTCATTGAGATGGGGTGGCCTGGATGCCTATAGTGTCCTTTTAATGAGACACTGTATTAGCATGTAAAAAAAATATGGAGAATAGAAAGCACTGTGTTAGGGATTAAGTCTGTTTTCTTAGAATTTTCCCTTTAACCCCTTAAGGACCAAACTTCTGGAATAAAAGGGAATCATGACATGTCACACATGTCGTGTGTCTTTAAGGGGTTAAAAGGAGAATGGTACTTCCACATAGCATAATATAATTACACACAAATATCTTCACACACTAATTAACCCCTTAAGGACTCAGCTTCAAAAACTGGACATACCCTTAAAGACAGAAGTGCATCTCTGGTATACCACGTATAGCAGAAAACACCTTAGTGTGAAAAGGAGAAAAGGGCAAAAAAAGTACTTTTACCCTAATAAAATATTGCATGTAGAGTAGGACTCCTCCAAGCCCTCAATCACAGAATACAAAGTACCAAATACCAGGTAACTACAATGCAAAAAAAAGAGATAAACATAGGGCAATATTGCCGTAGCTAAAACAATATAAAAATGGGTAGAATGCACACTCACAAATCCAAATTTGATTGAAGGCGTATCAAATAATATGTAGAGTATCCCTGTTTTCAGATTGCAACATGTGGGAGAGAGGAATTTAAGAAATAATAGTGCAGAGTTTCTAAAAACAGTATAAGTCTTTAATAAATATTGCAGTTACAAGATAAAGGTATTAGAAAAGCACATCACAAAATACCATCTCGATAGCAGCATACAGGAACACCTTCAGACGTAATGTACACTGATGGGAACCTCAAGCAGCATCAAAAATAGTAAATAAAGTAAAAAAATGGAATAAAACAAACTCTTAGCACTTAGGAAGCAAGCCTTACGCGTTTCGTTCAGAGAACTGAACTTCTTCAGGGGCAAAACCAATCAAAAAAAACAGTCTCCCAGTTAAGCAGCTGATTGGTGTAAAACCACAGTACATTTAAATACAGTTACCATTTCCTGCGGATTCCCGCCCACCTAGGCATACCATTTCTTAAAGAAGACATCCAAGGGTATTTCAAAAGGCATATTTTGAACCTTAGCGTGGAATAATTTTTCTGCTAGCTTGTACCAAGTGAAGTGGTAATAAGCATTTTTAATGCCTTTTTGACAGACAAAGTGAGTTTGCACAGTATATTTTGCAAACCTTATATGTGCTACGACTGTATAATACTTCATATGTTGCTCAGCTATCTCGTCTGAGTACAACAATACCCCCGTATGTACCTTTGCCAGGTGTATGTGGATGTTGAAGGGGCACATTTGAGACGCAGCCCTCCAGTTTTTTTTCTAACTTTGAAGTTTTACGCTGTGTCCATGTTTCATTTTAGAGTACTTTAGCTGGTTGGGTATTCAAACCTCCCCACAAACACATACTATTTATTAAAGAAAACACAATAATAATTAAAAAGGCCTATTCTGAACCTTAGTGTGAGATAATTTTTTTCGCTAGTTTGTTCCAGGTGTAGTGGTAATGAACATTTTTAAATGTATTTTTTAAACAATTTTTACCTTTTAAAACTTGTTTTTAAACTTTTTTTTACTTTTTAAAACTTTCTTGAAACTTTTTTACACTTTTAACATTTTTATAAACTTTTTTTTTACCGTTAACCCCTAACTAGCAGTAAGCAGCACACAGTAATATAACAGTAAATTCCCCAATTTCCCATAACTCCGACCCATCCCAGCTTGCAAAATATATCATTTTAAAATATTTAAATTAATTAACGAAATAAATTGAATCCCTGAGGGTTAAAAAAAAATAATAAAGAACCCTCAGGGATTAAAAACAAACAAAACATATCACAGTATAATACTGTGATCTGTATTTTGATCACTGTAGGCAGTGATCAACTGACAGGGAAGGGGTTAATTTTTATTAGGACTGAGTAAGGGGGGGGGGTATTTTTTTTACTTTTTTAAACATTATTCAAACTCTTTTTCTAACTCTTTAAAAAAAAAGTAAAGCTTTTTTTAACGTTAACCCCTAGCTAGCCTAACACCAAATTCCCCAATTCCCCACTAACTTCCACCCATCCCAGCTAGCTAAATATTACATTTTAAAATATTTAAATTAAGTAATAAAACAAATTTAACCCCTGAGGGTTAAAAAAAATAAAACGTAAAAATCAGATCACAGTAAAATGTAGTCCCTGCCAATTCCCCAATTCCCCACTAACTTCCACCCACCCCAGCTAGCTAAATATTTAATTTTAAAATATTTAAATTAAGTAATAAAACAAATTTAACCCCTGAGGGTTAAAAAAAATAAAACGTAAAAATCAGATCACAGTAAAATGTAGTCCCTGCCAATTGATCACTGTAGTCAGTGATCAGTTGGCAGGGAAGGGGTTAATTTTATTAAAGCAGGGGAATGGGGTGGGATTTAAATTTTACTTTATTTTTTTACACAGGGAGAAGATTGGCAGCACTGTTCCATCTTCCTGCAGGGACAGCGCGATCACGTGCTCCCGATCTGCCTTGAATATTGAGGCAGACCAGAGCCGCGTTATCGCCGCGATTGCGGAGATCTCGGGTTAATTTTAGCACATGACGGACCGGGTCCATCATCCGGCATGTGCTTCCCCAGCATGAAGGACCCAGTTCGTCATCCAGTGTTACGGGGTTAAAGTAATACTAAAAATACCAGGAATACAAAGCTGACCAAAGGTCCGTTTCGATTCAGGAAGCCCTCTAGTGGTTGTCTGGGAGACAGCCACTGGAGGCAGACTTAGTGCTGCAATGTAAACATTGCAGTTTCTCTGGAACTGCAGTGTTTTACATTGTAGCACTAAGTGCAAAAGGGACAGTGCACACAGACCACTTCAGCAAGCTGAAGTGGTCTGGATACCTATAGTGTCCTTTTAGGTTCCTATGAGCAATTTTCAAGATCTGAGTCAACCATATCTGCACACATTCACATTATTCACAACCACTATGCAAAACATTTTAAAGCATAAAATTATAACTAGATAAAAGTACAGTGCCCAAAAAAGATCATGCACAAAAAAAATCACATGAATTTAACTTACCTAAAGGATAATGAACTTGAATTTGAAATGAAATTGTTCCTCTTTAAAATGTAATATTGCAACCCTGAAGATTTACCCTGTAGGGTCAGTTCTGGTTATTTAGCAAGAGGATGCCCCGGTGCACTTTGAGTGTGATAAGGCCGCAGCCCCACATTGAGGCACACCCCATGTTTGTATTCAAAGGTATGTGTATATCAGAAAAAAACACTGTAAGCAGTGTGAAATGAGCTTGCAAAATGTAATTCTGAAACCTAGTGGAAGTACACAGAAATTGCCCATTTTACCAGTTTGTTTTAAAGTGTGCTTGCTTTAAAAAGATATGTAATTTGCCATATATAATATAACTGCTGAACAGACGAGTACAGGTAGTTCCTGACTTTACGAACTAATTGGTTCCGAAGCCTAGTTCATAAAGTGAGTTACACCGCAATGTATTAATCATGAGTTCAGATCCTGACCAAAAACAATTTCCATTAAAAACCTTAATTATGAAGTACATATACAAGATGAAAGCATAGCAAATACATATATGTTGTAGGAACATTAAAGGAAGACATACCATATTAAACTTCATCAAACCATCATCAGTCATCTAACTCCACAGCGACATGCTGCACTTGTTGAATGTAACACTGCGATTGTTTCCGGTTCGGTTGAGACGCTCCATGTGTCTCAGTCACCCTCCAGCACCTCCATATGTCTAATTTCCCCCTCCAAGTGTCTCATTACCCTGCCCACCCCCAGCACCTCCATATGTCTCCTTCCCCTCCCAGTGTCTCATTATCCCCCCAGCTCCTCCATGTGTCTCATCCCCCTCCCCCCCCTCCCCCCAATGTCTTATTACCCTCTCCCAGCCCCTCCAGGTGTCTTATTCCACCTCTGTGTCTCATTACCCCCTCCAAGACCCCTCCAGGTGTCTCATTCCCCCTCCCAGGGTCTCATTACCCCCTACCAGCCCCTCCAGGTGTCTCATTGCCTCCTTCAAGCCCCTCCAGGTGTCTCATTCCCGTTCCCAGTATCTCATTATCCCTCCAAGCCCCTCCATGTGTCTCATTCCACCTCTCAGTGTCTCAAGACCCATCCATGTCTCATTACCCATTAGTGTCTCATTACCCTCCCAGCCACTCCAGGTGTCTCATTCCCCCTCCCAGTATCTCATCCCTCCCAGCCCCTCCAGGTGTCTCATTCCACCTCTCAGTGTCTCAAGACCCATCCATGTGTCTCATTACCCCGCCCAGTGTCTCATTACCCCCTCCCAGCCACTCCAGGTGTCTCATTCCCCCTCCCAGTGCCTCATTATCCCCTCCCAGCCCCTACAGGTGTCTCATTCCCCTTCCCAGTGTCTCATTACTCCCTCCTAGCACCTCCAGGTGTCTCATTCCCCCTCCAGTGTCTCATTACCCCCTTCAAGCCCCTCTAGGTGTCTCATTCCCCTTCACATCGTCTCATTACCCCCTCCCAGTCCCTCCAGGTGTCTCATTACCCCTCCCAGTGTCTCATTACAGCCTTCAAGTGTCTCCTCCCCCCAAACCCCTCCATGTGTCTCATTCCCCTCTCCCAGTCCCTCCATGCGTCCCATTCCCCCTCCTAGCCCCATCCATGTGTCTCATTTCCCCCCTTCCCTAACTGTCCATGTGTATCTCCTCCCTCCCCTCCTGTACCTGCCATGTGTCTCTCCCCCTCCCTTCCTGTACCTGCCCATGTGTCTCTCCCCCCTCCCTTCCTATACCTGCCAATGTGTCTCTCCTCCCTCCCTTCCTATACCTGCCAATGTGTCTCTCCTCCCTCCCTTCCTATACCTGCCAATGTGTCTCCCCCCCTCCCCTCCTATACCTGCTCACCATGGTACAGTACCCGGTCTGACAGAAAGTGCTCTCTCAGTGAGCACTTCCTGGCAGACAGCAGTCTGCTTGGCCACACTACAACAGCAGCAGGAGGGGAGCAGCTCAGCACAGCACTCCCCTCCTTCTGAACACCATCATTGTTACTTACCTTTCTCTTTTCCTGGCCACAAACTCTGCTCTTTGGTCTGCATTCACGGAGCGCCAGCACAAAATGGCGACAAAATAAAATGGCGTTTGTAAAGGTGGGAAAACGTAAAGCTGGAGTACGTAAACCGGGAAATGCCTGTAGTTGGTTTTCTGTTCCTAAAAGACACCTAACAACCAGTTCCCAACTATCTGAAGTACAAGAGGAATGTCGGGTAGAGGCCACTCATATACTTCAACCCTCAAATATCCCATACTTTAAAAATTAACTCTAAACCCTATTCATAAGCCCAAAGCATAGCTCTGACGCCAAAAGAAAGGCATTAAAAAATAATGCAGTATACCTTGCCTTATAATAATGGTGGTGCTGAAACGTCACTTTCTCATTCGCACATGCTATGAATCATGTGTACTATAAATAGAATGATGAGGGGTAAAACAGCATATTTATCTATAGATGTGTTTCTTTCTTACAGTTTGTCGCTAGAGGAATACCTTGCAGGATGCCCAGCACTGAGTGTGACCTAGCAGAATACTGTGATGGAATATCTAGCACTTGTCCTCCAGACACTTATATGCAAAATGGTTCTCCATGTCACAATGGGCAGTCTGTGTGTTATGAAAAAATGTGCTATAACTATAACAAACACTGCCAGAAAATATTTGGAGAAAGTAAGTTTTCACTCATGTCTATAGCTAGGATTTAAACATTGGTATAATGTAATATTTATGTGACTTGTTATACATTTAGAAAAATACAAATAAATAGGTGTTTTGGGTCTCAAGAAGGGCCCATATGTCATTAGTCTCCTTTGAGAAAAATTTAATGGGGAGTTCCCCAGTAATAGAAGAATGAGTGATGCGTTGGCTCTTCCCAAAAATCCCAGAACCCCTAAAAGCTAGAAGTGGCCTTTTTCGCCTTTGTGTAGTGGCATGAGGGGTTTAAAACTGGAAGAAAATCTTGATTACTTCTTCTAATATCCTTCATCCCTTTTTGACGTGTGTGGTTTATAAATATTTAACCTAAAAATAAAATTTACATCCCCCTACATGCACCAGTATCACATTCCTGTGTGCTTTAGGACAGGCTGGCAAAATGATGATGACGAGTATGTGTAATGTCCATGAAAAAATATGTTTTCAAGTGACCGCAGGTTGAGATGAGATTTGGCATGTCTTATGCATGCAGATATCCATGTGAATGCTCTCTTAAATTGCAGAAGTCATACTGATGGGAATTGGAATGATATTTGATGTCACATCTCCAGGTGACTTCTTCCATCTGGCCCACCATGCTTGCATGCTCCACCAGCAGCAAGGTGCAAATGCTTTGCATGCATAGTAGCCCCCTCCCAATGTTTTTTGTGGCTAAGCATTGAATTAACAGAGACCGTCAGTAATGATGATTTCAGTGAAGGGTGAAGAGGAGGTTGTGGCTAGAGAGAAAAAGTGATTCATTCTTCTTTCTGATTATTAGTATTTCTGTTAGTTTCTTTGCACTTAAAGTCCAGTTACTATGTAAGCCAGTGAAACCTGCAGGCACATTGCATTGAGGACTATGCCCTTTTTCCATATTTGCTCCAGTTTTCAGGACAGACACTTTTTAAACATGCCCGCCAATGTATACAGTTCTGATAGTAGGAAAATATGTTGTTAAATTCTGGCTCTGATATATGTATCTTTTTTTTAATTTAGGAATTTAAGAGGATAATGTGTCATTTGTCTCCTTTCCAGGTGCTACAGTTGCTTCTTTGTCCTGCTTCCAGTCTGTTAATAGCGTGGGCGACCGATTTGGAAACTGTGGCAAAGATAGTGAGATAATCCAATGTGATACTAAGTAAGTAATATGGCTCAAGAGATACATATAAGATAATGTAAATGAAGAATTAAGCTTGATTATATCAAGTTAATTTTACACTACACTTTACAAACCACAGCCATTTATTATTTTTTTTTTGTGCTTCCCTACTGCCTACACTATATGGCTTCAGGGTGATGTGAGCAAGTGATTTACTGATGTTGCTTTGAACCACAATCAAAATATCCTTCTTTTTTGATTGCCTATTTTAACCAATAGGCGAACAAAAGAGGGGTGACTTTCTGCCAAGTAGCTAAAGCCCCTCTATGGAGGATACTTCAAACAATTACTCTAACCACTAAACCAATAACTATAATAATGTGTTTGTCTTCTTGCAGATTCCTGATTTGCTGGGTGTTCAGCTCATATCCTCCCTATCATTCATTTTTCACATTAGTGTTGTATTAAATATAAAACATACTGGTCAGACTGGTGAGATGATACTAATGTTCCTGTAGGTAACGGGTTCATGATATCGTGTGTTAATAGACTTTTATTTTCTATTATTTATCTATTTATCTATTTCTAGTGTGCTGGGGGAGATATAGCGATTAGGTTTTGTAATCTTTGTTTGTTGGGTTTAGGAGGGATGTGAGGGGTTTGGGTTGTGATGCTAGCGTCTGCATTATATGTAGTGCATGATGTGAGTTTGTTGTTCTGGTTCGTAAGTCTCTTGTCTTTGTCTGGGTATGTGCTGTTTTCTTTTGGTGTGATGGGGTTATTCCGGTCTTGGGCTGAGTTTGGGGTGATAAGGGGTGTATGTAAAGTGTTGGGGTCTTGTGGGGATATGGGGTATGGTGGCGTGTTAGCAGTGTGGTGGGACTGTATTTTCTTTTTTGATTGCCTTATTTCCTGTGTAAAAATGTTCCATTGTATACCCCACACCTGTCAAGCTTTAGAGATATTTATTGGTAACCACATGCTCCATGCTTACTGGGAGACTTAAATATAAAATGCATTTATTTTGTAATATAGGATGTTCTGAGAATTTGCAGTCGCTGACTTTTAATTTATACCTTGACGATCTAAGTGTAGTTTTTAATACCTCTCATGGAAACCAGGCGTTACATGATATTCAGCACAAGACATTATATGTTAAAAATTTTTAGCATGGAAACTGCTGGTAATCACTATCAATAGCAATGGCTATTTTACCATTATCGCCTTATTGTACAAGGTTTGTGGCAAACATATAGTCAAGCTCTTCGTCATTTTTGTAGATTTGTTCCATCTAGATGATCATTTTTATATGAATGCATTGATTTATACATAATTTTTCTTATATATTACACTCAGTATGGGGCTTTTTGATTGCATTTTTTTACTGCATAATAATTGCACTAAGCGTAAATTCCGATTCCACACTCTGGTGCAATAAAACTCTCAGCTCTAAGCTGTTATGCACCAGGAACATAAAGAAATCATATATTTTTAATGAAAAACCTTGATCATGTACTCACATTTCTAGATAACTTTAAATTATATGATTACAATTACAACTTGATTCCATTTTTTTTTTTGGTTTGTTTTCTTCAGAGATGTGATGTGTGGACGTCTTCAGTGTGAGAATGTGAGAAAAATTAAAACCCCTGATAAATACACTGCAGTAATTCAGACTCCTATCAAGGACTCATTTTGCTGGGGACTAGATTTCCGGTCTAGAAACAATTCATTTGATCTTGGAGCTGTGCCGGATGGAGCACAGTGTAACAAAGGAAAGGTACTTTTCTATGTAGCTTAGTTAGAAACTCAGAAATTGCTTTCTTTCATTTATGTATCAAGCTAATGCAACAAATGGATGAAAAGAGAGACAATGATACAAAATTATCTAGGTTAAAGTATTCATATGGGTACTGTAGAAGATCCCCAGATGTTTTAAAACTACACCTTCCATGATGCTGTCAGGATTACAAGTTGATCCAGCACGCAGTACTGTGTCACACCTAGGACTAAGGATAACGTATAACCAGACCTTAGAATGGCCGGACTTAACGTCCAAGAATAGTCAAAATACTAGCCGAGGTCAGGGACACAGAATCAGACACAAAGATGAAGGACAGCCAAAAGTTATGGATTCCAGATATCAGGGAAGTCAAAACAAAGACAAAGTCAAATACCAGGAAATCAAGATCATAAATGCACTCTTGGATAACCATATACATAAACCCACGACAGGGCAATGAGCAAGAGGAGAATTCTGTTTAAGTACCCCTCCTCGAAATCCGATTGGCTGTAACCAGCCTTTGACCTCAAAGGCAATTACCAGGCGTGCATAATTGCTGCTCAGCAAAACCTTTCCTGTCAGGACGGCAATGCTGCTCGGCACAACTTTTCCTGTCAGGACGGTAATGTTGCTCGGCACAACTTTTCCTGTCAGGACAGTAAATGCCATTAACCACATTTTGCTGTGCGGATGAATATGTGATAGATGCTTCATCATTCTAAAGGCTTGCAAAGCATCATGCAAGTTTTACAACATCTTGGGATCTACCTTTTGGGCAGCCCTACTTCTATTATGTAATTTGATACTCATTATAAAGGCAATTCCCCAGAGATTTAAAAAAAATATTTTATTTATATGTGAGGATTATAAAATATAATCCTAATGTGAATATGGGCACACTATAGTGAAGCTTACTACAGGGAGTGCAGAATTATTAGGCAAATTAGTATTTTGACCACATCATCCTCTTTATGCATGTTGTCTTACTCCAAGCTGTATAGGCTCGAAAGCCTACTACCAATTAAGCATATTAGGTGATGTGCATCTCTGTAATGAGAAGGGGTGTGGTCTAATGACATTAACACCCTATATCAGGTGTGCATAATTATTAGGCAACTTCCTTTCCTTTGGCAAAATGGGTCAAAAGAAGGACTTGACAGGCTCAGAAAAGTCAAAAATAGTGAGATATCTTGCAGAGGGATGCAGCACTCTTAAAATTGCAAAGCTTCTGAAGCGTGATCATCGAACAATCAAGCGTTTCATTCAAAATAGTCAACAGGGTCGCAAGAAGCATGTGGAAAAACCAAGGCGCAAAATAACTGCCCATGAACTGAGAAAAGTCAAGCGTGCAGCTGCCACGATGCCACTTGCCACCAGTTTGGCCATATTTCAGAGCTGCAACATCACTGGAGTGCCCAAAAGCACAAGGTGTGCAATACTCAGAGACATGGCCAAGGTAAGAAAGGCTGAAAGACGACCACCACTGAACAAGACACACAAGCTGAAACGTCAAGACTGGGCCAAGAAATATCTCAAGACTGATTTTTCTAAGGTTTTATGGACTGATGAAATGAGAGTGAGTCTTGATGGGCCAGATGGATGGGCCCGTGGCTGGATTGGTAAAGGGCAGAGAGCTCCAGTCCGACTCAGACGCCAGCAAGGTGGAGGTGGAGTACTGGTTTGGGCTGGTATCATCAAAGATGAGCTTGTGGGGCCTTTTCGGGTTGAGGATGGAGTCAAGCTCAACTCCCAGTCCTACTGCCAGTTCCTGGAAGACACCTTCTTCAAGCAGTGGTACAGGAAGAAGTCTGCATCCTTCAAGAAAAACATGATTTTCATGCAGGACAATGCTCCATCACACGCGTCCAAGTACTCCACAGCGTGGCTGGCAAGAAAGGGTATAAAAGAAGAAAATCTAATGACATGGCCTCCTTGTTCACCTGATCTGAACCCCATTGAGAACCTGTGGTCCATCATCAAATGTGAGATTTACAAGGAGGGAAAACAGTACACCTCTCTGAACAGTGTCTGGGAGGCTGTGGTTGCTGCTGCACGCAATGTTGATGGTGAACAGATCAAAACACTGACAGAATCCATGGATGGCAGGCTTTTGAGTGTCCTTGCAAAGAAAGGTGGCTATATTGGTCACTGATTTGTTTTTGTTTTGTTTTTGAATGTCAGAAATGTATATTTGTGAATGTTGAGATGTTATATTGGTTTCACTGGTAATAATAAATAATTGAAATGGGTATATATTTGTTTTTTGTTAAGTTGCCTAATAATTATGCACAGTAATAGTCACCTGCACACACAGATATCCCCCTAACATAGCTATAACTAAAAACAAACTAAAAACTACTTCCAAAAATATTCAGCTTTGATATTAATGAGTTTTTTGGGTTCATTGAGAACATGGTTGTTGTTCAATAATAAAATTAATCCTCAAAAATACAACTTGCCTAATAATTCTGCACTCCCTGTATAGTGAACACCTTTGTTGGTTCAATTTTTCATACACAAAATGTGAGTGAAAATGAGCTCTGGTGAGGTTGCACATATGGGGAAGACTAACTTTATTTGCAGCTACATACTGGATGCAACCACCTGCTAGAGCAAAGCCAACATTAGCTTACCATATTCAGGGCCTGAGATGCTGCTCATGCAGACACGTGTAGTTGCATAGAGCCTGTCTATTCAGTTACAAACCAGGAATGCTCACTGGGTGCTCATACTGTAACACATCCCTCCACAGTGAGGGCTTGGGAGCAGCTCTGATATGTGCTTGATTAGGCAGTTCTCCATGCTGCTTTACCCTTCATGATGAGGAGGTAAAGTTGATTCAAAAAGGCATGGAAAAGAAAAAGCATTTTTGGATGTGACATTGAGTGTGAAAGTGAAATCAGGAGAGGTAACGAACAAGCATACTCAAAAACGCAATCACAAGCACACCAGCTCTCTACAAAAATACATCTCTGCAAAAATCACATCACTTATAGACAGATTGACACTCTGCAACCACAAATACAGACTCTTAGCATATATAATTTTGTATTCACTCTCACTGGATCCCTCTATTAATACACACTTGCACCACATGCCACAGACAGATCACGAGTCAAAAACAAAGTGCTGTTCAAATAGTAGAGGTTGTAAGCAATTTTAAGCATGGCAAGTAACTGAGGACTTATATGTTTTGTGCCCTGACATAGATAATAGCTATACATTTTGGAGAGTTGAAAATTATCCCTAGCTCTTTTTGGAAGTTTCCCGTAGATACTTTTTTGAAAGAGAGCACTTTCAAACAAATGCTTTTAGGCATATCCATGTGTACCTGTCACAATGGGGCCTTATAATACGATCCCCAAAGAATAAGGATTTTTTTTCTGTCCGTTTCTTTTGAACAATCTATATATATGGGGATTTTATAAAGCTTTTTCAGTAAATTAAGTAAGCATTAAAACAGTAAAGAAAGGAACTCTGAACAGTGACGGAAAATAATGCTAAATAATTATATAATTTTAAAAAAAACAATGCCATCCCATTTCCACAATGTTATGACAGGTCAATGACATAGAAAGTAGTAGTAGTTCATTCATGAATGACTGTCAAGGAAAGTAATTATTTATTTGAAATCCCATAAGAAAACATTGTATTGGCGGAGACTGTCAATTCTGCAGGGACTGACCATACCAGAAACACTACAATAAGCTGTCGTTGTTCTGGTGACTATAGTGTCCCTTTAAAATCTCAATTGTTTTTTTATCAAAATATCAAAGGGATATACCAGGACAATATTATAGCTCATATATACAGACTTCAAGCCAAAATAAACATAAACCAGGGTTGGTACGACATTGAAAAATCAGAGATAAATACAAAAATGCCTGACCTATTTTATATTGCCTGGGATCATAAATCCAAATTAAATAACAAACTCTTTGAGAACTGTACTTTGATATTCGGACAAGCTTGGTCTAAGATCAAGAAAATATTGAATATACATGAACTAATTCCATCCTTTCTCCCTTTAGAATTTTTAGCATATGCAATAAAAGGCATAAATGGAAATCTTGTACAATAATATCCATAAATCAGTTACTAAAAATGTTGGCGTTTAAAAAATTATCTGACTTAGTAGACACCTTTCAATTACGCTCTTGCGACCCATTTTTTTGCTCTCCACAAGTTTAAAGGGTAATCCAGACGTGGACCCCTTGCTCACGGTGCCTAAGGAGATATCAGCTATGCCTCACTGATGATGCCTAACAAGGCTGAAACGATCATCTGAGGTTGCTTTGTCTCTCATGCAGAGGGAACTTACTGGCATTTTGGCCCGTATGGGTGGGACCAGTCTGATATGTTTCAGAGATGTTCTCTCTGTAATGGCACAAGATGAGCAAAAACCAGCTTGAGAACTGAGCGGGGACCCACCGAAGGGCAAGTTTTTTCAGTTGCTGCTCGTTCTCGGTATTCTCTTGCAACCCATTTTTTTGCTCTCCACGCTCTACGAAAAAATAAAAATTTTTTAAGAGTGTGAAGTTTTATTTAAAAAAAAATGTCAAAAGAATTTCTAGAATTTGAATCCAAGCTAATAGACTTATTCGATGTCACAAAACCAAGAAAAAAAAGTCTCTCAAAAAACAAAACCACCAACAGCTTTATTGGTATGGGAAAAAGATCACGGTATTAAACTAATCATAGAAAATTGGTGCAAAGCTCAACACAAGACGCATTTAGCAATTAATTGCTTTAATCTATTAGAAACCCGTAATAGAGGTAATAGGTAAAAGGTAATAGATGGTACGTGGTTCCAACGCGCTTAGCAAAAATATCAAATACAAATTCCTCCCTATGCTGGAGATCTCGTTTAAAAGAGAGAAAATATATCCATATATGGTAGAAATGCAAAAAGGTTATAAATTAATGGTCCAAGATATTAATTATTATTATTATTATTGCCATTTATATAGCGCCAACAGATTCCGTAGCGCTTTACAATATTATGAGAGAGGGGATTTAACTATAAATAGGACAATTGCAAGAAAACTTACAGGAACAATAGTATGAAGAGGATCCTGCTCAAATGAGCTTACATTCTATAGGAGGTGGGGTGTAAAACACAATAGGACAGGTATTTGCAATCAAATAAGGTGGGAGTGAAGCAGAGCTGGAGGAGAGAGTAGAGTGCTGCCCTTTAGGAGAGAGCAAGAGACAGGTATGTAAGCTAGCGGTTACTCTGGGAGGCCAAAAGCTTTCCTAAACAAATGGGTTTTAAGGCACTTCTTAAAAGATGCAAGACTAGAGGAGAGTCTGATGGCGGTAGGCAGTCTATTCCATAGGAAGGGAGCCGCCCGCGAGAAGTCCTGCAAGCATGAGTTGGCCGTACAGGTGCGAACAACGGACAGGAGGTGGTCCCGGGCAGAGCGGAGAGATCGAGAAGGGACATACCTATGGATCTGTGAGGAGATATAAGAGGGGCTAGAATTGTTCAGTGCTTTATAGGTGTGAATTAGTAACTTTAATTGACTCCTAAAGGATACAGGAAGATAATGTAAGGACTGACAAAGGGGTGAGGTGTGAAAGAACTGACTAGAGAGGAAAATCAGTCTGGCAGCAGTGTTCATTATGGACTGTAGAGGTACAGTACTGCTTTTGGGAAGACCTATCAGAGAAGGGTTACAATAATCCATGCAGGAAATTACTAGAGCATGGACAAGCTCCTTGGTAGCATCTTGCGTAAAAAAAAGGGGCGGATGCGGGCTATGTTTTTGGAATCTACAGGATTTGGCAACATTCTGGATGGCTCAAAGGTGAGGCCAGAATCAATTATGACGCCAAGACAGCACACTTGCAAGGATGGACTTATGTGGATACCACTAACTTAAAACTTAAACAGTAAACTAAATTAACTTAAAAATTAAAATACATAGAACAACACAGGTGGCTCTACTCTATCTGCATTGGCCACCCTTAACTCTATCAGGAAAACATTTAATGAAAATTGTCTAAAAGTTATTATAATTTTATGTCAAGACAGGAGGCTTCATATTTGCTTTACCTTCTTTACTGAAACCTCAAGCAGCAAAGAAATAGTTAGCAGAACTTTTCAAAACAAGCAATCAGAACAAAATAACAGTAGTATAAAACCACTTAGGCAGACCCTCCCACTCCCTCTTTCTTTGCTGCTGCCTCCAGGTGAGCACTCACCAACTCAGAGTTGTCTCTGCTCTGGGTTGTTTTTTTTCTGCATGCTTCTTACTTGCTGTGTCATTTGTATTCTATGCACGTGGCTTGTGCTGGGCTGTTTGTGGGGTGGGTGCCCTGCTCCCTGCTAAGAGGTTTGGATTTCTGCTCTGACCTGTTTCACCACCCTGGGGCTTCCACCCAGTCGGCCCTCACACTGTGCATTCCGGCGGTTCCCTCCTGGGCTCTACGGCCCCCACTCTCTCCCCCTCACTTCCCAGCTGCTCCCCGCGGCCCCGGTCCGCTTAATGAGACGTTTTTGACTTGCAGCAGTACCGCGAGACTACCGCATGGGAGTCCGTGCTCGATTTTTGCGCCTGTGGCGGCCCTTTTTTGGTTGGAGCCGTGGTGGCCATTTTTTCGGAGCCACGTGGCTGTATGGACTCACTCACGCTGCTGTCTGCTGGCCAGCCTTCCCTCTCAATGTGTCTCCTCTGTATTGGTTTTGCTGCCCCTTCTTGCAGGGAACTTGCTTTAACTGTACATACACTACATCAGTGTATCCATATAAAGCTGATTTGAAAGCTGTTACTTTGTGAAATGCAGTTCAGGATGTTCTAGGACAACTGGGTGATTTGTGCATGTAGTTAATCATGTTTAGATCTGTAATAAACATGATGCATTATAAAAAAAATGGACCCTGGATGGACTGGGACTGTCCCATACCTACACCTACCTATCCTGACACTCTCTTCTACTTCTCGGGTGGGCTAACAAGCACCCCATACAACCCTATCATTACAGGGGGTGAACCCCCATCTACACTACTGGGGGTCCCTGCTTATATTGCCCTCTACTGGGCCATACTGCTGTGCATGTGGCACTATTGTGGGTTGGGTGAACCCCTCCCTCTGACAACACTGCTGGACCTTCAGTGTCTTATTATATTCATATTGAGGGTGATCCCTGTAGCGGATGGCCATAAGCTGTCCTGGGACTTGTATTATTTTTACCTTGTATTCGTCTATTTGCTAAATGTATATGCAGTAATGTAATGTATTCGTCTGATTGTTCGGTAGAATCATTCTAACAAATAAGGGAATGAAACTACCGAACAATCAGACCTCCCCGGTGTGAAGTGTGCCTTCAATTACCCGTTGCAACATTGTTGCGAACGGGTAATTGACAAACTGTATAGCAATTGTTCTCGGGGTGGCCGCCATTCGGGAAACGAAAACGTGGCGGCGGCCATTTTTAACTCCCGAACAGCGGTGTTTTGCCGTCGAGTGTCTGGACTTCAAAACGGACACTCGACTAGGCGAACACCCCTGAGACCTCCATCAGCCCGGTCCGTTCGGTTCCAAACTACCAAACAGCCCCTCGTTCTGTAGGCATAATCAACCGAACGAGGGGATTCAGGCGAACCCTCCCCAGCCTCTATAGCTGGAGGCTTTCAGGTACTTTATTCTCCTTTTCCAGGACCGACCGCAGGGCCCCTTCGCATGGAGCCCAATTCGGCTAGTTCTTCCAGTGGGGTCGGTCATTTTATTCCCTCCATGAAATTCCCGAACCCCTGGTCTGATCTGGGTGATTTTTGGATATGTCGTTCAACCAGATCAGAGCTACCAGGGGATGCATAATTTAAAGTGGTACCCCTTGGTTTAGGTGTACATCCAGAAGCGGGGGGAATTGCTGTACTGGATAAGGGGATTATGATGCCGGCTGAGGGGAGGAGATGTGTGGGAGGTTACCAGGACAGGATTGGTTATTGTGATAATGAATGTAATCCCTCCCTTGCATGGGAGCATGCTTTAAAAGGCCACTGTGGAATAAAGCTTACAGTTCTGCTACTGATACTGTGTGTCGTCCAGTTATTGGGAGTGCTGTTGGGATACTATTGGATTATTTTACCTGCTGGATACTTTGCCTATGGATTTGTAACTGCTGTTCCTGAGCATCACTGGGATCTACAAGTGGAGGTAGGCTATGCAATACTAGCTCTCCGCTACAATCCCCTACCGCTGAATACTCTGCTGGCCCTACAGTGTTCTGTTGTAATCATACTGAGGGTGACCCCCTCCCGCTGACTGCACTACTGTACTAACAGTGTCCTGTTCTACTCATACTGAGGGTGAGCCCCTCCTGAGGACTATACTGCTGGACTTGCAGTGTCCTATTATGTTCATAATGAGGGTGACCCCCTCCTGCTGACTGCACTGCTGTACTTACAGTGTCCTGTGATACTCATACCGAGGGTGACCCCCGCCTGCTTACTGCACTGCTGGACCTGCAATGTCCAGTAATGGTTATAATGAGGGTGACTCCCTCCTGCTGCCTGCACTGCAGTGTCTTGTTATATTCATAATACGGCTGACTCTTACTGCCGCCAGCACTGCTGTACCTACAGTGTCCTTTTATATTCATACTGACCCCCTCCCCTGCTGGCCTATACTGCATGGTATGCTTGTGCTTGTTGGGTGACCCCCTCTTGCACGTTGGATGACCCCCAGCTGGCCGTACCAGGTACCACACCGATAGTGTTACCTCTATGGCAGTGATACAGTCACGGCCGACGGAGCAGATTTCCATGCCCAGAAGGTCCCCAGGCCTGGTTTTGTGCCGCCTTAGTGGACTCATTGCCTGAGGTCCTCGTTGCCCTACATGGTGACACTCCACAGACCACCCTGGACTCTGCACCAGGCACCTCAGGAGCTCAAGGCTCTGACTCGGCGATTCCCTGTAGATATGGACTCCGCACGTAAGAGACCTTGGAAGGGCCATGGCACTCCCACTGACTAAGAGGGAGCTACCTGGCCAGTTTTCATGAATGGGTCCGGAAAAGACCCTGCAAAGACCTGGAACAAGGTTTGCACTCTCCCCAGGTCTAACTGCTGAATGTCAGTGGCACGTTGGCACAGATGTTTATCAGGGCGGATGACGCTCTACGAAGTGGAACACTAGTAGATGCTAAATCTCCTTCGTGAATGGGCCCAAAGATCTGTCTGTTTGTTTATAAGGAAACGCCTATTTGGCCCTGTTTCCCGAACACCGCAAAGCGGCCCCTTCCAAGCTGGAAAGCAAGTTGGCAGACTTGGCATCCAGGGAATTGGGTCTGCTCTTCGGAGTTGCCTTCACGAACGAGTTGGACTGACACGTTTCTATTTATACATCTCTCAACTAGTCACAGATGTTTCTCGGACCGTGCCCGGATTCAGGATCAATTTTGTCGAACCTCAGACACAGAACACTGCTCCATGGCCGATACGCATGGCCAAAGAGGCGTCCGTTACAGTTAACTCCAAAGTTTATCCCTGCTGTACAAGGGTGCAGTGGAGTGGGCAACAGGCTGACCTCACTTTTTGAGCATTATCTCCATTGTATGGATGCCCTCAAAGCATATGTTGCCTGTTGACATTTCCAGGTAGAGGGCACCCATCTCCTCGGAGACCTGTTCTGCGAGGGTGATTGGTTCTCCAACTGGATCAGAGGGAAGCCTGCCTGGGTTTCACCATCAACATTGAAATATCGGAACTGACTCACTCTCAGTCAGTCCAGTTTCTGGGTTTCGTGAAATATTCGGTTCAGGCGGTGCTCCGTCTTCCAATGCCCATGGTGACCACCTTCAGGAAGGATATCAGATGCATGCTCTGCAACGTGCAGGTCACACTTAGGGACCTGGCCCGGATGATAGGCCTGTTGTCATCCTCCATTGAACCCATTTTTCCAGGACCTTGCACTATCGGACACTCCAACGCCTGAAAGCTCGCTATCTCAGGTCATTGGTGACTTCGACATATGGAGACCTGGAACGGCAAGGCGATTTTCGGACCCCAACCAGACTTCGTCCTGGAATCTAACGCTGGCTGTATGGGCTGGGGCGCTACTTGCAATGGTGTGGCAACAGGAGGACTCTGGACTCCAGAGGAGAGCGCTCCTCACGTACAACTGTATGGAGCTAACTGCAGGTTTGTTCGCCATTCGCAGTTTCCCCAGGGGAAGAATCACTGCTCGCTGCATCCCTGCATGGACAGCGTCCCCACTGTCCGCTCCGGACTGCAGTCGGACCTCACAAAGGATCTCTATCTAGACTGTGCCCCTTCACTCAGATCTGATTGCTTCCAGGGTGAACTGTTAAACAGATTGGTTCTTCAGTTGGCTTCCGGACCCTCTCAGCGAGGTAGTGGCCGCGTTCTCCAAGACTGGCCTCCCTCGGGGAAGTATGCATTCCCCCTTTTCTTTTTTCTACAGGTTACTTCGGACATTGCATCAGACCAAACTCCTGGGAGTGTCGTGTCTCCTGGTCACACCACTTTGCTGGAGTTGTTGGGCGAAGACCTTCTACTACTCCCTGTCTCCTACGAGATCCACAAGAGAATCCACATCCATTGATATTAGAGGATCGCCTACCACTACTGGCTTGGACCATTTCCGGGTTGCTGGGATTTGTCAGACCTATCGACAACGGTTAGAGAGTTCCTCTGGGACGCTTGGGCACCTGGCTGCAGATGATCATACCTGCACTCCTATCATGGCTGTCCTAAACTGCCTGGCTGAATTGTTTTCTCAGGGTAAGTTTCATGGGATCATTTACGTCTTAGGTCAGCTAGCTCGACGGCTCATGTGCCTTCTCAAGATTCTGGCATTGGTAAGGACCCCTTGGTCTGCAGACTACCTCTTGCTGTTCCTCAGTTTAGGATGTATCGCTTGTTCTGCGTTTCCTTGAGGAATGGCCTGCTGCCGAGGATTTGTCTTTGCGACAGCTTTCCGCTTGGCTGGCTCTCCTGTTAGGTCTTGTATTTTTTTGTCGCGTTCTGATGTTCGTGCTTTTGATGTAGAATCTTTTCCTTCTCAGCGGACGGTGTGTCTGTTTCTATTCTGCGCAGGACCACATCTATTTGTCTTCTGTATTGTATCCCTAATCTTCAGATAGGCCACGTCTCTGTACGGCACGTTGCCTACGGACGTATAGATCCAAAACCTCGTCCTTCTGCTATTGGGCAGCTGTTGATTTCTTACATCCGACCGTTTAGAGCTGTTTCTGCACCTTCGCTCGCTCATTTGATTCGGTGGTTTCTCTCATCGGCTGGTATTGCGAGTTCCTTTGGGACACATTTGGTTCGGGACGGTGCAGCTTCAGCAGCTCTAGAAGCCGGTGGGTTCCTTCTGGATTTTCTCTGCACCGCTGATTGGTCTAGGAAATTGACTTTCCGTTCCTTTTATTTCCGTCCTCGATCTCTTGTTTCTTCTGTTTGTATGTCTGGGCGTTAAAATTGCAAATATGAAGCCTCCTGTCTTGCCATAAAATTAGGTATTATTCTAGCCTCGTGAGGGAATAATCTAAATTTTAATAAAGACAGGAGGCGAATATTTCCTTCCCCCCCCCTCCCCCCCTTTTTTTTCGTTTCCCTCCCTGGAATTGTTTTTTTTTTCTCTTATGATTAATTGGAGATATTGTTATGTTTTTTGTAAATGCATGGTCTTGTATAATAAAGATTATTTCTATTATACGGTGGTGATTGTCCGTGTGTGTTTTATTCATCATGTATTGTGATGTGCAAGTAATATTGTATGGATATTACATCTTGCTTTGACAGTTTACTTTCACAATGTTTCTTTTTGTTTTGCAGTGTAATCTGTTTTCCCTCTGGTTTTGACGATTTTCTCTAAAAGTGCCTGCTACAAGGTGGATTTGTTGTTTTTCCTTGCTCTCCTTCCTGCTCGACCTCATCAAAGGAAGAGGAAGTGGAAGGGTCTGCCTAAGTGGTTTTATACTTCTGTTATTTTGTTCTGATTGGTTGTTTTGAAAAGTTCTGTTAACTATTTCTTTGCTGCTAGAGGTTTCAGTAAAGAAGGTAAAGCAAATATTCGCCTCCTGTCTTTATTAAAATTTTGATTATTCCCTCACCGAGGCTGTAAATCCACATTGTAAATCCCAAATAATTTTAATATGGAAAGCAGTATTAAAGGGACACTATCGTGACCAGAACAACTACAGCCTATTGAATTTGTTCTGATGAGTAGAATCATTACCTTCAGGCTTTTTGCTATAAACACTGTCTTTTCAGAGAAAATGCAGTGTTTACATTACAGCCTAGTGATAACTTCACTGGCCACTCCTAAGATGTCTGTTAGAGATCCCTCCTGGGTCATTGCTGCCTAAAATGCATCAAAACATTCAGTGTCTCCTCCCTCTGCATTACTATACTTAGGGAGGCATGAGGGGACCAGGGTGGCTAGATGGTGGTTTTAACCCTATAGGGTCAGGAATACATGTTTGTGTTCCTGACCCTATAGTGTTCCTTTTAATCATTTAATCTTCCAAATCCAGATAAAGAGATTTGTGGTCGAAATGTGGTCGAAATGTGGTCGAATCTGTGGTCGAAATGTGCACTCTCAAAAAAATATGGGATTAATGACTGAAATTAATTTAAATCAATCCAATAAGAGATTTCAGACCAAAAATATGTGCATTAATTATATTTAATCCCTAGCAAAAAAGAAGAGATTTAGAGGGTTACCCCTAGATCTAGATGACAACTCAACACAATACTAGTTATACTCTCCTCATCTACACTCCTCTCCTTGATAATATAAAGGTTTTTTCTTTGTACTGCTTTCTTTGTCTGTCTTTTCTCTTGTATATTTTATTTCTTTATCCCTTGACATTTAACAAATATTACACACAATATTTAAAAAAAAAAAAAATATTACAATGTTATGTCTTGGGATGTTATGTAAAAGTGTTGGAGGTTTTTGGCGACTGATGGTAATACTAGATTTTGGCATACCAGCTATTATGTATCAGGAACCATAGTTAAGTTTTGATGTTGAAATGTGAAGTATGCCATCATTGATCTTCCTTAATACATGCTATTCTTTTTTTATTTATTAAGATTTGCATGAAACAAACTTGTGTGGATGTTTCAGTTTTGGGATATGATTGCGATGTTGAAAAGAAGTGTGGAGGAAATGGGGTGAGTAAATCAATGATCAAGATACAGATAAAACCAGTAAAACAAAAAGCAGATTATGACACTATTACTACCATTGTCACATCCTTTGCAGCCACTGGAGGGCACTCTCACAAAGGAAATAAAAAAAGTAAACTCTGATAATGGTATCGATGCAGATATATAGCTTGTCCATTTTAAATCATTCTCATGGAAGGATACCTAGCCAAAGCAACTGTTTTGCAGCTAAACAGGGATGCGTAACAGTACAGTATAGGCCCAATGCAGAAGAATATACATATGAAGAAGGTGCAGTTGTTAGTGCATAAAATTATGCATATCGTTATTGACCATGAGTGAAATGGTATAGATCAGGGTGTTGCCGTGGATGTGATCTATTTGGATTTTGCCAAGGCATTTTATACAGTTCCACACAATAGATTAGTGTTCAAACTCAAGGAAATCGTTCTAGATGAAAATGCTTGTTCTTGGGTAGAACATTGGCTTAAAAACAGAGTACAAAGAGTTGTCATTAATGGTAAATTTTCAAACTGGACAGAGGTGGCAAGTGGTGTCCCTCAGGGGTCTGTTCTGGGACCCCTTCTATTTAACATGTTTATAAATGATCTTGAAGACAGCATTGAAAGTCATGTTTCAGTGTTTGCAGATGACACAAAACTTTGTAAAACAATACAATGTGAGCAAGATATTACTTTGCTGCAGAGGGATTTAGATAGACTGGGGGACTGGGCACTCAAATGGCAGATGAAATTTAATGTTGAAAAATGCAAAGTTATGCACTTCGGCGTAAAGAATACACAAGCAACGTATACCCTTAATGGAAGCAAATTAGGGATAACAACACACGAAAAGGACTTGGGAATTGTTATAGACAACAAACTATGCAACAATGTGCAATGTCAATCAGCAGTGGCCAAGGCCGGTAAGGTATTGTCATGCATGAAAAAGGGCATTCATTCTCGGGACGAGAATATAATTTTGCCTCTTTAAAAATCACTGGTAAGACCCCATATTGAATATGCTGTGCAATTTTGGGCACCTGTTCTAAAGACTAGGGCTACAAAATTAATAAAAGGAATGGAACATATCAGCTATGAAGAAAGGTTAAAAAATTTAAACCTATTTAGCTTAGAAAAACGTTGCCTGAGAGGGGATATGATAACATTATACAAATATATTCGGGGCCAATACAAACCATCGTGTGGAAATCTATTCACAAACCGGACTTTACATAGGACACGAGGCCATGCGTTTAGACTGGAAGAAAGAAGATTTCGTCTAAGGCAAAGGAAAGGTTTTTTTACTGTAAGAACAATCAGGATGTGGAATTCTCTGCCTGAGGAAGTGGTTTTATCAGAGTTCAAACAGCTACTAGATGCATACTTGCAAAAACAGAATATTCAAGGATATAATCTTTCAATGTAGGGTAATAACTGCTTGATCCAAGGATAAATCTGACTGCCATTCTTGGGTCAAGAAGGAATTTTTTTCCTAGCTTGTTGCAAAATTGTGCTTCAAACTGGGTTTGTTGCCTTCTTTTGGATCAACAGCAAAAAACAAATGTGAGGAAAGCTGAACTTGATGGACGCAAGTCTCTTTTCAGCTATGTAACTATGTAACTATGAAACACAGTCAGGGTTATTTACTAAAGTGAGAATTCAAAGTGAATTTCAAATTTAAGGCCATAATAGCTGTGCCAAACTTGAGAAATTAAATAACTTAGCTATGCTTTAACCAAACTGGAAGCATAGCTAAATTATATAATTTTTCCAGTTTGGCACAGTTATTATGGCCTTAAATTTGGAATTTGCTTTGTATTCTCACTTTAGTTAGTAATCCTGAGTATAATCAGCTGTGCCATTGACATCTTAAAAGTGTCCTTAAAATAATTATTTGAAGAGGTGCAAAAGTCTAGCTTCTTTTATTTCAAAAATGTACTCTTACTGGTCTATGAATCGAACAGGGCTTAACCAAATCTTGAATGCTTCCTGTCCGCTCGAGGAAGGCTCCCTCACACGCAGAGCCTGATCTCTCGGTCCTAGGCAGAAGCCTTGGCCACCTAATTGGTAATCCAGCTCTCCATCCCAAAGCAACTGTAGTCCCTTTTAACAACCTCGTAAAATATGGTCTCAAAATTTTCACTGCCACTAGCCATTGGGAATAGTGTGAGAATGAATATTATATCAGCTCCCATTCTTTTGCTGAAATTAATATAATGTATACATATATGTTTTTATTTTGTTAATCTTAGGTGTGCAATAATAAGAAGAACTGCCATTGCAATATGAACTGGAGTCCTCCTAACTGTACTCAGCAAGGATATGGAGGAAGTGTGGATAGCGGGCCACTAACCAGAAGCTCAATTGTCAATTTTACCTCACCAATTAAACATCAACTACCTAATGGTACCTACATAGCTTCATAAATATGCTATATATGCTTAGGGTAACTGGTACTACTCCTGAGTTAAACTGACTAGTAAATATATCAGAACAGAATAACTCATGGATGCCAGATTTTTTGCCTGACGTCAGCTTGGAAAAGTTGTGTTGGCAATTTGTGAGGCAATGCGTTCCTGTTAGATCATGTTTTATTAATATTGCTGAACGTGTTGGCTCCTCATAAATAGTTGCAAATAATAATGGTATATTAATTTTATGAAAACAAACATGTTCATGTTTCTGTACTATAATGTATGAAGACACACTTTGTTTTCAGCAATGTTTTGGGGGTTTTTTCATGAAATTTTTTATAAGTTCTAAAAAAATATTTTTTCTTTTTTTTTTTCTTTCAGCATCCAATGTGAAATGGGAGTCGAATGTTTCTCTAGCTGCAATGATTGCCTGGTTGCTGCATATGTTTTTAATGGATAATGTTAATGTATTTAATGACTTATAGTGGAAGTTGAGATGTTTCAGTCACTGCTGTTATTTGTGTTTTTTTTTATATCTAACTTCTTCTAGATTGTAAGCTCATTTGAGCTAGACCCTCTTAAAAAGGCACTCTGAGCACCATAGCCACTACAGCACACTGTAGTTATTATGTTGCCAGGAGTCCCCTGATGAAATCTTACAGTAGAAAGTCAAACCATTTTTATGGGTTTGATACTTACCTGAGTCCCAGAGGTGCTAGCTGTCCTTCTGGCCTTATGTGATATTGCTAACACGAAAGTTCCTGTTCTGCTTTAGCAAAACCAATGTTGCCTACATTTGGAATTAAATAATTAAAATTAGCTAAGAGAGTCAGCTAACACTCTCAGAAAATGAATTGAATCAAAATAAGAAGAAAATTGGTATTGCTGAAGTGGAATGGGAAATTCCCCTTTAGCGACATCACAGAAGATTGGAAGGGTTGCGGGTACATAGAGAACTCTGATATGTCAAACCGTTTAAAAACAGTTTGACTCACTACAGTGGGGCAGCAAGAGACTCTTTGCACCATAACCAATACATCACATTGTAGTGGCTCAGTGCTTGGAGTACCCCTATACCCTATTAGTGCTTTTCCAGTTGGCTTGTTTGGTGCAATATGCTTTGTATTTGTATCCCTATTGTACACTAAAGCATAGTGCGTGAATATTTTATATATAACAATAATATAAAACTGTTAAAACATAAATGGTAATGTTTGCCTCTTAATTTAACAGTGAATAGTTAGAATTGAGTCAGTAGGAGTGATCGGAAGGTATGCAAACAAACAAAATATCACTCCACTGAAAGATTTTCTTACTCATCACAGACAGTGGAAGTCATGTTATACCATCAGATGTATATAGCATGCTTACAAAATCCAAAAAAGATCATTTAAAATCATAAAAGAGAAACGCTTTTAAGGCCTCTTCCTTGAAATGTTGTCTTACTTACTTCCTTATATTGCATGCCAAAAGGGGAACTGTGTGTTCTCAAATTATTTCAAATGCACCTTTAACTAAAATTTTCTTTATCCATATATTTGTTTTTGTATGTTTTTGCCTTTGCTTATACTTTAATTTTACTTACATTGGTTGTGTAACTTTCCCTTCCATTTTCCTCCTCCTGATTTCCAGCTCCTCCATAGTTGGCCATGCCAACACATTATCAATCAGCTGCACATTTGATACAGGATAGTATGATTCCCTGGGATAACCTTGAATAGTACACATTGATAATGGTACCCTCAAATATAAAACAACAGTCTGAGCACCATAACCACTACAGACCACCCATATCATACGGAGTCAAACAACTCAATTTTCAAATGGTTTAACCCCAAAGTTGGTCCCCTTGGCAAAAACAGTTTAGTCTCTGAAGGTAAAACTCTAGGGTCTCCTGCCTCCATAAAAAAAAAAAAAAAAAATCTTAATTTTTCACCAAACTCTGGAAAAAAATTAAACTGTCTGGCTGGCCATTTACAGACTTCCCAATGCAGCTCAAGAGATGTCTTTGCTATCCTGCTGCTCTGAGCAATTTCTGGCCTCTTGAGTTTAGTTCCACTGAGCTAAACAACCAGGGCATAACCGTACTAGTTGTCTGATTTACAGCCAGGGAGTATAGAAGGTTAATTTTTAAAAGTGTCAATTTCTAATGAAACCTGCATTTTTGTAAAATGAAAAAAGAGGACACATTCTTAGCAGCTGATGTGTTTAGGGGTCTGGAAAGATCTTTTATTTTGAGCAAATCATGTTTTTTGTTTACTTACCCACTGTGTGCATGTAAGTGTGTCTGAGTGTCTTGGAATGTGTCTGTGTGCATGTGATAGCTTCCACTCACCTGTCATTTTATACAGGGCAGGTGCAAGGTGTTTTGTCTACACAGACAAAGATGCATTCCACCCTGTTAACCCTGTTTCCCCCCAGTAAATACATCTTCACCTGTATGTCCCCTATGTCAGGGTACCTGTTGTTGCTGAATCCAGGGAAGACATCCTCTCTGTTTAGGGGCTCCCTGCCTCTAGCATTTCGGCATATTCCGGCCGTTTTCGCGCCGGCCGCGCTAGCTCCTCCCCCTTTTATGACGCGACGGCTAGCGTCGACGTCATGACGTCGGCATTTACATGAAGTGCCGGGAACCGCTATTCCGGACCTTTTGGGGGCGTGGTCTCTATTTAGGTAACAGGGTATTTAAAGGAAACCTTTACTACTACTCATTGCCCTGTCGTGGTTCTAGCTTGCTAGTCACTCAGCGCGTTCTTTATCTTGTGTTTCCGGTTTTGACCCTTGCTTGTCTTTTGTCCTGTTGTCCTCTCCTCTCCTTTGACTCGGCTTGTATCTCGCTTACCTGTCCTCCGGCTCCCTCGACCTCGGCTTACCTTTTGACTATTCTTGCTTTGTCCCTACGTTAGTCCGGCCATTCTAAGGTCCGGTATACGTACCTCCTTCTGTCCGCACTCTGCGTATTGGATCCCTGTCAGTATCCTGACATTACGACAGGGCCAAATGGATCCTGCAGGTGCTAGTCCTCCTGACCCCAGATTTGAGGCCATGGACCATAGAATGGACCAAATGGCTTTAGCATTACAAACTTTGTTAACACGCTCCAGCACTCAGTCTGAAGAAATACGTTCCACTGCTAGCCACTCACTAAGTACTGGTTTGGAAGTAGCCACTGTAGGCGCATCTTCCCATGTCACTTCACCGTTACGATATGGGGGTTCGCCTGATGCTTGTCGTGGTTTTTTAAACCAGATAAGCATACATTTCGAACTTCAACCCCGGGCTTACCCTACTGACAGGGCTAAAGTAGGCTTTATTATAACCCTGCTAATAGATAAAGCACTTAGATGGGCCAATCCCCTTTGGGAGAATGACAATCCTTTAGTCTACAACTACACTGCTTTTGTCACGGCTTTTAGAAGAACCTTTGACCCCCCAGGAAGGAAGATTAATGCGGCCAGATCCCTGTTACGCCTTAAACAACAGAATAGGACCCTTGTAGAATATGCTCTAGAGTTTAGATCATTGGCAGCAGAAGTGAAATGGAACGAACAAGCTTTTATGGATGTATTCTTGAATGGGTTGTCTGATGAAATTCTAGATGAGATTGCCACAAGAGAACTTCCGGAAAATTTAGAGGATTTAGTATCCTTCATTTCCAGAATAGATGAACGCATGAGACAGAGGCAGAACACTCGGGAAAGAGTTACTAGACTTCCTGTAAGACTCGCTCCCTCATTTCAGAACCCTGACTCCTTTAATCCTACTCCACCAGAACCTATGCAAATAGGTAATACTCGCTTATCTGAGGCTGAGAGACAGTACAGAAGAAGGGAGGGTCTTTGTTTATACTGCGGGCGGAGAGGTCACCTACGTCTTAGTTGCCCTAATCGTCCGGGAAACGCTCGCACCTAAGTTCCCTTAGAGGACGGGCCTTGGGTGTTTCATTACTGTCCTCTATGCATAATAAAAAAGACCATAGGCTTCTGATTCCTGTCTCTCTAGCTTGGGAAAAGGGGTTTATTTCTACGATGGCATTATTAGATTCTGGAGCAGCAGAAAGCTTTATAGACCAAACTTTCGCTAATAAGCATTGTATCCCATTCCAATTGAGAGATACACCCTTGGCTGTTGAGGCCATAGATGGTAGACCTTTATCTGAACCAGTAATATTCCATGAGACCAAACCCGTTAAGCTTACTGTTGGTATTTTCCACGAGGAGTTGATTTCCCTTCTGTTAATTTCCTCCCCGGCAGTCCCAGTGGTGCTAGGATATTCTTGGCTCAAGAGACACAACCCTCAGATTGACTGGGAGGGTGGAGAAATCGTTTCTTGGGGTATGGGTTGTAGGAAAGAATGTCTGCAGAGAGTTACTTCTGTTTGCCCCGTAAACTCTTATGCTAACACTTCCCAATCCACAGACGTTCAGATACCATTACAATATCTAGACCTCAAATCTGTATTTGACAAGGGTAAGGCGGATACTTTACCTCCCCACCGGTCTTATGACTGTTCTATTAAACTTTTCCCTGGTACTATGCCTCCCAGGGGTACGGTATACCCTCTATCCACCAAGGAAAACTTAGTTTTAGAGGAATACATCAAGGAGAATTTAGACAAAGGATTTATTAGAAAGTCTTCTTCTCCGGCGGGGGCGGGTTTCTTTTTTGTAGAAAAAAAAGACGGTACCTTACGTCCTTGTATAGACTATCGGGGATTGAACAAAATTACTATCAGGAATGCTTATCCTATTCCTTTGATTACTGAACTCTTTGACAGACTAAAGGGCTCGAGTATTTTTACCAAACTTGACTTGAGAGGAGCATATAACTTGGTGCGAATTAAACAAGGAGATGAATGGATGACAGCATTTAATACCCGTTACGGGCATTATGAGTATACCGTAATGCCGTTTGGGCTTTGTAACGCCCCGGCCGTCTTCCAAGACTTGATCAATGAGGTTCTTAGAGAATTCCAACATGAATGTGTAATTGTATATTTGGATGATATACTA